TCCCAGAAAACCAAAAATTACAATGATGGGTGAACTTTTTCCCTCTTATGCAACCAAACATTGCGACCCGCCCCTTTTTTCTGAGGTCTACGTAAGACAAGGGGCATGTCACGAAGTTTGGTCACGTTTTTTTAACGAGAAGACCCCGCACAATTGTAATTTTTGGTTCTCTGGGATCTAACAAATAAGTTCAGTTTAGACAAAAAAAAGACAATCCTAAATTTATCGTGGAAATGGAGCGTATCCTAAATTTATTTTAGTTTTCCTTTAAAGGCCACTCAGGATTGCCAAGTTTGTGCAGGGAGGGAAGAAAATGTTTGCTAAGGGGGCCGTCCATGCAGTCGCTTTTGATTCTGTTCAATTTCACTGGAGTCTTAAACGAAAAGCCAGGTTGCAGCAGCCTAGAATCCAGCGGTTGGATCAGCCCCTTCTTCGAAACAATGGGTGGCTTCGGTAGGGGTTGGTTGCAAACAGGAATTGAAAGCACTTGGAAGAGGGAAGCACACTCTGTCACAGATTCATTTCTGACAGGTGTCGCGTTAGGCATGTGGGGGATCAAGTTGCACGGTGGGTGTATGTTTGCTTCCAATTAGGCCGCTGTGCCTTCTCACCCTCGCTCCTCTTTCTTCCTCTCAACCCTTTCCACTTGGAAGCCTTTTTGTTTCTTTGTTTGCATGGGGGGAGGGGGGGAGGCAGCTTCCGGAAGAATCCGGTTGTTGTGGTTGGGTGTTTTGTAACATTGTTGACAGAGCTAGGTTCTAACCTCTATAACTGAGTAATTGCATGTACTCTAAAATCTTTTTTCATCAAGAAGTTATGAGCCTTGAGGGAGAGAAGTTTTAATAGCAGCAGGTACTTCATTAGACACAGTCGTTTTGAAAACCGGAAGTCTCCTACTGAACTGTCTGTGTCTAGTAATGTCTGTGCTGCTCTTTGAATTTGTCTAAATTTCTGATTAAGAAAGAGTGTGAAGTGTGCAGTCAAGCCGGTGATGCACAGACTTAACTAAAACCGGACATGCGGAAGGCAAGAAAAGGAAGATGTACAATAAGAGTGCCATACCGCTTGGAATTCATTTTTGCCAACTGTCTCCTCTTCTAGGCAGTATTCACTTGCGGCCACAGCTGTGTGCGTGACTGCTCCGTGCATGCTGATGGCAAGCTTTCATAGTTCTTTTTCGATGTGCATTCCATACTATAAAAATTGCCAGTCTTGGCAGCCTATTAATGTGACCTTGTTCTGAGCATGCTCTCTAAACAGTGCCCTCAAATATGGCATCCAGTGAACACCCCTTATAAGTATGCACCCTTAAGTCATAGTTAGAAAGCTCTTCACGAATCAACTTTCCCGAAATAGTCAACAAATAGTGACAAAATAAAGCATGCTGTCGTTCAGCATCTTAAAAGACAACGCCCTGTTTTATGGGACAAAAAGAAGATGTAACGGGATGCTTCATCAAACCATTCTTTGTACAATTTGAACCCCACGGCACAAAGAACCTGGACAGTTTAAAACAATTGCAAGGAAACTGTAAAAAAAAAAAAAGAATGCAACAGTTGCAAAAAGAGTTGGCACTTGCTTGTCCCACTATGCTGAAGGGGCAAATACACACAATTTTTGGCAGATGTGATACTGGTGGATGTTTTCGCCGTTGGTTTCCAATCTTCATTTATTTTTATTTTTTTGCTGATCACTTTGGTCAATTTTTATTCTGGATAACAATACTTGCACTCCTCCACATGTTTTAAAGTCTGAATTTAAAGATTTTAACAGAACCGCCTTTTTGCACTCTACGATTTCTTTGTTTACGTGTCTGTCGGTTTGCCCAGTGTAAGGAAACCCGCACGCCAGAAGATTGTCGTACACTACACTTTCCTGACAGTCAGTAGCAGATTTCCTGTGCTTCGTCCCACAACCCTTCTGATCTCCAGCGATCGTACCTCACTGCAAAGCCTTCAAGTTGCGAGATCTCGTGAATGAAGAAGACATCATGCAGGTTGCAGGAGGGAAATGAAGATACCCAAAACAGATTGTGTTCTGACGAAGAGATCAAAAGAGGTCGGCAATATTGTTGTAACATTGAAAAGTCATGGGAATCGAGTTCTTCCAACTTTTTAGTTAGTTGCAGCGGGCTCTATTTAACATTAGCGCTTTGTCGCACACAGCAAGCCACCGACGGGAATCGCTCGAATGCGACTTAATGATGTCACATTTTTGTAAATGGCAGCACGCATCAAATGAAGTCGTTAGACATATACAATGGGACACTGTTGTAGAAAGCTTGGCACCTACTTCTGCTGTTTCTGGCAGTGTCAAAGAGCAAACATCAAATCTAAAAGTTAGTGTAGATGTATTTTTGTTTTTTTTCTGTCGTTGCTATTATAAAAAAATGAGGAATCCGCCACACTACTTATGTCTACTCGGCATTGCCAATGATTTGTTTTTATCTTGAACTACCTATTACCATGGAATTGTTTTTGAAATATTTATTGGCAGTGGATAGGGTTGTAACTAGCAGCTTGATTAATGCGGTCGGCAAACATTTTCTACACCTGAATGAGCAAAAATGCCTTAGTTGTGAAATGCAACTCGAAACAAAGATGTCGGAAGCTGCTGTTGTAACCTTGAGTTCTCTATCGGCTTGACTTGTTTCTCTTTTTAACTTTGCAGGTAGCTCATGGAAGCCTCTCGTATTATTGATCCTTTTTTTGTGGTGATGCAACGTGCGTTCAAGCCTCGCCAAACATTCTTCTGCCGTACGCACAGCAGGGGGTCACTCGCTGAAATGGGTCCCACCTGAAGTGACAAACGAGGAAACACAAATGCAGATGCGTGCCACCGTAGCAAAACGGATGTCCTTGTTCGTTTAGCTGTTTTTTTTTTTGTCGCCCTTCTGCTAACGGGTGTCTGTAATTATATTATCCAACAATTCGGGTCCCCGTGTGAGACATCCTTTCAGTAGCGGTTCTGTCTCCATTGTTGATAGCTCTTGTGATGTCATCATCAGCTTGGTGAAATACTTTCTTTGGATTTGGCAGACATTGAAAGAGCGCTTTTACGCCCGACATATGAACGGTGACTTTCCCTAGGTTTCCAAAGACTTGGCATATTCAGGATGAAAGATGTACAGCTGGTAAACACTGAGAGCATGTTTTGTGTCTTTAAGTATGCAAAAGCATGAATGCTTGTTTTGCAGGTCTGGACATAATCAGCATTCTGTTTTAGTTGTGACTGGATTAACTATCTAATTTTTCTCTGGTATTAAAATTAACAGCAAGAACTTGTGAACCCTAACTAGGACATTGGGTTTGGCTAGCTGAGATGTGTGCCCAGAATTGATGAGATGAGGCTGTCTTCACAGAGGGCAACTTAGCATGTGACAGTATGGCCAACAAATAACAAACTGGAAAGTGCACATATGCGCGATGCACACTCAACTAAAAAAGTACCCTTTTTTTTTTAGAGCGCAGCTCTTAGGGGCCCGTTTCCAGCCTGAGCGGCGTCGCCGTCGGCGTCGGCGTCGGCGTCGCCGTTGTTGTTGCCGTCGGCGTCGGCGTAATCGCGCCCCTCCCTCTCCTCCCCCTCCTCCTCCCCTCCTCCTTCTCTTCCCCTCCTTCTCCTCCTCCCCTCATTGTGTAGTATGGTCCGGGCAGGTCACGTGACCTCGGGGGGAGGGGGTCACATGACCCGTTTCCAGCCTGTGCGGCGTCGGCGTTGGCGTCGCCCTTCCCCCTCCTCCTCCCCCGCCCAGGTCACGTGACCCCCGGGGGGTGACTCCCCTCCCCCCGCCGGTCACATGACGGCCCGCCCAAGGTCATGTGATCCCGTCCCCTCGAGGTCACGTGACCCCCCCGGACCTCTGCCCTCCTCCTCTTCCCCCTCCTCCTCCTCCCCTCATTGTCTGGTTCGGGGGGGTCACGTGACCTCGGGGGGACGGGGTCACATGACTTCAGCGGCGAGGAGGAAAGCAGTACGAAGGTGGAGGAGGGGGGAGGAGAGACGAGGAGGCGGAGGCGAGGGGAGGGGAGGAGCTTGAAGGACGAGGAGGTAGTAAAGGAGAGGGAGGGGGAGCAGGAGGGGAGGACTAGCAGGCATGATCACGAGGGAGGAGGAGGAATATACCCTCCACTTCTCCTCCTCAAGAGCTGCGCTCCAATTCGGCGTTACAGGAAGTTGTAAACGGCTTTCACTTTTTTTAGGCAAATATGATAGCGTGCTTTTATTTTACCAGAAATCTCAGCAGTGATGAAAAGTGTCTCTAAGGATTCAAACAGGCTTTCTGTATAAATTTAGACATATACATCTTTTACTGAAATCTGCTATTCTTGGTGCAGCTTTTTCCTTTTCTTTTTTTTTTAGTCCACTCGGGTGTTTTTTTGTAGTGGCATTGACGGATTGCAAGATATTAGTCCGCCTTGTGGTTCGGTTTTCTCTTCAGACTAATTCCATACACTGGAAAGTGTCTCTGTGCCAGTGGGGCTGATAACAACCAAATCCATTTTTCTGATAGGTTTAATCGATATTGGTCCCATATGCTGAAGAGTTGCTGACAATGAGACACAAATTGACCTTGCAGATCGGTATAATCTTGAGGCGTCTCCCGCATACTGAAAAGTTGGCAAGCGACTGGACATTGGATCCAAATTTACTTAGTGGTCAGGCTTCCTCTTGAGACTTGTCTTGTGTGCTAGAAAGTGTCACTGTGCTGAGGACCCAAGTTGTCCTCATGATTAGGCCTAGTATTGAGACTACCATAGGCCTAATCTCAAGTCTCAACGGTACTACTACTCCTCATGACTAGTCCTAATCCTGAGAGTACCATAAGCCTCATTCCAAGTCACCATGGTAATGGTACTCCTCACGACTAGGCCTAGCTTTCAGACTACCGTAGGCATAATCTTGAGTCTCAATGCTACTGGTGCTCCTCACAATCAGGCCTTGTCTTGAGACTACTGTAGGCCTAGCCCCATGACCCTCTCTTCCTTCTCTGGTTGGCACAGATGTGGCAAGTGGGGAGCAGGAGGAGCTGCTGATCCGCAAGCTGCGGCAGTGCAGCGTGGTGTTCGACTTCATGGACCCTGTGGCAGACATCAAGGGCAAGGAGATCAAGAGGGCCACCCTCAACGAGCTGGTGGACTACATCACAGCGGGCAGGGGCGTCCTCACAGAGTCCGTCTACCCAGAAATCATACGCATGGTAGGCCATGCTCTCTATCTTTCTTTTTGATGTGCTGTGGTCCATGTTCTCTTGCACAGTTTAGCTCTTAAAAAAAAAAACACTGGAATGAAAACAAAATATTTTTATAAAGCATAAATGGGGCACTTTTTTTTTTTGTAAAATAAGAAAGAATGTTTTGCTTAATATTTATCTTGTGGAGGTAACGGCACGGTTTAAGCCCTGCCCACAGAGCAGTGGCCTGCTCATTACTACTGGATTGGCTTGGCTGCTCGACTGAACATTCTAAAAAGCCTAGGTCTTCCTTTCGCGACATCCGGTGCATCTAGTCTGGCGTCTGACACCGCCTGCTAGTCGTGCGAGACAACGCGTGGCAGCCACTGGTATCGTCTGCTATTTCACCACTGTATTGTCGTCTGCAGTGCCCGTGTGACGCGAACATAAAAGCTGTGCGTTGGCATCCGTTTTCTCCTCCGTCCGCCTGCTATTCCGCCCCCATCTAAAAACTTCTGCAACGCTCGGAAGAGGTGACCATGAAAGCGGCGTTATAGCGTTCCATCATGCACGAGCCATGGTTCAAAACGAGCATCTGTCAGAGTCTATCGATATGCAGTTATAAGCGGCCAAGAGGATTAAAAGAATCAACAAAACAAATAGGCAGTCCTTCCAGCTTTACTGTTCTCGTTATTTTTTTCACATGGCATCCGAGCAAAGTGGGTGAGCGTCATGACGCACAATTAAAACGCAACGTAAAAATATTCGCTGTGGTAGGCCAGGTGCACTGCAAAACTTGAGACCTACTTGCTTTTTAAAGGGAAATGACGGGAACATAGACAAACTGACGCCCGATTGTCTCCAGTCAAACGGCTCGCAAATTCTTAAGTGTGTAGGTAGGTAGGTATCTTCTCGGTATTAAACCATAGTTGCAATCACAACGGTTGCACAATTCACAGAGCAGCTGGCCACTTTAGGGGAACCAACATTTTTATTCATCACCAACACGTGCAAAGGAGCAGATCAGGCCAGATCAAGCTATATAGTTGACGTGGGATACTAGGCTTAGGCCAGTCTCTCTACAAATCCAATCACTCACCCACACAGCGCTTCCAAAAGCGTGGGGCGCTAGGTTTAGGCCAGTCCCGCTACAAGTTCAAGCACCTGCACAGTGCTTCCGAAGGCGCATCCTTGCGGCGGTTGTTTGCTGCAAACTAGGTCGGCTGAGGGGATCTTCTAAAAACCTCGGTGAACACAGAACGACTCGTGCTCATAAAAATAAACGAGCTACATTCTTTGAGCACGCGGCAAATGCCCGCAGCCATGCTTGTTATCGTTTGAAGCCAAAGTGGAAAGGCAATAGCAGGGTATTTAGGAAAACAATAATGACTCTATCTATATTGCTTGTTTCTCAAACATAAAGATATTGTCAATAAAAATATAAAAATAAAAAACATTTCCAATGAAAGGTGCTTTGTTTTTTTTTAAGCACGAGGCGGGGTCTAGTGCAGGGCTACCCCCACCTAAATTATGTCTAACGTAAATATTGCTAAAATAATTTTTAGTGGAAAATTTACAAACAAAAAAATGACACTTAAAAAAAATTATTTTAGTGTCTTCTTAGGTGCGGTCTGAACAGGACAAGCATTCTGAAATCTCAGCATTTGTTGTACCTGAAGTGGAGGTTTTTCTCCGGTTCCGGTCCGTTTTTGAACATTTTTTCTTGCCTGGGGGGAAAGCTTCCCTCCGCCTGCATCCTTGAGCAGAGACTTGGAGCGTGCTCCTCACGTGGGTACGGACAGCCACTCGCACGCTCTGCTGGCTGTCGTCAAGGCCTCCGGGCCTCCGCTATTGTTGTCTGTCCCCAATCTCCCGAAAACGAGAAAGGGAAAGGGACGACGGCAAGCAGGAAAGCCGTGCTGTTCGTGTGGTTGATGTCCAAACTGAAAGCAGTCGCTCGCGCCGCCTCAACTTTCACATTTGTTTTTAGAAAAATGTATGCTTTTTTTGCCCCGACGGCATTTGTTGTAGCCGGTCCAGCTGGCACGAGTTTCCTAATCTGGCTCTAGCTGGTCTGATGAGGACAATACAGACAAATGTTTTAGGGACAAACATGCACAATAAATGCATTTTTGTCTCGTTGTTATGAACGACTCGCATTATGGACGATTCTTTGGGGGGGAGGAAATGGAGGTGTGCATATTGGCAAGACATGACGGTAATGTTTACATGTGTAGTGCTTGAAAGCGTTTGAATAGTTGTTTGTGAGAAGAATGTAAAACATTTAAAATAATTCTCAGCATTCCTTTTTTTTTTTAACAAATATAGTTTCTTCAGCTTTGTAAGTGTGGAAGCTGTAAAATTGTCAGTGTTGGGTGTACTTTAAGTACACTCTCCGGCAATATGAGAGACCCACTGGGAGCGCGTGGCAGAGGTGGTGACCGAGGGGGGCACTGCGCGCTCTTTGGGCAACTCCATGTCGCTCGGAGGGGAGGCCTCACTAAGGGCTCAGCTGCACCAGCCGTGCCGAGACGTGCTTAACAGATCTTGATTTCGGTTTGGCAGGAGAGCGCTTCTTGCATGGCACGCCTGGGAGCATTGTAAAGGAGGCTCGAACGAAGTCTCGTTAACACGGGCGCTTTTATCAATTTTTCTCGCTGAGCACCGAGTGAGGCCTCCCCTCCGAGCGACATGGAATTGCCCAATTTCGAGCAGCGCCCCCCTCAGCCACCACCTCTGCCACGCGCTCCGAGTGGGTCTTTCATATCGCCGGAGAGTGTACATTGTTTTTAATCCTCTGATGCATGAATTATAATGATTGTATGAAACAAAAAGTATACTATGTTGAGACATTCATCTAAACCCTATGTTAAGTAAATAAAAGAAAAAAAATTAATAAAAAAAAAAATAATGATTATAAAAGAAAAATCTGATTTATGTGATTTATATCAAATTTTTTATGATTTAAATTGCTGATAAGCTGCTCTAACATTTTCTGCTCCTAATCTGCTCCAAACTCTAGACTTTTGTGCTTCGAAGCTGCTCCAAAATGCATAAACACTGCCCCAAAATGAGAATTTCGTGCTCCTAAGCTGCTCCCAAGTCCAGATTTTTCTGCTCCAAAAATTGCTCCAAAACCTGTTTCACCTGTCTCACCCCTGATCTAATAGTGCCTCCTAGGAAGGCTGACTCATGCTGGTTGTCCCCTTTTTTATTTTTTATTTATTGATACTTGCAATCAGGGATGGGCAGTATTTCAAATACAAGTATTTAAAATGCGTATTTCAAATATTTCTGTATTCTGCATTTGTATTTAATTACAAATTGGGTAATATATTTGACGTGTGTATTTAAATACTAAAACAGGAGTATTTCAAATACAATTGTAATTAAATACAATTTTGTGGGTGAAAATACATCCCTCAAATTTCTTGTCACTGTCCAGAGCAGGAAGAAAACTACCTTCTGCACCGAATGCAGTGTCTCTCAATCAAGCACAAGCGTTTAGTGACTTTGTGATTACGGTGCTAGTCCAGGGCAAGAATAGTGACGAAATCGACGTTCACAGGCACTCTGGCTAAATAAGTGCCTGTGACAACTTGGGATGCTTTCGAGCCTGATTTCCATTCATATTTGTGCCTGGAACATTTTAAATGCGCGGGTCGTCCAGATTTTCGTAACTGGTGCGAGTTGCAACAAAAAAAAATTCTCTAGCTAGTGCTGCGTGTCTTGGTCGTCTTGGTTTTTGGTTGGTCTATACCAAAATGTGATCGACAGAAAAAGCTGCTTGAAGCTCTGAACTTTTTTCACCTATTACATCCAAACTGATTACATTGTACACTAACTCCTGAGTGTGCAATGCAAAATTAAAATGAGATACCCAGAAACCCGTTGCAGGTGCCCTGAAGTCAGTCGCTGACGCAAATTTTGAGGAATGTATTTGGAAAAGTATTTGGAGGAGACCAAATACATTTGGTTGTATTTGTAGCTTGTACTTAAATGCTTTTTTGGAAATGTAATTAGATTTGTAGTTAAATACATTTTTACAAAGTATTTTGTATTTGTATTTCAATATATATTTGCATGTATTTTGCCCATCCCTGCTTGCCATGATTAATGGGGAGTTTTCTGTCAACATCTGTGGACGCTTTTTTTTTTTTTTTTTTTTTTAGATCTTAGTGCATAACAACTTTGCTGTAAATCAGTATAAAGAAACTTAGCTCTTAAGGCCCGTTCACACTCTTGCGACCGAGTACGACTGAGAGAGACGAGATCTCTTACAACTTCTTAAATGTTTCTAGAATGAGGGAACACACTGACATTGTGGCGCCATCTATGCGGTGACCCTAGAACTGCCTTTCACAAAAGCGAAGGTTTTGCGGGATTTCCGAGGTCAAATGTGCGTAATACCCATAGAAAGGCTCGTTTATAACATTGACAAAAGTTTTTCGAGCCAAAAAAATAAAGATAATGCGCGAGAAATAAAAAAAAAATATGCCGGACCGGCGAGTTTACACTGGTTCCCAATAGATGGCGCCAGTGTATTCTCTGGTTTAAGAAGTTTTAAGGAATCCAGGTTTAAGAGGTTGAAGAGTGTGAACGGGCCTTTACGTCACGGCGCAGTGGTGGCACGTGGGGCGCACTTCCGGTCTGGGGCTGTGGGCAGCAGTCACCATGTGGGACGTGCATTCCTGTGTTACTTTGGAAGGAACCGGACAAAAACCTGCCTTCTCGTCAAAATGCTGCAACTGGAGCTGTACTAAAAGAGTCGGGAAAAGTTTGAAGTCAGTTTTTATATGTTTTCTACCTGCTTGGTTCGTCCGAGAACGTGGATAGCGGCCAAGAAAAAGGAAAATAGACGCCGTCGGACCACGATTGCTTGTGCAGGAAGCACTTTGGGTTGAATTCACGGATACTTGTTGTCGTCAGGTTTATTGACAAGTTGTACGGACCACCTGCGTACTAAGTTCAATTCGTCATCAAGTCCTAACGGCCACCTGATAGTTAGAGCTGTCGTCTGTTTTCTCAAACGTTTCTTCTTCTTGTCGTCCATCGTTCAAACAACAGCAGCCCGTAGACCATACTTTGACATGGTAATTGCAATAAGAAGTAGGTGCAGGCCTCAAAAGATGTTAAAGTTTGAACGTTGGATAGGGTAAGTAGGCTCGGTGTAAGCAGTAGATATGAGATGTCGATAATTGTTTGGCCATCACCGACTTGTTATGCCTGATTCACTTGGTCCGATTCTGCTTACGATTTTCAGTATCGACTTTGACATCTCAGCTACGATTCACGTGTTTGCAGTCCGAGCTACGTCATGACCGAAAATGGTTTGCAGAACCTTATCATGCGAATCAGGCTTTAGCGTCCGTTCTGCGGTGTCCATGCAAAGTTTTGCAGTTTAACAAGCCTCGTTAATTCTGCTGAAACCGTTAAAGTAGTCTGACATTGCCAAAAAGACGGAGAATCAACAATTCCAACACGAAAAAGAACACTGGCACTCGCACTGACGCCGACAGCATCACATTCCAATGGCTTGTTTATGGGCAACTGCGAGTTTCTTGCCCACACTCCATCGGGCATGCGCAGCACCGGTGGCGTCTGTTAGGAGTGTTCCAGTTTCTTTGTAAACATGAGTTGGTCACTTTAGAAGAGTGAAAGGGCATCATGAAAGATTGTGTTAAAAAATGCTTGTACTCTGCTTTGAAAGTAGATTGTATTTACGGTATTTTACTTCAAGTTCAGAGCGTGACACTGTTAGCGCAAGCAAGCGATTTCCGGTTTTTCCAATTTTTCTCTTTGAAACCAAGGGATGTCATCCAAGTTATTATTGCTATGGGAAGAGCTTGTTTAGTTGTATAATGTAAGCGAGAACATTTTGTGCTGGCTAATACTATTTTGAAGTAAAATGCGAAAAGGCTCCAATGTCGTGTTCGCACTAACAGTGTCACGATGTGTACATTGCCCCTCATGTACTCACTTCTTTACTTGAAGTATATAACATCTCACTTACTTTGTACTTCCAATACTTTTTAGATGTACTTAATCCAACACTTAAAGTTGTGAAAGTTTGTTTGTAACCTGTCGAGGTATTGCCTTGACACTTCTTTCTGCGACGTTTCTACTAGGGTGCAGGGTGTAGAACTGGAACTGGAACAGAACCGCTTATTTTGCCCAAACCAGTATGTTTGATGCCATTTTGGAGCGGAAGCAAAAAGAGCAAAATATTAAATTTTACTTTCTTTGGAGTGCATCTTTTGTGCAGACTGCAGAGTGTCACAGATTCTCAAGACGATCTCATAACCGCAATCATGTTTGCACCAGTGTGAACTGGTGCAAAGATGGTTGGGTTATGAGATCTGGAAGGGTGATCGCTTATAATGTGAATACAACAAAACATAATATGATAAAATGACTTTCACCATATTCTTAGTCAAAGTGTTCTACAAAGATAACCAAGCATCTTCTAAAACACCATCCAGACTTTTTTTTTTTTTTTTCCCGTGCCTTTTTACTTTGGCGTGCCGACTTACGCCCGGCCATAACTTCATTCCCACCATAGTACAGCTTCGCTGGTCTTCCTTCTTCAGCGGAGTGGAAAGGCTGAAAGTTTTTTCTTTTCATTCGCGCTTGATTTTACGATCTAACTTGAATGCACGAATTATGGGTCGGATAGGGTTTGAAATTTTGGGGATGCGGTTTGGATGCAGATACAAAGTCTGCGGGCGGGGATCGCATGCAGGTCTAACTGTTACCCGCGCAGGGCTCTACTTATTGGAGAGTATTCTCTCCCAAGGTCGTCTCACAACAGAGCCTTGTGAAGCTATAACACACTACGACAAAAGCTCTAAGTGCAAGCCAGCCTGCACTTACAGCTTTCATTGTAATACGCAGAACAAAATGCAGAGTTCCACATTTTCTGGATTATAGTCCGTTCCCGAAGTAAAGTCCACGGTGTGCAAATTTTGGCAGAATCAAGAAAAGGGGTTTCCTTACACTCCTTCACCCCTTTGTATTCACATGACGTTTTCCTGTTTTTGTGCACACAAGTTCACTCAGTACCATGAGTGAACTAGCCCAATAACAGGTCTTTCAAATCATTAGCATAGTCTGTCATTTCTTAAAATTTGGCACGTCTTGTCGTAATGAATGATCTTGAAAAGACAAAATCCTGTGTAGTCCACACCGCATAAAATTAAGCTTCTAAACATCTGTTGTTCGTGGACTTTAGTCCTCAAAATATAATAATAGTAATATTAATTGTTTATTTATCACGGAAGTATGGTAGGAACCGTGGAAAAAAAGCTGTCCAAGCAGCTTGACTGCGAACTGACGACGTCTAGTAATGTCGCTCGAAGTGGCTGTTTTGTGGCATTACCATGGTAACATGTCTCCTGTCCGTTGTTGCACAGATATCGTCCAACCTGTTCCGGACACTACCTCCGAGTGAAAACCCAGACTTCGATCCAGAGGAGGACGACCCCACGTTAGAGGCCTCTTGGCCCCATTTGCAGGTAAGGCTGGGCCCTCCCAAACAACCACTGTCTGCGGGGGCATCGGCCGGGGTTTCCCCCATGAATCATCCGAAACTTCTAACTTTACGTCGCTCTATATCGTGTTGTTACCTCGGCACTTAGCTGCAACGTCCTACCCATCCTTGTTTGATGGACACCAGCTGTCACAGCTGTCCTGACGACGAAAGTGGGCAGACTGAATCTCAAAAGAGTCTGGCCACTTCAGTCGCTTTTCTTGCCGTAACTCGCGGTGCCTATGCTAAACAAACGGTGGTCTGTCCCGTGATGACTGCATATTCGAAAAGTAAGCTCGGTGCTACTGATTAATAGACCTGCTGCAAACTTGCAGTGCCATGACTGCAGAGCATTTTTGGGAACCCTTGGTACAGATCACACGCTTTCTCGTCGCAACTGCGCGCGAGTCCCAGCAGCAGCCGTCACAGCCGTCCGCCATCCTGCCCGTCCGCCGGAACGTCGTATGTCGTTGGCAGCGTACCGTATCCGTTGCAGCGTAAACGCATTGTGACAGGTGAAGCTATTCACTCATTTGGATACGTTATTCGTCGTAACTTACCTTCACGTCTTGCAGTATCACCACATCTACTCATTTTGCACCGCAACCGTGGCAGGGTTCAACTAGGTTCGACAAAGCGTCGGTGCAGCAGACGACAGACAAGAAAGGGGCAGCCTCGCGAGACAGCCAATGCGACACCATCTCCCCCATTTTTGGTGCGCTCAGCACCGACTCAACTCTCGGCTGCCTGAATGTTGTTGCCGTAGTAACCTGCACCCGCTCGCGTATGCCAGGTGGTAGCAGGAGTAAAGGTGACGAGAGGGGCTTACCGAAACTCTTGCTATTCGTCGCGCTGCGTGTTTGGGCTTTTGGGATTTGTGCAAAAGGTCTGTTAGGTACGGGCGCTGTGTCGACATTCTTCTTGGGTTCAAGTCTGATAGACCCTTTCCAAAACCACATCGAGCAACCTTGGTGGCCACCATTTCTTGGGCACGAACTGTGCAATTGGATCCAAGTACTCTTAGAATACTGACTCAACCCTCGTGTCCAATACATGTTCAGGGAATGTGGTCAAACAATGGTGGACTCTAATAACTGGCACGGCAGGTGGCACACACTCTTGGTAAAGGTCTTTTAATCTGTCGCCATGCACTCGGGTCAGGTCACCAATGGGAGACCAATTTCCTCTTCGTCACCGTCTAAACCAAAATAAATCGAGCGAGAAGTGAACGGCAAGGAAAGAATTCACATCCGCAATCGGCTCGTGAGGGCGACGGTATCCGACGAGATAACGCAGTATCGTGAAGTTCCAAGAGATCGCCCATCCCAATTTTCTGACTAAATATCTAACATAAAAATTTCGAAACATTGCCCACCCTTCCGATTTTTGCCGGATGTCACGCTATGTCCGACGGGAGTCGCATCAACCGCGCTATTTTCTATACAGGCATGTCTGACAAGCGAGTTTATAGCGGGTTCCCACGTTTTTGTCTGTGATCTGCGTGTGCAATGTCGGCTCCCGTATAGGCAAGTCGTTCCCGCGTGTATGTTGCACCGTAAAATGCGTGCTGTGTTTTTGTTTGTTATCTGCGCGTGTGATCTTGATTACGCGCGAGTTGGTCCTGCGTGTATATTGCATTGTGAAACACAATTCTGCTGCCTCCGCACTTTGCGGTCTTTGTTCCCATGAGATGCAAGTTCTCGGCGGGGGCGAGGTATCTCATTTTCACAGCTTCGCTAGGTTAGAGAGTTCCGCCGCTTTAGAAACCTTGTAGCTTCTCCACACCTGCTTGCGGGGAGAAGCTGCGTTATGCCGTCGCCGAAGCGTCGAGTTCGACATTTGATAGGATCACAGTCGGATGCAGCAGATCATTGGAGCCTGTGTGAAACGCCACTTTGCCCCGAACAGACAGCTTTTCATTTGTGTCCCAACCGGAACTGCCGAATCTAAAGGAGCGGTCAGAACAGGGGCTCAAAGTCTCAGACACTTAACAAGAAAGTCGGCGATTTCACCAACTTTCTTGTTAAGGGGAGGCACGGCCTAGGAATCGCGATTTTTTCAAAAAAGTCACATTTTTGGAAAATAGGCTGACCAGCTTTTACAACTCATAAAGAATGCTGTCCAAAAATTTTATTCCTGTAAGTAAAGTATTTACTCCGAAATAAATTATTTTCGAGGTGCTGGCGGCCGCACGTGCGCGCCAACAACGCGGCCGATTACGAAAATGTGCCATTTTCAAAGCGCGCTCCCTCCGCGTTTCTTAGGATTAGCATGGACAGGCCCCCCTCGTTGGAATGAGCGTCTCGCCCTCTTTCGTTCTGTTCGTAGCATTGTTCGCGATATCGTGCTCGCAGACCGTAAAACCCCGTAGAAAACATAGCTGTGCACGCTCTTATTGGTCAAGCTGGCAAAACAAGAGCTCTGATTCGCTAGGATAAGCCACGTGACGTGGCTCGTCCTAGCGAATCAGGAAGCTCTGTTGGAAATGGGCATACAGCCAGGGAGCTACCAAGCGTCATACGGAGAGAGGGCCACCAAGATGAAGGTTGCGAAGGCCCAAGTGAAAGCGCTCAAGTCCTCCAAGATGTCCCACAAAAAAAGGAAGATGGAAGCTGTGGCCAAGGCACAGAGGGACCGTGCAGAGGAAGGAGTGACATATGCCCCTGGAGCATTTTAGATGAAATGGCAAGCCCCATCTGAACTAAAACACTGTTCGAACTTTCAAACCCGTTTTTCTCAGCTTCATGTTTTCACCATTTTTTCACAGCTCTAAAACTATCGTTCGATGAGTTAAGTGCCCCCAAGTCTAATGTATGACTTTTTTGGCATGAAATTTACTGGAGAACTCGGCTATGCGCTTACTTTTTGCGAATTGTTATTTCTTCACACAAAAATGTTGACGTTCATGAAACAAGAAAAAAAAATAAAATTTATACCGTTATTTAAAGTTAATTTTTACATAAAATATGGCCTTAAAAATTATTTCAAGCCTACTACCGATTAGTTTAGTCATTCAGTGTTATATCCCAACAAAGAAATTGTGCCTTTTTATTCATATTTTGAAACGATAGTTTTTTCCTTTGGCACTGCTACATGTTCATTTTTTTCAACGTATAAGGCTGTAACTTGCCAAAAAATAAACCTTTTGGGTTGAAAGTTGGTGTAGCCTCCTAAGTTTTGACGTTTAACATACCTTAAAAATTTCATTGACCTGGCACAAATACTTAAAAAGTAGACCCTCCAAGGGAGTGCCTTCCCTTAAGTGTCCAACTTGGAGCCCGAGCTGCGACAGCCGCCATCCATTAGTTGTTTGCTGACAACCAGCAAGGAGGCGGACACAGGAGGCACCGCTCGTCGTTTGTCGAACCATCCGGCGCGCACTCGCAGTAACCGGGCGCTCGGCCTCTGTCGTTGCAGCTTGTGTACGAGTTCTTCCTGCGGTTTCTAGAATCGCCGGACTTCCAGCCAAGCATCGGAAAGAAAGTCATAGACCAGAAGTTTGTTCTACAGGTAAGGGAAGCCACACTCTTTCCTTATTCCTTGGCTGCTTATTTGTATTTCTTATTGTCTCCCTTTCCTTGTTTGTTTTGGATGCCTGGTCACCTACCTCTCCTTCCAACTGACGTCGACGTCTTCCTTACTGTGTTTCTCGGCTCAAGTGGGAAACCGTGCTTGCCTGGCACAAACCATTTTTATGCGCTGTCGATCTACTGAGCTGTGTAACTAGTTTTCTTCGTCAAATCTCTTGCAATTTCGTGCAGCAAATTTTTTTTTTTTTCCTATTTTTAGTTTTGGATTTTAATGGCTTGCTAGCCTTGGACTGTTTTTATAAATTAATAACCACTTCCCTACTAATAGAGAGTGTCACTTGTGCCACCCCTTATGGACCATAAAGCCCAACCACAAGTGTGACTCGCGTCTCGGTTTTGGCGCTTGTTTAGCGTGCTCTCTGGCAGATGGCAGAACCACCCCTGTTGCTCCATTTACCTTGGGTAGTTTGCTCGTTTGTTTTGCTGTTTCACAAGGAGAGAACTCTCCATTTAGTCAAAAGAAAAAACATTCACTTGTGAGCATTCATGCTAAAACAACACAGCTTTGGTGTGGTTGTCCGCTCTAGCTGACAAAGAGATACAAAACCTTCTTTTTGAAAGGGATTAGTACTCAGGCATATGTGACGACGAATCCATCAGCTTTCTCTATTTTTAGGAATCGGACGATAGTTTGATGGGCAGGAGTGATGAAAACAATGTGAATCCTGCAAGCACTCCATTAACTTCGGTATCTGCTAGTCAGTGGGACTCTTACCAGAAGTCCTGATTGAGAGCAAGATATAACGCCTGAAAGATGTGGCGACGAATCCATCAGCTTTTTCAATTTTTAGGAGTCGGACAATAGTTTGATGGTCAGGAGTGATGAAAACAATTGAATCCTGAAAGCATTCCATTAACTTCGGCGTCTGCTAGTCAGTGGGACTCTGACCAGAAGTCCTGATTGGGAGCGAGATATAACGCCTGAAAGTCTAGGAAATGTTTTTGTCTTGTTTTAATGCAAATTGCCTGTTTCAAACGAATTTTTGCTGTACGTTCCTTGAAGAAAAAAAATGAGTAGGCAAGTGGTTAGTTATTAATTAAAGGGACATAAATGTTTTTTTTTCACTTTTTGGGTAACTACTGTGTACAATAATCACATCAGCCTTTGCTTGCAGTTGTGCTTTTTATCAAAGTGGCCTTTAAAATGTACGCTTCTTATTTCTTGGCTTCCCTCTCCCTCCCCACCCCACCCCAGTTTGGTCCTTCTCCTTATCAAAACAATCAAGGAAAGGATTGGCGACACTTAGTGTGCTTAGCCATTCTTGCTCTCGGTTGAGCCCGAAGGGCCCATAAGCCTCAGAAAAACAGTAAAAAAAAAAAAATGGAGGAGCCACAAGGTGCCTCGTAATAGACCTTTCGCAAAGCGTGCAGCACCATCCGCGGTGCCAAAAGGATCGCGGGTACTCGATGTACAACTGGTTGTTACAAATGACAGAGGCAACCTTGGGGGCAATGGCGGATGAGTGAAGGCAGGCATGCAACTGTGCTACCCTCTTGCCCTCTGCCCTTTCAATGTCACGCGGGAGTGGACTAGCTTACTACAAGACTTTGTGTGCCGTGATCCGGAATTGTTGCAAAAGGACTGTTGCACTTGAGTTTGAAAGCGACAAATTGCCTCTCCGTTCGCCTCGTTCCTATTGCAATTGAAATCTACTTATTGCGGAAAGCGTTCTGCAATACCTCTTGTTTTGCTCGCAGCTTCTGGAGCTATTTGACAGCGAAGATCCGAGGGAACGGGACTTCCTCAAGACGGTCCTCCACCGGATCTACGGGAAGTTTCTGGGGCTCAGGGCATTCATTAGGAAGCAGATCAACAACATCTTTCTCAGGTGGGCACTTCTGCAAAAGGTCTTGGAATACAGTAGCCCAGTGGTTCTCAACCATTGATGTTTCACGGACCCCTTGTGGATCGGCCGAGATGATGGAGGACCCCGTTCGTGGTGAGGGGAAGGGAAATTATAAGTTAATTATGATTATGGTTTAGTAAATGGATGTAACCAAGGGCTGGTGTGAAGTAGACCTCAATTATTGACATATACACGAGAAAACGCACCCAAAAATTGGAACGTTTCTTCTGAATCTGAGAAGATACAACTTTTATTTCCGGGCTCGGCTGATGAGGCTGGGCTTCGCGGACCCCTGGATGCCCCTGGGGACCCCAAAGGGTCCACGGACCCTCATTTGAGAATCACTGCACTAGCCTAACCGCCACAAAACAGCAACAAAAAAAAAACATTTCTGGAAGGAGGGGAATGCGCAGCGTACGGTGTGTGGGTAGATTTGTCCACGCGTAGCAAACTGGGAGGGAAATAACAAATGTAGTGCCTGCGTACAATGCGCCTACCCAGCAAGAGAGCTGAATCCTTGTCGTCATTTCACCCTAAAGATCTAATTTTTGGGGAGGGATTTGGTCCAATCGCCTAGAGCAGTGGCTTTCAACCACTGAGGTTTTGGGGATCCTGTCTAGATCGGCGGAAGTGACGGGGAACCCCGTCCTTTTGTGGGGGAGGGGGCTGTGGTATTGACCTCGATTACAATGACGGAAAGGTAACCGAGGAAAACTAAATGCGTGCAAGGCAACCTTGAGGCTCTCAACCTTACTCACTCTGCGTAGATGGTTTGGTCTGTTTATTTTTGGGGGACGGCCAGCATCGAGAAAGAAAGAGTTTTATTGCTCGGCTCGACGGGTGGTCCAGGGCTTTGGGGGACCCCAAGTAGGCCTTCGGGGGACCCCAAACATCCGCAGACCCCATTTGAGAAGCTCAGAATTTGAGCACGTACTAGCTCAGTGCTGGCCGCTATGGTTCACAACAAGTGAATTAGCTTATGTTATAATGCTCTTTTCATTTTTCTTTTTTTTTTATAGGGGCAAATAGTACATTTAGAACCTGAACCCTTTTATGGTTGCATTTTTTGTCGAAAGGCGTGCCCTCGTGGTCGGGTTTTTTGTAGCGTGAGCAACTCTGGCCGAGGTTGAGCAGTTTCACGTGGCTCCTGGAGAACCGTGCTGCGCATGCGCGAGGAGCAGGGACGGAACGGGCAGGACTCGTATGGCGCCTAGGTCAGTCCTTGATGCACGCGCCACGCACGTGCACCCGCTCGAGATCATGGCTCGCGCTGTCCGATTGTTCTGGGTGGCAGCTCGGTTGCCTGATACATAACAACACGGCGCACGGCTGGCCAAACCAACGACGGGCATCTGGCACGCCCCAGCGGAGGATTAATTTGGACCACCTGGGGATTTTTTGACGTGCAACCGAAAGCTCGGTTACACGGCGCCTCCTCCGCAATAAAAAGAGCGGAGAAGCTTAACTCATCAGATTTCGAAGTAGTCACATAATGCGTATACCGTGTGTGTGTCATTGAAGCAGCAGTAAGCATGATAATCAAGCTAATCCTAGACAACCAGGGAAGCTAAGAATAACCAGCTGAACCTAAGCTTACGCTATGTATATCCTGGCATAGCCAAGCTAAGCCACTGTTTTTTTGTTTTTTTTTTACTCTGCGATAGCAAAGAGAATACACTAGTTTATTGTCACATAAAAATTGTAGAGCTGTTCCACTTCACATGAAGATGGAGGACCAGCGAAGCTGTTATCTTTACGACGTCTAGGACGATGCCAAGAGGAGGACGCCTAAAGGATGACATCAAAAATAGGGATGCCGCGAACTTTTTTCGAATCGAAGTTTCGATGATCGAATCGAAAGGTTCGAAAGATTTCGATTTTTCGAATTTCCTACATCGTAAAATTCGACGGAGGTCGAATTTTCGAACTTGTTAAGCTAAGAACTTCGACGCTTTTCGAACCGTCGAACTTATTACGCTAAAAAATTCAACCTTTTTCGAACTTTCGAACTTATTGCCCTGCAAGGTTCGATGCTTGTCGAACTTTCGAACTTGACTGACCAAAAAATTTAATGAATTTCGAACTTTCGAACTTATTTATCAAGAGAATTCGAAAAGTTTCGAACTTTCGAATTCTGAAATGTCAGAAGTTCGACGAACTTCGAACTTTTAGGGTAAAAGTTCGACGTTCGTCGAACTTCGAAAGACCGGCGGACGGTTTCATTTGATTTCAAGTAGTGGGGTACATTCGTAATTTTTTTTTCTCGAACTTTTACACGCGGTGCTGAGTTTCTTACGAAAGACAATGTCGTTTATTTCAATGTTCTGGCATGCTTAGGTTTAAAGAAATAAACCCCCGAAGGGGCGAGGAAGGACGACGGGTTTTTGACGATTATCGTTTGTGTCAGATTTGAAGCGCGCTCTAGCCGGAGATATTTATGGTATACTTTTTTTTAAGAATGATCTATGTATAGCCTAGGTAAGTGCCGTCTTAAGATGTGATTATTGTTATTCAACGTGAGTTTCGGAGAAATGTCCAAACATGTATCTGCATGCAATTATGACCTAAACTTGATATTTATTTTCGTCTAAGTTGTTTGAGGTATCGTATTTAAATTAACACCACAGACAGGTCATATCTAATAGTGTTTAAGTTCAGCACGTCATTAAAAGAAACCTTTTTTTTTCCGCTTCACGTTCCTGGGACGTGTTTCTTTTAGCCTGTACACAATTTGGTAAAAGAAACTTGTTTCGAAGTTCTGAACCTCTGAATACGCAAGAATAGAACACTTCCGACGAATTCTTGATAGTTTTTTTGTTTTTCTCCTGCTTTTTATTCACGCGTTTATTCCCGCGTTTTTTCTTTTTTTTTTTTTTTACTATTGGCACAGGTATTTAGGTTGAAAAGACACCTTTGAACTTCCGAACCACTAAGCATGTGACGAGTAGTACCTTCAGACAACGAGTTTCTAACAATGACCATCTACGCAACCTTTTATGCAGTGAAGAGCGACTGTAGCTACACATATGCATAAATAATTTCAGATTAAAATAAGCTCGACCACGCCCTCTTTCCCCGTATTGTTTTCTTTAACAGTCCGAAATACCTGAAAGGGAAAGAAGGAGGCTCAAGCCTCCCCCCGCTTTTCCTCTTCCGACGCCACTTGTATGGTAGAACGCTCCTCGACCTCGAGTTGTGTCAGCTTTTGTGCTTTTTGGGAGGCGATTCCTCCGTCCCAGAAAATAAACCTCCAGGACAATTATAAACTTTACCCGATCAGATTACTACCAGCGTACAAGGGGTGGCGAGCTAGTTTGCCAGGTCGCTTCAAGGTTCTTCTGAGCCTCAACCTCCTGCTCGCCCCTGGCCGTTTCGAACTGGATGAGTCTCGTAAAACAGTGTGTTCGTGTAATCACTACTGCGTGATGCAGATTAAAGAACCCCCCCCCCCCCCCCGGGGCTGGCGGTCAGAATTCTGCACTGACAAATATTCTAGCACGCCCGGGGCACTCGTCGTCTCATTTAATTGCCTGACCAACTTCGCAGAATCTAGATATCACACCCTAACTTTTCGAAACTTGATTTTGTAAAAACCAGTGAGTCGTGAAAACGTTATTTGAAACTGAAACTGTGGAAAAACTTGAAAATCGGACTTCGAACTTTGAAAACTTGGATTAAAAAAAAAAATCAAAATCTTCGAAGTTTTTTTTTTTTTTTTTTTTTTTTTAGTTTAGCGTTAAAAGAAAATCGAAACCTTCGAACTTTTCAAACTTTATGCAGAAAGAAATTCGAAATCTTCGAATTGTTCGAACTTAATGTCTATAAAAATTCGAAGCGTTCGAAGTTTTCGAATTTTTTTCCAAAGAATTTCGAAATCTTAGAATTTATCGAACCTGAAGTAAAAAAATATTCGAAATATTCGAATTCGAAATTTTAGAAACCGTGAAAGCTTCGAAATTTTCGAATTCGAAACTCCGCTGTGGTCAAAAGTTGCGAATTTTTCGAATTCGAACCTCGGTCGGTACGAAAATATCAAAATATTTCGAAATCGAACCTCAGTTCGCTTCGCAAATATCGAAACCTTTTGAAATCGAACCTAGGGTGGTTCGCGACATCCCTAATCAAAAACGACTTCTAGGACGATTTCGAGGACGACGCCTAGAGGACAACCTCAAGAACAACATCTAGGACAACTTCTAGGACGACCACAGCAACAACGTCTAGGACGACCTTTCGGATGACCTCTAAAACAACCTCGAGGACGATGCCTAGAGATGATAACAAGGGATCAGGACCTCACTACATAATAACGCCAAGGAAGGCTAACTCGTGCTGGTTGCCCCCTCTCTTTTTTTTAATTAATTCATACTTGATCTTTATTTTTGTTTTTATTTATTCATACTTGCCACGACTAATGGGGGAGTTTTCTGTCTGCTTCTGAGGACACATTTTTTCCCAGATCCTAGCATAAAACAGCTTCGCATAAATAGTAACGCACACTTTAAAACATCTGCGGCATGCTCGCTCAGGGTTGAACATAACAAAGAGACTAAAACTTTGATTTGTCAACTTCCTAGTACTTCTTCAAAGTGTGGTAGACCCTGAAGCAGGATGTCGAGCTGTCATCCAACTCAGAGTCCAAGAAGGGTTTAAAGTCTGAACCCGAAGAGCCATTACTCCAATCTCCGCTACCTCCAGTGCAATGAAACTGAAGGCCTTTAGGTCCTGCCAAATTCATTTCCTCGCTAAATTAAGCGGAAAAGCTGAACGGATGTTTAAGTCACGCGTGGAAACTGCGTAGGTGTATAGGTCCCTTGACGTCGTGTCAAGTGACGTTAATTTGTCCATTAGCGGGAAGTGCATGGACGGAGTTCTGAGACTGGATGGGGAGGTTTCGTTAAGAAGCATTAGAGGCTTTAGTAATAGAAAGACATGTTTTTTTCTCTTGCATTTCTCGTACCCCAAAAAATGTATTAAAAACAAGGTGATTTTGAAAATAGTTATATTTACATCAAACAACATCTAAAGGGTATTCCCAGACAGCTTCATTTGTTTGCTCTACATAGTTACTATTTTATAACTTATTTTCAATCCACTGATGCTAAAGAAAAGGTGGAAAGAAGTTCGAGCACTTGGAATGCGTTTTTCTCCCTTCCATTTCTTGGCATAAATTTCACTTTAGAAAAATCTATCATTTGGTAACGGGACAATAGGAAAAGCTCTCTCATTGTTTTTCCTAACTGGAATTCAATGGGCAATGTAACTGTGGCATTGTTTTGCTACTTTGTGGATGTCTTTTATAAAAGATCAGATTTCGTCGACAACATAAAAGGCAAAAAATGTAATTGATTTTTCAGTACAAATTTAGCATAAAATAAGTTCCTTTTTAAGGGGGGACACTGGCTAGAGGTTGAACTTTTGAACTACTCAAGTGATCGGAATGAAATTAGCAGGGGAGATTTAACTTCAGATGTAGGTGTACTGTGCAAACTTTCAGCTCTCTAGGGCAACTTTACATACCTGCATAAGAAGATGCGTCACTCTTTGTTAAGAAATCTATGATATGCAAAGGAAGCTATTAGGCACAATTTTAAGTGCTTGAGTATAAAGTGGGGGATGTGGGACTTCGGGCTATCTAGTTTTTATAACTTAAATGTAAATATTTCAGGAAGAGTGATTACCTCAAAATATGAGATGCATATCTGTCCTATGTCAATTTTTGAAAACATAGTTTTTTCTCAATGAGGACTTTAATGTAAAACAAAATAAAGTAGATAGCCCGATTTCCCAGTAAATTTCAGTTAAGAAACATGTTGATTGTGATATCAAAATAATTTTACTTTCAAACAAAAGATTCCTTCGTATGAAATTTGCAGCAAAAAGTGGAACTGAGAAAAATGCATTCAAACATTGAACTCCTTTACTTTGTTACTGCCTCACAATGTGTTGAAAATATTTTATATCAACATAACTATTTGGCGCATGGTTATGAAATTTAGTGTAAGGGTACATAATTAGTTTCTAAAACTGAAAACCTCAAAATTGAAAAATGAATTTTTTCAAGACATTTTGAAGCTCAGGCCCATGTCCCCCCTTAAACATTTCGTTTTCACAGTTTCACTCTCCAGGCATTCTTCTGAGTATCTAGTGAATAAAAATGTCAGGTATTACATTAGTTTTCTAACGAAAGTTTTTCTAAACTATGTCCGTGCATCCCTGATAAAAAAACGACTAATTTCTTTCACAATTCACGTACGCATATGAAGTTTCACACTGCATTCTGCCTCGCAACTGCCAATGTATGCTGTAAATTTATTTCATATTGAGCCAAAGGTTAGAAAGTTGACCTTTTTGGGTGGTATCCTCCCTGAATGGATGCACATTTCTCCTGTGCATGCAGGTTTATTTATGAGACGGAGCACTTCAACGGGGTGGGGGAGCTGCTGGAGATCCTGGGCTCGATCATCAATGGCTTTGCGCTGCCCCTCAAGGCTGAGCACAAGCAGTTCCTGGTCAAGGTGCTTATCCCGCTGCACAAGCCCAAGTGCTTGGGCCTCTACCATGCCCAGGTGAGTGTCGCCTCCTTTCGCGTTTACCTTAAAGGTATCTTATCTAGCGATGCATAGCATGGGGGTGAAAGCGAGAGAGGTCTGTCGTTACATACAGGGTGTTTTACAGCAATAGCTGTCATGGGATCTTCCCACCACTGGGAATGTCATCTATTGTAGATGATTAGTGGTTGTTGATGCCGTTGTTGTCGTTGTTGGTGTTGTAGGGCGTCCATTGTCGACGTCACCAAATCCCTAAAATAAGATTGCCCACCACCCGCGGGAATCGAACCCAGGTCCACTGCTTGCGAAGCGGAGGCATTGCCACTGAGCTACGTCACAGCGTTAATAGCCTGCTCCAGGCTTTGCGGTTTTCGTAGTACCCGAAGCCCACTACTGCACATGCTTTCTGTAAAAGATAATAGTTGATAAGAAAATGTTGTAGCATTGCCTATGCCAATAGCTCGTGCCGGGAGACGCGCTTTTACCCACTCCGGAACAAAATAGAAACAAAAGTGTTCGGAACAACATGATCAGGTGTTCATTTTGTTCCGAATTCTCTTGTTCAACGGTGCGTGAACGTGACGCCGACGCTCAACGACTTCGCCAGGACTGGACTGTGAATTAACACGGGGCAGCTAAAACATTTTTTGCAGCGGAGCTGTTAAGGGCTAGTCTCTCCAGTTTTGTGTCCGTCACCAAACAAATGTCGACACAAAACTCTGGACAGCTACCGCCATCTATGAGCAACGGCGGCAAACAGACAACCTTCTTGTCAGTTGTCTGGTTGCCGCCGTCACTCATAGATGGCGGCAACTTTTCCAGCCTTTCCACTCTGGTCTTCACCAGAGTGGGAAGGCTGAAAGATTTTTTTTTGTCAGATTTGAAATTGAAGAAAGAATATTTGCATATAGCGAGCAGACATATAAATTGCCTCGACAAGGATAGCTGCGACAATTTTACTACTTACGTATGCAAGAGTTTGTAAAAGTAGCTATATTAAAATTAACTGAGCCTAGATTCGACCAGTGGAAGGCTGGAACGACCTTCAGGAATGTGGCTGAATTTTTGTTAAGCATGGTGCACGGTAGTCAAAGGCTCAAAAAAACATTAGATATTAAAAAAGAATATTAAGCCAAAACCACTCTTTGCTTTGAATTCGCTTCATAATCAAGATCCAGCGTTCACACATGCCCGTAGTAGAATAATCTGTTAGGCTTGGACTCAATTTAAAGTTCTGCTCATTAAAAACCCCATCGAGTGCTATCATATCTTTGTTGCATTTGACAAAGTGGCTAAGTCTGGCGATTTTTTTCCGAGGACAAGCTTTCTTGTTTCTAATCTGTGGCCCACTGTCGTTTCAGCTGGCCTACTGCGTAGTGCAGTTCCTTGAAAAGGACGCCACGCTCACAGAGCAAGTGAGTGGATTTCGCCCCTTTTACGTCAGCTCTGGGATTTGCACGTTGTTGGTTCATGTTTTGATGCACCCAGGAATCGTGGGTTGGCTCTTGGAGAGCCACAATCTGCTTGCCCAGTGCAATTTAGTCTTGGTTAGTAACGTGTTGCTGTAACTTGGTTACTCTTGTGGGAACTTTTAACTGTAACGCATTAATTTTTCTAAATGTAACTTGTAACTGTAGTCTTATTACTTTTTCTGAAGTAACGACAACAAGAAGGACCTTAGTTTTATTTGTACTTTTTGTGATTCCTCGAGGATTAATGATATCATTGAACGAGTAGAATCTTGCCATTCCGTGATAGTGCCAATATTTTTATGGTGATAGCTGTTATGGGATTTTCTCACCACTGGAAATTGTGTCTGTTGTTGATGTTGTAGCTGCAATCGTTGTTGATGTTGATGTTGTACTTGGCACAGTAGGACGTCCATCGTCGATGTTGCCAAACCCTCAAAAGAAAGGTCGCCCGCCACTCACAAGAATCGATCCTGGGTCCGTTGCGTGCGAAGCGGAGGTCTTACCTTAGAGCTGTGCCAGAGCATGAACAACCCGCTTTATATTTGGTGTTTTTGTAGCACCCAATGCAGTGGCGTCACTAAGGTCAGCAGCACCCAAAGCAGCAGCCCGCCGCAACCCCCCCCCCCCCCCCCCCCCGCCACTCTTATGGCCCTCCCATCTGAGCCCTGCACCCAGGGCGGTCCGCCACCCCTTGTGACGCCACTGACCCAATGACCACTGCACGCTCTCTCTGGAAAAAAAAAGAAAATATATATATATACACATATATATATATAATATATAGAGTCAATAACAAAATGCTGTTGTAGGACTGTCAATGCCAAAAGCTCATGCCAGGAGATACACTTTCACGCGCTTCGAAGCGTCAAAGGAACAAAATTGTTCGGAACAAAATGGCCGACTATCTATTTTGTTCCCAGCGCTTTTGTTCATAAACCCCACGCTACGTGAACACAACACCCAACAACATTGCCGTGACTCGTCGCCGTGGCTGTACTATGGTTTAACGCAAGGCTTCTAAATTTTGTTTAATGTAAGTGTACCAAGTTACTTTTTCATTTTGGTAAATGTGATGGTAACTTGACTACTTCTTAGCACCTGTTTTATGAGTCGGTTTCTATGAAACAATTTTCACGTAAAGGCATCATAGTCGGGGGTGGATGCAGGAATTTCCTGAGGGGGGGGTCAGGTGTTGGTCAGCATACCATATGTTTAGGAACCCCCTCCCCCTCTTCTTCGTTTTACGCCCTAAATTTCACACATTGAGAAATCAAGAAAGGGGTCAGGACATCCGGATTCCCCCTCTAAATCCGCCCCTGATCATAGTGAGGGTCATGAACGAGCGACACACTGGGTTATATATAAAGTTTTAGACATGAAAGTTATATATGAAGTTTACATATAAAGTTCAAGCCCGGGGGGGAGAGGGGCTAGGTGGCTCACCTTAAACCCAGGTCGGTGCGATTGTATTATACTATGCGGAGCGCAAATTCGTCTGCTTATTTTGCAGGGGTTGTGGGGAAGTCAGAATGCCAAGCTCTGATTGGCTCTGATTGAAGGGTCGTGAATAGACCTCAAGGCAGTTTGCTTTGAGGTCTACCCACTGTCCTTCAATCGGAACCTATCGGCGCTCGGCGTTCTGACGTCACCACCACGCCTACAAAACAACCAGGTGAACTTGCACTCCACATAGCCACTGAACTACTAGCATACCTGGTCTGGAAGGGTAAGTGATTTTATTCGAATGAAGACGTGCTGGCGACTGCCATAGGTTTTGACTGAAAGTAAGGAAATTATGCAAAACAGAAAAATATATATATACCGTAAAATCCCGTCAGGACGCCCGCCCAAAATGCAGAGATAAATAGTAAAAAACATGGGGTGGGCTATCTTTGGGAATGCCACAGCAAAACTTTATAAAATATTAATGATAAGCACCGGGGCACCCGCTACAAACCATGTGACGCGGGAACTCGTACCGCATATCGCGGACACCACAAATTCGCGTTTCACGGTGCGATAAACACGCGGGAATTCGCTACAAACTCCTGTGTCACGGGAAAGGATACCACAAGTGGCCGACGCAGGAGATTCGCGTTTTATGGTGCGAAGGACTCGCGGAGACCCGCCGGGAACTCGCATCTCACGGGAACGGATACCGCAGATCGCAGACGCAGCAGATTCAAGTTTCATGGTGCAATAAAGACGCGGCAACCCGCTACAATCTTGCCTGCCACGGAAACCGATATCGCGGACAAAAACAAAAGAATACGCTACAAACTCGCATGTCACGGAAACAAATATCGCGGACGCAACAGAATCGCATTTCACCATGCAGTATACACGCGGGAGCAACTCGCGCGTGTTACTTACAGCTAAAATCTTTATCGCGCGCGCAGATCGCGGACAAAAACACGGGAATCCGCTATGAACTATGGAACGGATACCGCAAATCGCGAACGTAGCAGATTCGCATTTTACGAGGCAATATACACGCGGGAACAACTCGCGCGCGAGTTGATATCGCATGCAGATAGCGGACAAAAACGCAAAAACCCGCAATGAACTTGCTTTTCGGACACACCGGTACCACCGATCGCACTGTTGGTGCGCAATTCCCGTCGGACATCGCTTGACATCCAACGGGAATTGGGGTGGGTGATGTTTCAGAATTTTGAAGTTACAGATGTTTAGCCAGAAGTAGGGTGGTGATTTGGGCCTTTTGTCGTATTCTTTACCTGTTCTTCGTCTCTGTTTATCTGAGCCTTTTTTTCATAATGTTTAATTTAGCCAGAAAATGGGATGGGCAATCTCTCGGGGGAGGGCGCCGTTACGGGATTTAACGGTATATAAAAAAAATTAATTAAAAAAATTAAAAAGTCGGTTATAAAAGGAACAAAGAATCTAGCACAAACCAGACACGGAGTGCGGTTTGTGCAGGACATGTTCTTTACTCCTCGGTCTTCTTCGGCACGATCGAGCTCGTAGAATATTTTCCTGAAAGGAACCGTCGCTAACTACTTTTCGAAATTAACTTGCCCTGGACCAGCGGGACTGTCTTGTGACGAGAGACCGAAACGAGGGGAGGCAACCAACCTCCTTCCTGTTGGGTGCCTAGTCTCGGGGTGACGACGCCTCGCTTCAACGAACCACGGTTGCCAACGGGAAGAGGACGGCGGGGCGTCTTTTTCGGATTACCCGCTTCCGGCGCATGCTCGTTGCGTCGTCGAAAATAGAAAGCCTGCGCCGGAGGCAGGACTACCGGAGCTGCTCCCTGCCGTCCTCGCCTTGCCTGCGACGGCGGCTTTCTCACTTCGCGTCGTTGCATCCGGTCAAAACACACAGCTTTCGTACTCGCAACAGTTGGTGACCCGCGGACTCCATGAAGTGACCTTTCTTTACGAAAGAAAGTCCGCTTTTGCTGGAGTAGAAGCGCTGTTCGATGGAGGCGGGTCGAAACTTCGCATAGTGCCAAGCTTGTTTCTTGCGGAGTCCGTCAAAGATTTCACGTTTTTTTGGGCGACGTGTGTCGGGGTGGGGCGCAACGGCCGAGTCGACGACTGAACGGAAGGAGACGACGACGGCATAAGTTATTTGTTCGCATTTCCGACATGGCGCCTGGGACACGTCTCCGACCAGCGCGTTGACCGCGTCCGAAAAGTGGATGCCGCGGCGACGACGACATTGTCGCATTTGTTCGTACTTTTTGCCGGTATTTCTGCGATTGACCGTGAGGATCGCGACATCTGATGGCGCATGGCCGAATGCTGTGCTGGCGATCGGCATCGAACGCGAGTCCCGGCCGATCGAGGAAGACAACTTTAAGAATATTGTCCACGAGCCCCTCTGTGGGCAAACGCCGAACTCTGGGGAAAACGAGCTGAACAAGGTGCCCGCCATAAGTTAATCTCGTCGCCGAAAAAGACTAAAGTTTCTAGCGTCTGAGGACAGTTTTATGCGAAAGTGAACGTGACGGTGTAACGCGCTAATCTAAGCGGCAAAATCGGGCTGGCGTATGGTTGTACGCCGATTCGGATTCCCCCCTAATTTAAATGGGCGGCCGGAATCGTCGCGCAATATTTACCGGAATTTACTGCGATTCCCAAGCTCGGAAGAGCTCGGAAGCAAACACCCGGCGCAACTTATGATGCGCCGCACGCTTTGCATCTCCCGACTCTTGCCCGTAAAACTAGAATATTTTTTGTGTGTTTTCTTTTTCTTTTTACTGAATTTTGATAACTTTTGGTGCGGATAATTGTAGCAAGATTTTGCGTCTCATTTCATTCTTTTTCTTCCAGGTCATGAAGGGTTTACTAAAGTTCTGGCCAAAGACCTGCAGTCAGAAAGAGGTGAGTGATATTGAAGCTTCGGTTTGGGTTTTAATCTCCTCCTGGAGAGTGGGAGGCCATCTCTCTCTGGCTGCCTAACCTCCAGATGCCTAAGTAGTCATTTACGCATTCACATTTCCTCCGCCATGCGTTGCATCAGACATCGTTCTGATATGCTGTGCTGCTCTAGAGGCCTACGAAGTACCTTAGCACCTCCATTTCGCTGGACAGAATGTCTAAGCCAAGCAATTTATTTTACGCCACCTTTTCTTCTTTTTTAGAGCTAAGGGCGCAGCCGTCGTGCGTGTGTGTACAATAGACAATGTGTTCAGCCTGCCTGTGGCACCCACTGCAACGAGGTAGGACGGGCGTGATTGTGCAGGTGATGTTCCTGGGCGAAATCGAGGAGATCCTGGATGTGATAGAGCCGACGCAGTTTGCCAAGATTGAGGAGGCCCTCTTCAAGCAGATCTCCAAGTGCGTCTGCAGTCCACACTTCCAGGTGAGGCAGCCCCCGGCCTTACCAGGTGCCAGAGCCCCCCCACCACCCCACCACTGCTAGCCAAATGCGCTTGACATACGACGTCGTAGGCGGCAGCAGCAATCTCCATTTTACGACGATAGCTGTTACGGGCTCATTCCCCCGCGGGAAACGACATCCATCGTCGACGTTGTAGTAGATGTATAGTAGTTGTCGTCGTAGCTGGCGACGTAGGACGTCCGTTGTGGATGTTGCCAAATCTTGAAGAAAGATTGCCAGCCGACCACAATTGTCGATAACAAAATGCCGTTGTAGCACTGTCAACACCAAGAGTTCGCGCCGGGAGACGCACTTTCACGCTCTCCGGAACGACAAGCAAAAGCATTTAGAACAAAATGGTCGGGTATCTATTTTGGTCACACATCTCACTGTGTACAAACGTGACGCCGACGCCCAACGACCTTGCCGCAACACGTTGCAGCTATCGCCTTGACTACTGTAGATTAACATGGGTGTGCTCAATTTTGTTGTCTTATAGATCGCCATGGTGATGGGATCGCTAGCAACGAGTTTGATCGCCCCGTTCACTCGCGCATGTCATTTTTAATTTGGTACATGGCCAATTTGCTAAAAACAAAGTCCTGGTTAAGATTTCGTGAAAATAAGGATCATCAAAGCAAGCGCACGAGCGGGTTGACACGTGAAACTGAATCTCCAGCGCTCGCATGCCTCTGGCTTGGCTAACTAACTCTTACACACAGCGTCAGCTATGATGCTGTTTCTAGCGAGCCTGCCCCGGTGCAGTTACGTGGCTATGGGCATGGATTATTGAACTTGGAGAAAGATGTAGTTTGAGGACCAAGTTTGCCCTAAACTGTGTGCATCTGAGAAGTTCCTATCGATCGTCGGGAGGAAAGATTAGCAAAAACATTTAAATACCAGTCGAGTGGCCTCGGCAACCTCCCCAGCCACCTCTGGCCGTCTTTATCGCTCGCACACTTGCGTTTGCTCAAGACGGAAGTTCTCACGATCTTTCACGACGAAAGAATAGTGTGGCGCCATCTATGACGTGGCCCTGGAACTGCATCTCACTAGAGCAAAGGTTATGCTTTATCAAATGTACATACTTCTACGAGAAATGGTTGTTTATAAAGTTCTCGAAAGATTTTTAAGTCAAGAAAGAAAGAATCACGTGCGAAAGAAACAGGAAATGCAGTCAAATCTCGATGTAACGAATTTCATGGGACTACAGAAAATTGTTCGTTATTCTGAAATACTGCTATGGTAAAACATTCGCCAATCGCCACTAAAATAATAAAGATCTATTGTTAGATCCTTAGGGAAGGCATTAGCATGACCCTTGGGAAACCCCCACACACAGGTCCCCCTTTGGGAAACGCTAAAACGCTTACCCCTTCACTTTTCTGTTTGGCTTTCTCTTTTGCTTCTATTTTTTGCTGCCTCTTTTTGGTCTCGTCACGGGGTCAGTCAGCGTTTCCCATAGGGGGGCATCTGTGGCATTAACTAAGGGTCATGCTAACGCATTCCCTAAAGATCCACGAATGGATCTTCCTTTAAATTTTTTCCCGGCGATCTGGGCTCGCCGAGCCCTCTTCGCCCCAGCCTTTGTCGCACGCAGACCCGCGTCGGCCTGCCGCTTATTGCACCGCATTTCGACCAACCGATCCAGGCGCCGCTTCCGCTCCGCTGTCTCGTTCGCCCGCCTTGCACGCTTAACAGCGGCATCTGCTACCTGAAGGGGTGTCCAAACAGGACACTACAAAACGCACGACTCCGACAAATCGTGAAAATTGAAGTGGGCTTGAAGCAGGCGCGTCCGCTTCAATTTTCACGATTTGTCGGAGTCGTGCGTTTTGTAGTGTCCTGTTTGGACACCCCTTGACGCTGCTTTCGGTGTTCACCGGTTTTCAGTGCGTGCATTGGCTTCCACCCCGTGATGTTGCCTCCCTCTCGCTTTTGTCCATCCTTACTCTCCTCCTCTCTACGCGGCGCGCTTCCCTTTGCACTGTTTTGTCTACAGACAGACACCGTCGGCTTTTCGCCGTCGTGTAGATACTAATGATTAAAAATCAGACAAATGATGTAACCTACCTCTGCAACGCGACGGAACAATGCGTACTTATTAGAAGAAATTTCTAATAATTTTTGGGTAGGTGCAGCACAAAATATTGCACAGCAAACAATTCCGTGTCGTTTACATTCTCGTAAGGCGCGTCGGTTGCATCGGTACGGCTTCCAAGGAACGTGCACAACTTGCCGATTGCACTCGGGACGTCTGAGGCGGAGACGAATTCTTCCCATCAAGCTGCGAGCACTGTTTGCCCCCCCCCCCCCCCCTCATTGTTTTCGGCGTCTTCCTCGCCGCTGCAATTTTAGCACAGAATGTGTTTTATCAGCCGATTTTTACGGACTTTTGTATTGTTTGGCTGTAACGGTCGACCGCAATGAGAAACCGACACCAAAAAGCGTTGTGCCCATAGGGAACCGCGTAAAAAAATCTTCAATGTCTGGCACAACTTTTTTTTCTTTTTTTCTTTTTTTTTGCAGATGTTTAGATTGATGTTAATCGTCGGCTGTGCCGACGTCTATGGTGCTCCGCCACGCAGCACGTAATCTTCAAACTCCGTCGGAAAGTCCACGGCATGCTTCTCGGCGACTTCGCTCCAAAGTCCCGAGTCTGCTTGCGTCGCTTTTGTGTCGGTGCTCTTTACCTTCTGGTTGGACTGGAGTTTTTAAAAGAGGAACACGTCAACAGAAAATTAAACTAGAGTCGCAGCACGAGGAAGTCGACAAGTAGCCCCGCTGGTTGACACACTGTAACCGGTCATTGTCTGCTGATGATGATAGCGTCCAGTCTTGGGAGTCGCCTAGTGGCAGAAGCTGCCACATAGCGGGAACGCACGGAACCTTTTGTTCGTATTTTAGTGAACATATTCGGTAATGTCGAGGTGTTTAATATGTGCAAGGGCGCTTAAATTATATACAGTGTTTCGAAATATCCAGCATTTTGAAATTTGTACTAAAATATTTTTACGTTGAAGCCATAAGAAAATCCGAAGAGAATTTTGAAAATTTTTGTAAATCTGAAAAAGTTGGTAATCTGATGTTTGCAGTTGCTAGATTTGACTGTATAGGGAAATGCCGTCTCGTGAGATGGCGGCACTGTGTTTTCTCGTCGAAAGAGATTCCAAGAGGATTTGAGGCGCGCAGTCGTAAGCAGTCACAAGTGTAAAAACCAGCCCTAATGCATGCAGTCCTAATCAACCAATCGTGGCAGAGCGATATCGAGGAAAGCGTCGTGTTACTCTGGCAGACGATGCCGTTGTATGCCGTGACTCCATGCCCGACTAACTGCCACCACCCTGGGGGGGGGAACTTTCAGGTAGCGGAGCGGGCGCTGTACTTCTGGAACAACGAGTACATCCTGAGCCTGATCGAGGAGAACAACCAGGTGGTGATGCCCCTGATGTTCCCCTCCCTGTACCGCATCTCCAAGGAGCACTGGAACCAGACCATCGTGGCCCTGGTCTACAACGTCCTCAAGACCTTCATGGAGATGAACTCCAAGCTCTTCGACGAGCTCACAGGGGCCTACAAGACGGAACGGCAGAGGTGCTCTTTCTCTCTCTCTCTCTCTCTCTCTCTCGGGAGGTCTGCCAACCTTGGATAATGAAAAAAAAAAAAACGGGATTATCGGGCATTTTGACAACTCTAGAAGATTTGGGGAAAAGTTGGGGAACTCCCTCCCCAACCGGCGTCGGTTGGGGAAATTGAGCTGTCTTTTTTCTATGCGACCGCAAACGATGTGTGTCTGGTGTGACGCGGATTGCGTGCAATTCGGCCGGAGTGCCGGATCAAGTCTCTGCTCAGAAATCACAAGTCTTGGCCGAACCTAATTGCCTTCTTTTGAGACTCGTGCACCAAGATATAGCGCTTCTCTGCTTGCGCTCGCACCAAAGCATTTGCCCGGTGGTTCATTCAAAACAGGTTGTTTATCTTGCAAGAAATATCGAACGATAGACTGACCAGGTAATAGGTTCTGGTGCTTGGCCCCCGATTAGTGTTTTCTAGTGTTGTGCGAAGAAATTTTGAATACTAGTAGTTTTTTATACTGTAAACGACAAAATTTTCGCGAGGACCTAATTTTTGCGAATCGCCTACAATTCGCGAAAAATACGTCCCGCGAACAATTCGGGCAATATGTGAACACTATGGAAGCTACACTCGATTCGCGAAAATTAGCACCCGCGAGTATTTTCAAATTTTCAGCTTTGGCCCGATTCGTGAAAATTTGAGCCCGCAAAAATGAAGTCGTTTACAGTATTACACCGTTCGATATTCGCTTCGAGATGAACTGCAATGCTAGTATTCACATTTGTTGAAGTGTTGATAGCAGCGGGTTAGCTTCGTTGAGCATGCTTCTTACCGAGCACCGGTGTACTGCAGAGAAGCAACACCCGCAAAGCTTGCATCCGCGCGTGTTGCTTCTCTGCAGTGCACCGGTGTTCGGTAAGAAGCGTACTTAACGGCGTAACCCATCTCTATCAACACTTGGAAAATTATTAATATCGCAATTGCATGCTTGGGGGAAAAGCACACTCAAATCAAGGTGGTGCACGCACCTGGTATATTTAAAAAGAGACGGAAATTTTGTGAGTGTTGATATCTACATTGCAGTAAAATTTTCAAAATTAAGCTGTGGCGGTTATGCAAGAGGATATGTTAGGCAGAGATGCCCCGACAACCTGTAATCATCATACGTGATTCTTTTTCTTTTCTTTTTTTTTTTAATTTGTGATTGAAGAAGGATTATTTGCATATAGCAAGATTTGTAAATCCACTCAGTTAAGTATAGCTAGGCATCTCTGCCTAACATATACTCTTGCATAACAGCCACAGTTTAATTTTGAAAATTTTACTGCAATGCAGATATCAACATTCACAAAGTTGCCGTCTCTTTTTAAATACAGCAGGTGCGCGCATGCACCATCCCAATTTGAAAGCATTATTCGCTTCGAACTCAAAATCTACTATACACACATGACTAGTGTTTTTGCATAAAATCTGCACTTCACAGACGTCCTATTCCTTTAGCTCAGGGGTCTCAAACACGCGGCCTGCAGGTCGCATGGGGCCCACATGCACCCCACATGCACCAAAAACAGGTTTTATTTTGTAGCTTTATTTCCGCTCAAAAAGGAACTGTTCTCATTTAATGTGTTCATGCATTCTGCACTGTTTTCCGGTCCTTTGGAGAGAGTATTACTTCTTCTAAATATTGTCTTCTCATTCTTTTTTCGTCTAAATCAACCGGAATGGCAGCACCACTACTATGGTCAGTTTCAGGCTAGGAAAAGTTTTCGAGGGAAAGAAAGGCTGAGGAATAGGGGCAGACGGAACGCTGGATAGAGGAAGAGGTTTCCTTCTTTCCAGCAATCCGTTTGCTTCCTCCTTCCCAGCCCTTCTTTCCCTCAAATACTTTTCTTAACCTGTAACTGACTATAGGCTACAAGTGCGAGCTCTTTGCCCGAGGACGCACCTTGGCTGCACAAACTCTCGCTCATCAGCAGCAACTGAAAAAGATAAAGATATGAGCTTGGGATTCGATCTGTCAGACGATACCTTTAAAATGAAAGTATTTCCTTATATGAATTCTGCTATAGAAATTGTCGAGAGAGTACACAACTGCCATATGAGGAGATATTTTTGTATGCCTGTTGAACCTGGTGAATTGTGCAACGTGGCAAGGACGGTGTGCTTGCTCTCGTTCTATTGAAAACTGCCAGTACCGTGGTGTGGTGGCGTTCTAAATCTTCTCATAACATCGGACATGGGCCCAACGTAGTCATATATGCAAATAAAAGCTAAAGGTGGCAAAACCGTGAGCTTATAAATACCTGAAGGCACGAGGTTCCTTCTCTAGAAAATCTTTGGGATTTCGCTGAGACAGTCGACTGCTTTGCAATGTGAAACATCACTGCTGTTGGTTTGTATTTTGTACATGTTTCTGCATTATCTTTTGACTAAGTGCAAGTCTTAGTATTTCGAAGCTTCCCATCCGTACGATTTTCTACCCTGCCACGGTCACTAGGATGGGATTGGCTGCATCGGTAAATAAATAAATAAACTCTGGACGGACTTTGCTCGCTCAAAGCAGAGCTGTTGGTTTGACTTTGCAGCACACACAACCTGTGGCATTGCACCGCGTGAGGGGGGATGGGGGCAGCGTTAGCGATGGACTAACACTGTGGCGCTTGAAGTGCGACACGAGAGCGACCACTGTAGCGCCGTTGTCGCTCTGTGTGACGACACGACACCAGGTAAAGGCCAGTCCGGGTAAGCGCGTGGAAACATGTACGGGTGGTTTCTGCAAATACTTAAAGAAATCCCTACAAATGGGATGGTTCAGAAAAGAGACACACTCGGTGCTGCCGGCACAAGGCAGGCAACGCGGAAATGCGCGCCATTTTTTTTATTGTCCGCGTTTTTCGATTTTCGGCCTTTAGTCTGCTGCAGAAGTGGAAGCTCTGGCGGACCCTCACGCCTCCCACGCGCTTCGAGCCTTCCTAAAATCGACTGATTTAGGGGTTTTTGCAGACGGTCGGCAAGTTTCTAATTTGAATCGTACGTTTATTTTCACTAATTAAAAAGTTGATTAGTAAGTTATAGGAGTTTGTTTGCCAATCAGTATGTTTTCTGGAATTCCACCGTCGCTGGAAATTTGTTCCTGAAAAGCGTTCCTTCTTTTCTTGTGAATATGGGAAGTAACAGCTGGCATAAAAGGCCGGTTCAGACATGACAGCACCACGTTCCGCGCAGGGAGAAGAAGCGGGAGAAGGAGCGGGACGAGCTGTGGAAGCAGCTCTCGCAGCTCGAGCTGAACCACAAGTCACGGCTCGCCGGCGGCGGAGCGGGCACGCCGGCGCGCCCGGGCACCTCACCGCCCACAAACAGCTCCGTCACCGGGGGAGGCGGCGGTGCACCCTGTGGGAACTAGTTCTCCCGTCCCCCCCTCACACTGACCCCTTCCCGCCCCCTCCTGTCTGTGCCGCACATGCCGCTCCCCCCCCCTCGCACCCCTTCCTCCCGCCCGGGTGGTCCGTCGGGCGCCTCCCAGACAGCAGAGTCGTGGCGCCGAATCGTCGGCATCGCTCGAAGATTGTTGCCACAGGGCAAGGGCCGGACGCGAGCGCCACGTCAGTGTCGTGCCCTCGTCCCGCTAGAGCCACGAACAAAGGGAACCAGTGCGAACGAGCGTGGAGCACGTGCAGTGCGATCGCTCGTGCTTACTCTACAAGCACCTATAGACTGCAGGCCTGCCAAAGGTGCGTTCGCGCATGCACTGTGCGTGTCCAAAGCTCGTCCGTTGTTTCTGTTTGCCGCTCTAGCGGAACCCGGGCATTAGGCCAGAACTCGCGTTCGCACTGACTGAGCGCGAGATTGAGCCGAACACCGGTGCAGCGCTTGCGTTACGATTCGTGCCCTACGTGGGCCTTCTCCTGCGACGCAGAGAATTCTGCACTGCGGCTTTGTCGTCTGTGGTTGCCGGAAGAGCGAGAACGACGAGGCGCGTCTTTCGAAAACCGGGCCTCCAGTCAGCGCTTCGTGCCTTCCGCAGCGATCTAGCCACGCGCATGCGCTGGAGGTGCACGAGACGCTGATGCTTCGTCGTAGGCAGGAGGCAGGCGTCGGAGGCGGGGCCACCGAAGCTCGTACCTGCCTTCTTTGCGTTGTCGGCGACCGTAGGAGGCGTCGATCCGTCGCCGTAGCAACCACTGCCGCCGTTGCCGCGGCGACGCGCGTTCCTGGCACCGAGGAGCGAGGGCATCCGTCGTTGCCGCGACCGCCGGTACCCGGCGAGAGGAAGGGGAAGGGGAAAGCAGAGCCGAGAAACGAAGTGGAACCTACGACGGTGGAAGTGAGAAAAACAACAGTGGCCCCCCCCCCTCTCTCTCTCTCGCGTCCCTACCTCCTTTCCCTATTGTCCCTCCTTTGCCTCCCATTCTGCGATTGGACTTGCAACGCTGCGGAGAACTTTAGGTGCCGGCTCCTGGATTGTTCCTTTCTTTCTTTTGTGATTGTTCCGTTTTTGTTTCCTATATTTGTGCTCGGTGCCCTTTTCCTGTCTGCTTGCGCCGCCGCCGCATCCACTCACCAGTGTCGTCTGCCGCACTCTCTTTGTGTGGAGCCTCTCTCCGCAAACTTTTGTAATTTTGCTTTCGACGACGACGAAGTAGTTGGAATGGACGGTACGCCGTTGCTGCCAAGCGGTGTTTTTTTGTTTTTTTTTCTTCGTACACGTGTGTTTCCCTTTTTTCCCCTTTTGGTTGCTCGGACTTCTTTTTAAAACGACATATGTAAAGATAAAACACTGTTTTCGGATGCAAAAGTTCTTGGCTGGCTCACTGGCTGTAAACTTTGTGGATCGTTCCTGCTTCTACCGCTACCGCGATTCAAGATTGTACCGACCGCTTTCGTTATTTTTTGTCCAAGAGATGTGCTCACAATTGATTTTCCATCAATCGTTTCTGTTTTTATCGGCATTTCCTTTTTTTTTTTCCCATCCTGTTTGCAGTGCAAGGGGGGCATTTTTGTTACGTTACCGGTGACACAACTATGGCGTGGACAGTAGCACCTTCGTGACATTTGGGACCCATTGTAGGACTTTGTCATACCAGCTGTGGAAAGCCATTCAGCTAATTAGTTGTTTTCTTTTTACAACTTTTTCTTTTCTTTTTTTTTTTAATAAGGACTAGTTTTTGAGATACTTAGTGTAGGTTCCCAAGGAACAGCTTAGAAGGTGCAGCGTGCTTTGATATTTCAGATGCTGGACGAAACGTGCAATTTAGTCGCATTTCATGCCAAATCCTTCCAACCACACGACATTGTTTGCATACTCTCGATTGGGCTGAATGTCAAAATGATGTTCAGCCAGCCAACTGATCGCGAAGAGATTAGAGATTCGTTCCTTTTGGGCTGGCCTGCTTCATGTTTTGTGCAGGGGTGAGGCCCAGCTAACATTGAAAAATGTGCTCTGCTAAGCCTAACGTAACACTACAGTGCAAGGTCTGCCATCAAGATCAGTTTGATTGTGTGATATGATATGCTGGGCCATAAATGGTGACCTGCTGAGCTGGATATCAGTCCATATTATACCTGGCACGAATAACTGTTGGTTTGAGTTTCAGCCGAGCTAGTCCTAACCATGCTCAGTTGACCTTCACTAAGCCTACTGGCTCTGCAGAGTGCAAGATTGCCATGCTAAGTTTTGTGCACAATTTTGTTTGATACAATATGATACCTGATTTAGGGTTCTGTTTTGGCCTAACATTGCATGCTACTTGCTTGGTCCGGCTAGGCCTGATGATGCATTCTGCTGGGCCTATCCTTGTGCAAGGCAAAGAGCAGGCAGGAATGACAAGGGAGATCCCAAAGGCTTGCGCACGGGCCACTGGCACTGTTGACACTATTGTATTCACTGCCCCAGATGCTCTTTTTTTTTTTTTTTCCTATACTTCCTTGTTTTGTTTTTTATGCGAATGTTTGTATTTTTGGTGTTTTCAATTTTTACATTGTTTTCAATTTTCTCCCTTGTCTGAATTTGCACCATAGCGCAACCGAGAGCTCAGATTACAGTCTGAAAGATCCAAGTTCCACACCTTTAGAGACTGTCGGGCAGGCACGAAATCGGTCCCTTACCCTAGGAAGGCGCCGCTGAGCTTCATCCACGTGCGAGCTTGTGCCGTATTTATTCAAACCTGCCACGCACTTCTTCGTGTTTGTCAGTCTCTTTGTTTACTCTTTCAGTTCTCATTCAGTGTTTGCGAACACAGACTAGTACAACCAACCCTTACACCCGCCCACCCCATTCCTTCGTCGCGTTCCTTTGTACTGTGATGATGCCGAATCGCGATGTGAAGCGGCACAGGCTCTTTAACCGAGAAATGCATTATACCGACCATCGTCGTTACTTGGTTTCACTAGCAGACGCAAGTCAGTTAGGCCACTGTGCAAACATTTGTGTTTAGGAAAGTTGTTTTTCTGTCAAGTTTCCTTTCCCTTTTTTTTTTTATTATTATTATTATTATTTCATCTAGAGTCTTTTGTTTTCAGAGAGGCACGCACCCCAAAAATGATTGTCTGCTTTCGAAAAATGTTTCGGAATGTGCTGTGTGTGCTTGTGTATGTGCGAGCAGGGTTCTTTGGGTCCCTGAACCCTTTGCGGGGCCCTGTTGTTTCTTGATGAGTAAGGTTTGACTTTACACTAACACGAGATAAGATTTCGGAAGAGGCCGTTTAGCAGACGAGCGTATTGCTGTTAGCAGACGACGCATTCCTGCGTAGCAGATGATGCGGTGCGGGCGCATAGAAGCTGACGACATTGTGTTGCGAGCTTAGCAGACAACGACGGGAAGGTGTTTGCGGGTTTGCCGGAGCGCTTTTGTCTCAAAGTTGCGCCGCTGCTTCCGTCTTTTTAACAAGAGAACTAGCGTTGTGTTTCTTTTTTTTTTTTTGTGTATTAGGCGCTTTACTGTCCCTTTTCCCTCTTGCCCCCCCCCCCCCCCCTTCCTCCCTCCCTCCCTCCCTTAACGAGAAAATCCCAGCCTCCCCTTTTCCTCCTTTGAATGTGTAACATACAAAAAACGAAAAAAAGTAAATAGCCGCAGTTTGTTGAGGTAGGAAGTTTTGCTTTTCAAACTTTTTGTCTGATAAACTTGGCCCAGCTCTGCACAACCTTGTAGGAAAGAAGAAAAAAAAATGTGTGGAGCGAATGGTTGTTGTGTGAACGCAAACATACAGAAAATGTTATACAATGACCTGCTGATGTTTGTTTTTTTCTGTGACCTGTTCTCCAAGATGTCCCCATTTTGGGAGTAACATTCTTTTTTTCCCTTTTTTTTTTTTTTTTTTTTTTTTTTATAAAGCATGGTGTGGTTTTGAAAGGCGTCTGGCAGTCCGAAAGAATGTCAGTTCTGAAAGGATGATCCTTTACCTCTTTGTTGTTTTTTTTTTGTTTTTTTTTTGTGAGACACTTTTTACACACCTTAATTATTATTGACCATTAACCAGTGGCTTGTGAAGCAGCACTTGTCACACAGACAACACACTTGTGAGACTGGGAAACCGTAATGTATAAAAATGAAAGGAGTAATAAAAATTTTGTGACATGTCCACTTTATCTTTTGTGTGTTGCATTTTTTCACGGAACGAATTCTTCGGTTAAATGTGCTGCGGCAGCTGTATGCACAATGTGTCTCCCCCCCCCAAAAAAATAGTAATGCTGCCCAAATGGTTCGGACCAGAATCAAGTTTTCAGAACCAACTGTCACTCCCTCAGAAGTTACAATTTTCCGGAGCTTTCAGTGAGGAAATGGGGCCCCTCTAACAAACGTCGTTCGTCGTGTATGACGTCGGCCGCCATTTTTCTGTTGAAAATTTCTGAAATTGCTTGTGACTTTTCAATTGGATAACGGCAAACCATTAAACTTCTGGCATCTGGTCCCAACTTCCAGTGCCACATTTGGACAAGGGCTAAACATTTGGCGATGCATAATTCATTTTTGTGGGGAAAAAAAAGCTACCGTAAAATCCCGAGAGATGCACCGCCCTTAAAGGTCACCTTCCCTATTTTTGACTTAATTTGCTATTTTCTTTTCAGCACAGACAGATGGCCCACTCCTAGTAGTCGTAGTGTTTGGATCAATGATGACCTCGGCATAATGCATCTAGCTAGCCATGGCGGAAAGTACAGCCGTCTTTGCTTCGTTGCCCCCTTGCCGCGTTAAGTTAATCATGGACACATGATCTAAATATAGCACTTTTTAAACTTTTGTTGATGGCACACCAAAAGTTGGTGTGCCATCATTCTTATTTTCAGCTAGTTTGCTCTCAATTTTAGGTGGGTTATCTGTCAGAAAGTTACGGTATGTATTTTTTAATTTTTTTTCTTGAGGGGGGACACTTTGCAGAACGTAATTTTCATTGGAAGATCTTGCTACTGCTCATGAAAACTCTTCTCCAGGAACTCAATTCATAGAAATACTTAGAACCTTGTACTTTCTAGGAGAGCAACCAACGGCTCATAAAAGCAGGTGAGTTGGCAATCGCACCTTCAGACGTTTGTTTGCGGTAGAATTAATGTACTGACGTCTCATATTCCCCGAAAGCCACGAAATGTGCAGGCGAGTCTTTGTCTCCTACCGTAAAGCCCCGAGCATGTGCCCACTTAAAGTTTGTAGAGAATCGTGTAGGACTCGAGGATGGACACTCTCTAGGTCAACGGTATGTGAAGATACATACTTTGTGCATTTTCCGAATGTTATAAAATTTAGGGGTGGGCACTGATTGCGAAATGGGCGTATGCTCATTATTTTCTGGCAGTATTATAGTGCTTTGAAAGAAGCAACACGCCCTTTGGAAAATTCCAGGAGACCTTGCAACGAAGGGAATTGTGGGGCTGTCTGGATATACGCTCGAATGTGAGTCGTTCGGGCTCAAACACTTTGTATATCCTGATAGCGACACAATGCATTCTTACCATTAGAAGCTCGGAGCACGCAAAAAAGTAAAGTGAACGGAAAACAAGTTCATCAAGTACACTGTTTCACTTCTGCCTTCTCTGTGTTCTGAAATTGCAGACTGTTAATCCAACGTCAACTTTGTCTTCGCTTAGATAATTTCGCGTGCTGTACTTCTGTTAGTTGCAATGCGTAAAGCAGATGGTGGGTGTACCACGTATTTCCAGAAAGGTCTATTGCCGTTACCGGAGGTATTAATGCCAATGGTCCTTTTGTAAATGCGCTTGACCATTTTAGAGGATTTGTTGGATGTCGGTAGTATTCACTGGCTGCCATAGTTGAGTCCGTTGCTGGCAGACAAATAAGCTTGTATCGATCATTCAGAAAATCTCATTAACATAATTTGTCATCAACAAAATCGGTCAGGTTTATAGGAATTTCTTATATTTATATATTCCTATATAAATTCCTATATTCCTAGGTTTATAGGAATTTATATAACATAATTTATAGGAAGCTGAAACACTTCTTGAAAAAAATTTTGCTGCTGAGCACGAGTTTGCGATGAGCTTCCACGAGGCTTCTGCAGCGTGCATTAAACATTCACTAAAGTTTAGTTCTTTTCTCAAGATTGATGGGGGCTTGTTTCGAGTGTACACACATCGCACCCAAATGTGCACCGCTCAGATATGCAGCACAAGATGAATTTTGATGTCGAAAGGGAGTTTTTAAGGAATTTCTGATTATTCATGACATACAAATGCCATTGACGCGATATTTATCTTGCGACGGAAATTAATGGTGTGGTTTAACTTTCACCGCTCGCTTGCATTCTATTATTTTGTACCCTTTGAGACATTCCCCTACTGGGAAAGGAAGCCTAATCTTCAAAAACTTGTTTTGCTCATTACATGAATGGCAGCGGTGAAAACTATTTTATTTGTTCCAACAAGGGAACTATCATGCTTTTGTATGCTTCAAAACAATTTAAGAGCAGTGACTAATGACAAATGCTCATGCACGCACATATTTGTTGTTCAAGTGTGCGGACCATATTCGCACAGCTACATTTTGAGTAGGTTTCATTCCGTTCTGAAGGAAGACAAATCTAGGAAAACATAATTTTTTTCTTACATGGGGATTTTTTTTTTTTTAACTAAAATTGAGTTTATTGCATCAGTTTCTGGTTTCTGCAGCATAAAACGGCATAGCTTCCATTCTTGGCAGATTCGTCACTCTGCAGTTACAGAATCAGATGTAACAAACACATTGTTTTCTTTCTTCTTTTTTTACATGCAGGTGCAATTTAACATCTCACAGCTATATGTAACGGGAAGAAGTTACTCTATAATAACTCTAGAAACAGCTCACATTTGCTTGAAATTGGAGGGGAAAAAAAGTCACGCGATTTGTGTGTGGCGCGCTGGTGGCGCATGATTAAAGATTGGACGGGAAATGTTTTCTAAAACCTAATTTTACGAAGAGCATATGACAACAAAAGTTTGTGCCCCTTTCGTGACTGCTTTGGTGAGCATAAATACGCATTCCAATGCTATGCATGCACGTTAAAGATATTGCATGGAAATTAACATGAGCAAAAATGCCTAGCAGACAGTAAACAATAAAAAAAAAACTTGATTTCTTTTTTTCAATTTTAACAGCACTGATCTCTATGACAATTGCTGGATCGCGTTTGCCCGCTCCGCGAATGCGGTCACTGGCGGCCATCTTTAGGTAGAGTTATATCACCTCTAGCCAATGTAAGCTGCTGCAGCCGCTATCATCCATCCATGGCAGAGAGCGTTTTGGCAGGTGGGTTGGCAGGCTGCGGTCAAAATAGCGTGGGTGATATTGCGTGCTTGATTAAAATTATTTGACGAAACGTGTTTTTAAAACTCGGCGTGAACAGTAGTCCGGTTTTTGAGGACCTGGTAAAAGTTTCACGAAATCGCAGCACCGGGAGAAAAGCAGCACAGCACGCATCGAAAGTCGCATCGAAAGAAGCATCGAAAGCAGACGACGGTACGGAGTCTGCTTTTGATGCGAGCTGCGCTGCTTTCCCCCGGTGCTGCGCTTTCGTAGAACTTTTGCCGGGTCCTCAAAAATGAGGCTACCGTTCACGCCGGGTTTCAAGAATCTGCTTCGTCGAACAACTTCAATCAAGCACGAAATGTCACCCACGGTACAGTGTACTAGATCTACGGCTATTTTCATGGCAGCCTGCCGCCATTGCGCTGTCCGCCATATTACTATGATGGCTAGAGATGATATAACTCTACCTAAAGATGGCCGCCAGTGACCGCATTCCGGTCCATAGGAGGAGCTGGTCAAACGCGATCCAGCAAATAGACATAGAGATCAGTGTTTAACAGTGTGTAGCAGAACCGCGCCCTTGTGGTCCCTGGCGTCACGCACCACCTACTTTAATTTATACGCGAGTTTAATTCGCCGAGATTGGACGCCACATTCTCGAATGAATGACTATTCGGAGCCCACCGCCAAGGGGCGAAGCGGCGAAGCATCAGCAGACGCGCGCTCGCTCCCCTTGACAAGACCGCAAATTTCCAAATAAGGGTAAGGCGACGTCATTGGCTGTCGCCCCATCACATGACCCTTCTTCGCTCTGTTGAGTCATCGCGCCTCGCTTAGCGATGCCTGCGTGACAAAAAATAATCCTCAATAACAAGCGCCAGCTCCGCAGCGTGAGTTCTCCAGCTGCGCAATAGTGAGACTAGAAGGAGATCGCCGTATTAACAGTGCCATGTCGTGCTTGTAGAAAAATCAGGAACTTTTCTTCGTCGCTTATTTTTGTTGAGGATCCCGCAAACGCAAAAACAACAAACCAACTAAAAAACATAAAAACAAAAACTAAAAATTAAAACAGAAATTTCGACCAATCAGAGGCGCCGGGTTTGCCGCGCGGAGGGATACATCCCGAATGTGAAGCCGATTTCGTCTACAACACCCTTCCCGTCAGCGTCTGAGAGAAGGCCTAGTGTGAAAATAAGAAGGTGGTGTGGGTACGCTCAGTTGTTGTCCTCCCATTAATTTAAGAAAACCAGCACCATGGTGAGTTCGAAACCTTTCCATTAATCGCTCGGTGCGGAAACCGCGGTTTACGACGCGCCCTTACGTGCGGTTAGCGTTCGCTGTTCTTGCCTAAAGTTTGTAGCTTGCTCGACTGGGCCCACCGGCCGGCGTTGCTATCTTCCAAGCTGTGTAGGCCACGCGAAGCCTAATGCAGCCCCTCTGAGGAGCTAATTTTGGCACCGTTTTAAAAAAACAACTAATTCGGCTCAGTCCCGCTTCGTTGCTCGTTGACCGTCTCTCCGCTGTTTAATGAAACCCAAGAAGCGAGTGTGTGCTAGGGCAAACAGAAAATGTTCTATTTTTAGAGAAGTAGCCACATATCAGCCCTTCCGGACGAGTCGGGAGGGCACTTTTGCCGAGTGTCGCGAAGAAAACAGAAAGAAAATAGGTTTTTTTGGTTCGATGTGTTCCTCTGTAGTTGGTGCCGCGAAGCTGTATTTTTCAATGGCGAATGTGTGTGCAATTGGCGTGTGGTCGCGCCTTTGGTGGAATGCAGTCGTCACGGGCTTGTAGACCGTTGCCAGTGCAGCTTGGAGGGCGGTTCTTGCGGACGAGGCTTAACAACGACTTGGGAGACCGCCGCTCCAGCGTTAGGCTTAACGGCGTCACTGAACTTTTTTTTTTGTGTGTGTTTGTGTTATGATTGTAAGTAACGTTCACTGTCGACTCAGCTACTGAACCCGAGAATGTTTTGGGGGCCCATTAACCCACGTCTGCTTGCACCGAGTCGCCGAGAAGCAGGCGTCTTGTGCGTTTCTTTGCTCGCTAAGTTCCGCTGCGAGTTGTCATCGTTGAAAGTTTCTGACGGTCCCGGCAGACGATAAATAATCGTGCGTAATAATCGGCAAAAAAGCAAAAGAAACTTGTTTTGTAAGCGTAGTGTCCAATTCCGGTGGCTGGTTTAGTTTACTGTGCGGTGCGCAGTTCGCCTGTATTCTTTCATTTCAACTTTTTTTTATTTTTAGGAAAGTTTTTTTTTTTTTTTTTCTTGCGAACTTTACGGAGTTTTGACCTCATTTCTCGATTTTACAAAAGTGCTTTTTTTCTTTTTCCCGGGTTAGCAGTCGGTGCGGTACTATCTGCTTGCTAAGCTTTTTGCGTTTTTTTTTTTTTTTTTTGCGTTATTCGGTTTCTTTACTTCGTTAACGGTAACGCTTTTTTTTTTTTTTATTTATTCTTTAAATTATTATCGAGTCACTGGCCTTGGTAGAGCGAGCGGCGGAAGGGTTCACAGGACGTTCTGCGCCTTCACGATAAGCGAATTCCTCCCAACTCTCGCCTCCCTGATAGGCAGAAAACAAAACAAAAAAAAAATGAAAAGCCCACGTAGCGGCAGGTGCGGCGTCACAGCTCTAGTGTCATGAAGTCTCCATTTTCGCGTTGTTCCATATGAGACGCACCTATTTACTGCAGTCATTACTGTCCATCTTTCAAAGTTTATCTGGTCACAACCAAAGTCCCGCACGTGCTGTTGGTTGGCTGCCGTTTTCCCTGTTTGTGCGGAGCAGAGGACACTGCCATTTTCTCGGTTTACGTCACGCTTGCTGTGTGCCAGCCCTTAAAAATGTTTTGATAGCTAAATGGGAGTCAACTAACGGTGCTGGCAAATATTGCTGAAACTCGTTTTTAAAGAAGCATTGTATCCTTTCTTGGGCGGGAATGTGTTTTCAGCATCCACTTGCTCTTTATTGATGCGTGCATCATTTAACTTCTCAGAAAAGTGCAGTGTCATTCTTGCCAAAATTGCTCAGACCTGGTGAGCATGCGCAGTGAGGTCGTACGAGTCACATCTTACTCTCTTGAGGCCTTTTACCCAGCTAAGGTGGTACAAAGTAGAAAAGGGTAGCACATGCATGCAGTGTGTCAGGGTCCCCGAAACAGTAAAAGTGGCCTTCATGGCAGTTCTGCCCACCAGTCTAAGCTTGTAGTGTTCATTGCTGGAACAAGTTAATTAGACAACTGTTTGTGGTATCTACATAGCTAGTATACAGCTTCATTTGAACGTTGACTCCTCAATAGCATTTGGAAAGGGGCATGGAAGCTGATGTTAAAATAACCCGATGCAGGCTGTGTGGATCCCCAGGCACTGAGCCGCCACAGTGTAGACCTTTATTGGGTTCTTTCAGCCATTTCAGATACATTAAACCTCTGTATTCACCAACCATGGTATTAACTTGCATGTTCATTTCTTTGTGAAGTTCCTTCATTCTCTGTTAAATGGTAGGATTCAGACTGCTGGGGGTTGAAGGAACTTTTCTTTGAGGCAGAAAACAGCTCAAATTGCTGGGGTATGGTTTCACTGACTCTTTGTTTCTGCTTCCTGGCTGCTGGTTACCAGGTTGCTGTTGATGGTTCGCTGCCTTTGCTAATTGGACTGGCCGAATTACCTGGCCTAAGGAGAACAGCGATAGCCTTTGGCTTTCACTGTTATTAAAACTGCTCTAGCGAAGTAGCTGTTGAAAGTGAAACCTGGCAGGCAGGGCTTTGTTCTGGCTAACTTGCACGTTTGGTCATTTTTGTAAGTCAGTATAAGGTGAACTGCCAAACATTTGTAACACTACCTCATTCGCCGTTAAGAGGACGGGTTAGACACTGCACGCCTGCCGGACCAATCAATGTCTGACCCCCCGCTCTGTGCATGTGCAGCTTGAATTGTGGGGTGCATGAAAAATCTGGTCCAGCGAAAAGGTCAGCTTACATTGCCTTGTCAGCTTATCTATAGGGACATGTCCAGGTGCATTGCCGAGCAATGGGTTTTTGGCCATAGGCTGCGAATAAATTTAACAAATAGCTTAATTGTTGTGTGGCAAGTCGCATCACAAACATTAGTGGTTGCTCAGCTTCTGAAATGCTGCAGAACGTTGTCTGCATTATATAAAGGCGAGCACAGTGAGCCGTTGCCTAGTAACAAGATTCATTCGGATACACGCTTTGTTGCATGCGATCCTCATTTGCTGAAACACATTGGTCATAAGCATGTGACTGTTGTGAACCATTACTAATGTTTTACAGGGTGAAAGGTCCTTAGGCCACTTCAGATGCGCACGTGGCGGTCGCAGGTTTCAAGTTCTTAGCGAGCCGACGGCTTCTTTCTTGGACCTGTTGAGCAGCGTCGTGCTGCGTGGGCCGTTCTTGCGTTCTGGGCAGCGAGCGCTTTTATTTTGGGAATCGCGGAGTGCCTGTGGGAGTGGGGCGGGGGGTTTTCGGGCCCTATTTCTGGCTTTGCTCGGCGAGGGAAGGTTTCGGCCTTTCGTCGTCCTCGTGAGCGCCCGTGCAGTTGCCAGCTGCAGTTGATTGCGGGAGGGTTGGGTTAGTTCCCCTGACTGGAGGCTTGTTACAACATTGTCCGCGATGGGGGCGACACGCTGTGGCTGCCTGTTGAGAGAAAAAAAAAGGGGGGCGTTGCACCAGCGGGTGGTGGTGGTCGTCGTCGGTTGGGGGTGTTACAAGCGGTATGGTTCGCTGGCAACTGTTGCCGCCGCTCTTTGCGCCGGAGTCTCTTTGGTTTCAGACGGGACAAGAACGGCAGGGTGTGTATTTAGAACACGGTGGCGTCTGGGGGCAGGAGCTCAAGGTGCGGGAAACACCGAAAGCATTGTATATCCTTGCCGTTGTCACATTGTCGTCGACTGGAGGCGACTTGCAGAGTGACGAAAACCCCTTTCTGTGGGCAGCGCGTTGCTACCTTGTATTTATGTGCTGGCAGAGTTTGCTTTTGGACTCTCTACTCCGAGCAAGTCATCCCAAATCTAGTAACAGTATTGTTTTTAGAAAACTATTTTAGATATATTTCCACAGTTGCATTTAATAGCATGCGGGAGCCAGGGACAGTGACAATCACAAGAAATGCTTTTGGTCACATTACTGCGATCAAGGTGTGGCTCATTCAGATTGGTTCTGAAATTCATATGGGACCAAAAGGGCAACTCCAGTGCCAACTGCAACCGAATAAGGCAATTCCACTGCCAACTGCAACAAAACAAGGTTGTCAGCAAAAGAAAAGGACTGCAATACTGTAGAGACTATAGTGCGGGTAGGCACCAAAAATTTAACAAGTGCATGTGCACATGGCGGCATATGTTCGAAGGGCGGAAGACCTACAGGGAATCTATGGGTTTCCAGTTGACTACCATTTCCTGCATGAAGCGATAAAATGGGTAGGAGACTCCAGTTTAGAAATAGTTTAGGTAATGTAATCTTGAAATTGGTTGTCTAGCTGTCCCACTATGTATTTTTGTAGGTGACATGAATTTGTTTGCAACACACAAGCCTTAGCTTGCATCACAAACTTGTGATGGGTTGCATTATAGGGAGGTTCGCTCGGTCACAGGTATGCTTGTGAAACATTCTGTAGGTGTACAATAGGCTCGTTTGATTCTTTTGCACCTTATGCACCAGTACAGAAAAGTGTGGGGCGGTGTAACTTCAGTCGTATCTTAATACACTTCCCGGAAGTACACTGTCCTACTTTTCTGCACCGGTGCAGGAGGTGTTGGTAAATCGGACGCAGCTACTGCTTCAGCACAATTGGTGCAAGCACGTAGTTAGGTCGCTGCAAGACATGAGAGCCAATTAAATGCCACAGGAGTGTCGTGTTGCCGTTGAAAGAGATGCAGCGGCAAGTGAGCAAGCAGTCACGCGGTAACGTTCCTAGTGCCGGACTGGCTGGGATTGCCTCAACAAACGAGGTAGTGACTATTTCGATGTTCACTTTCAAAATAATTTCTTGAACAACCGCACCAGAACCTTTGTTCGTTCGCACCGGTCAAAAACATCAAGGAGGCAGTGTTTGCATTCACAACCTTTTATTTAACATTCCGATCATTCTGCGTGTTATACGCGAACCAAACAAAATCTGAATGAAACGAATTTGGGGAAGCCCGGTTTAAAACTAGGCAGGAGCCAGATGCAAAGAGACTGCAACCAAACTCCGATTTCGCTCTAATTACTGCTGTTCACTAAAACGTTGTGTCATATGCACCCGTATGCACTTGTATTTGTTATGTGCCGACAAGACGGGAATATTCAGCTTGTCTTTGTTGTAGATTCAAAATTTTAGGTGGGACGCGTGTCGAAATCACGTGGGAGCTTGGAACATTGCCACTGGGCCACATCACATGCGAATGATTGAACCATCGAGTGAGTCCGACACACGCAGAATAAGATATTTCCACTGCAAACCAGGACTGAAACACCTTGGGCACGCGACACATGAATCCGTCGCAACGTCAACAAAACACCATCAGAAACTACACGGAACGAAACCACAAAACTGCTTCCACTGCGCCGGCTGCATTGGGGGGGGATGTCGAATTTATGAATCCCCTATTTTGAAGTTTTACGGAAGTCGCATCAGACGTCGAAATAATTTTGACAGTGGACGTCGAAATAGTCGCTGCCAACAAACAAATCGAAGCATTCAGGTTTTGAGAAGGAAATTGGAAAAGGCAGCAATAGGCCCTTTTCAAAGGTGTGCCATAGCTGCTGCAACAATTATCATGAATCTGCCATTGTTTTGGCACATAATCGGAGTGAGCATGGAGCGCGATGCAATGGCTGCGTTAGCGTTCGACGTAAACTCTGCTGAGCTCAAATCGAAAACTCTTCATGCCCAAGAAATGGCGACTGCCAACGTCGTTCGGCGGTATTTTGGAAAGGTTCTATTGTGCCCACGCTGCGTTTCACTTTATACCCTGCTGTCCGTTAGCGCAGCTTGGGACTGTTTATCTGAACACGTCTTTCTGTCTGCGCAGTCGTCAGGGGTGACCGTCTCGAACGAGGCCAAGACGGTGTATGAGGAGGTGAAGAAGGACAAGAAGTACCGCTACATCATCTACCACATCAAGGACGAGAAGGTGATCGACGTGGAGTCTACGGGTCCCCGCAATGCCACCTACAGCGAGTTCCTCGAGGAACTGCAAAAGTTCAAGAACGAGTGCCGGTACTGCGTTTTCGACTTCCCCGTGCCCGTGCGAGCCGAGGGCGCCTCGGAAAGCGGCATGTCTGTGGACCGGCTCATCCTCATGACCTGGTGAGGCTGCCACCCTTTCTGCTTAGATTTTTGGTCGAGGTGGGTGTGTTACTGAGTGTCGGGCAGCGAAGTCTCATCCCAATGGCTCAATGAGCTCAAAACTCCCCTGGTTAAAGCACATTCCCGCACTTGCATTTGCTCGGGGCCAAGTGCATGCAGTCTTAAACGACGAGAACTCCAGTATTGAGAAGTTTCCAACTGCTCTATCGGGGTCGCGTGGTTTAAAGGCCTCGTTTGCGACACAAACTGCGGTGACGTGCCAAAAGTGCAGACTGTTGGCAAACATTTTCCACCCACTTTCCTCTTCGTCGTGCACTTGCAACCAATCTACAGGTGTTTTCCATGGAATTGCAAATTCTTTGTGGTTTGGGGCTTTCTAGAACTGGCGCATCTAGGTGACCCTGGAACTGAAATTCACTAGAGCAAAGGTTTTGCTGTGTTTACACAGTCATTCATATGCGGTATTTATAAAAAATGGTTGTCATTGTCTAATTTTTTAAACAAAAAAAAAATAAAAAATTGCACGAACCAAAAAAAAAAAAAAAGCAAGATTAGGAAATGCCAAATGTTTCACAGTTACCGAATTCGTGACTCCAACTCTGTAGGTGGCGCCACTAGTTTTCCAAAATGACTGTTATGGTGAGGGTCGGAGTGGCGTGGTATACCAGTTGCCAGAGTCGTGCACAGAGATTGGTCAATGGGAGGCGCGGGCTGAGCGAAGGCCCGCACCAGACGCAGAAAGTGGGCTTGACATGCTTTCTTGGCCAACCAAAAGCCTAAAAGAATCCCCTAGCGGTGGTAGCGAGAAACAGCTTTAATCAAAGGTATATGTTAGTATAGTTTTAATAAGCGCGTAAGAGTGGAGTGTAGTAACCCTTCATGATTGAAAATAGGATCCACGTGATGTTTTGATCATGATCATGCAGAAAGATGTAAGAAATGAATGTGTCGCTCAACTGCTTTACTCTGACACTGTGTGACCACTCAGACGGCAGATTCTCGGCGCTTGGCATACGGATTATGTCAATCATTTCGGTAGTCACACTCTTCCACATAGTTTTGAATGATCATGATTTAAACATCACAGGCGCCACGTTTTCAGTCAGTTACTCCAAAACACTTATCAAGTTTGTTTGTTTCTCGCGACAACACCCAGGGTATAATTTTCGGCTTCTGGTTGGCCGCTTTCGAATTTGGGAAGATGCCCGGAACACGCCCTGCCCGCTTTCGGCCAATAGCATCGCCTCATTTGTCTCCTATACTTCCCAACAAATGGCCAAACTCTCTACATATAGGGCTCTGCTAGTTGCCGAGCCTGTCTAGTGTGCTGGCTTCACCGAGGGACACCAATTGTCCCCACTTCTACGAGGAAACTAGGGTGTTAATCCTGCAGGTCACCTCTTTCTCCTGAAAACAAAGACAATCTTTAGCGTAATACTTAATGCCAGGAGGCTCGTTTTAATTCGGGACAGTTCAAATGTTTTGCTGAGTTCAATGTCCCTTTAAGGGGGGGTGCAACGATTTCCGGACTTCGGTTGAAAATTTGCAAGTTTCCCTTACACTTTTGAAGTAAAGGACAGAAAACCGATTCTGCCTGCGTGTCCTAGTTGTGTAATAAAAAAAAAGAGAGATAGCGGCATTTCTGGCATCCCTCAACTCAATCCCAGTCTTCAGCGTCACTGATGGTCGCATTCCTAGGGATGTAATTCGAGGTGCTGTGCAGGTTTTCGTGTGCTCTCTCGGAGGACGCTTGCTCTCCCTCTTTCTGCTGACATTAGCGGGCGTTATGCTGCAGCTTAGCGCTGAGCGAGGTCACGTAATCTTCTCACCGTAGTCCATTCGGCTGCCACTCGCAGCTGCGGGTGGGGGAAAAAGATTGACGTTTGCTCTGCGATTATGCAGTGGAATCGCAACATTTTTAATGGAGACGTTTTCTCCATCCTCCGGGACACAATCATGGACATAAAAATGATCAGATGCAAATTCTTTTAATCTTGATGGTTACACCCCCCCCCCCCCCCCCCCCTTTAAAGAAGTCTTTCATACACCTTAAAGGTATCAGTATATTTTATTTGTCAAAAAAAAAAAAAAACGCTGATATTTTTGAGTTTTTGCTGCTTTCCCTCACTCAAATTGTCATGTAAAATAATGAACTGTGGGCCCTTTAATGTGTTTCAATGGGTAAAGAGTGCTTTCACAGACCCTTTGGGGTCCGCGAAGGCACTCTAGGGGTCCGCAAAGCCCAACACGATTAGTCGAACCTGGAAGTAAAAGTTGTCTTTTCTCAGATTGAGACGGAACGTTCCAATTTGTGGGTGCATTTTCTCATGTTTATGTCAATAAGAGAAGTTTACTTCACACTAGCCCCTAGTTATATCAATTTATTAAATCGCTATCATAATTAACCTATACTTGCCATTCCTCGCACCGCGAACGGGGTCCTCTTTCGTCTCCGCCGATCCAGAAGGGGCCCGCAAAACATCAATGGCTGAGAACCACTGGCGTAGGTCGTCATTGTCGGAAACTCGTCAAAAGGCACTACTTGTCACATGCTTAGTTGTTCGGAAGTTCAAAGCTATGTCTTTTCAACCTAAATAACTGTGCCATTGGTGAAAAAATTAAACATAACAAATGTGAAAATGAAAAACTGGAAAGAAAAAACTATCAAGAATTTTCCGGAAGTGTTGTATTCTTGCATATTCATAGGCTCAGAACTATGAAACAAATTCTACTCTTACCAAAACGTGTACAAGCTAAAAGAAACGCGTCCCAAGAATGTAAACTGAGAAAATAAAATGGCTTTTTTTTTAATGACTTGCTGAACTTGAACAATATCTGAAATCTTCCCCCATGAGAATTTATTCCTCAACGTGAAAAAACAATACATTATTTTGTATTCTTTTGTCTGTAGTGTTAATGTAAATGCAATACCTCGAAAAATCTAGACGAAAAAAAATTGCCAAGTTTTGGGCATAATTTTCCGTAGATCAGTGTCTGGACATTTCTTCGAAACTCGTCGTGAATAACAATAATCGTATCTTAAGACGACACTTACCTGGCTATACATAAGTCATTCTTAAAAAGTTTAACATCTCTACCATAACTAGCTTCAACTATAGCGCGCTTCAAATATGGCACAATTGACAATTGTCATCTTTCGTCGCTCCTTTGAAAATTCTTTAAAGCTAAGTATGCCAGAACATTGAAATAAATGGCATTGTCTTTCGGAAGGAATGAGACACCACATGTAAAAATTCAAGAAAAAAAAAATGTGAAGGTACTTGCTGCCTAAATCCAAGTGAAACCGCTCCCCGGTCTTTCAAAGTTCGAACTTCAAATTTTTACCCTAAAAGTTTGCAGTTCGTCAAACTTTTGACATTTCAGAATTCGAAAGTTAGAAAATTATCAAATTTCTTAGCATTGGAAGTTTGAAAAGCATCAAACTTTTTTGTGCAAGAAGTTTGAAAATCGTTGAATTATTTAGTCTAAGTTCGAAAGTTCGACAAGCATCAAAATTCGCAGTGTAATAAGTTTGGAAGTTCGAAAAGGATTGAATTTTTAGCGTAATAAGCTCTAAGGTTTGAAAAACATTGCATTTCTGAACGTGCAAAGTTCGAAAAGCGTCAAACTTCTTAGTTTAACAAGTTTGAAAATTCGAAGTTTCGAACCGCTTGGTTCGACCATCGAAACTTCAGTTCGGAAAAAGTTTGCTGCATCCCTAGTCATGATCATCATTCAGCGAGGCTTTTCATAATTTTGTTGTTGCTGTGTTGAACGGCGGATTCCTAGCATTTTCTGTTGCATCTTCCCACAGGTGTCCGGAGAGCTCCAAGATCAAGATGAAGATGCTGTACTCGAGCAGTTACGACGCCCTCAAGAAGGCCCTGGTCGGCATCTACAGATACGTCCAGGCGTGTGACTTTGAAGAGGCCAGCAAGGCCACTATAGATTCATGCTTTAAGTGCGGGAACAAGTAGATCGGAAAGGGGAGACGAAGAAACGGAAATACACGCAGGATGCGCCTCCTCCCTTCCCCTCCACACCCACCCCTCCCTCTCCCCCCACCCCGAGCCTTTTTTACTCCCCTGGAAACCCGTCCTGCCTCAAGGATATGAGAAAGGATTTGTGGACAAACAAAAGAAACCAAGGGGTCTTGGGAAGTGGAAAACTGTCCAAGCGCCCCACCGAGGAAGACAGAACAATTTCTTTGTACGCTTCGATCGTTTCTTGTTGTTTTTTTCTACCTTGTCCTTTTCTACCCGACGAAGCTGGCTTTGACCTTACCCTTTGTTTTGTATGCGTGTTGTGAAAGAATTACAGGTTGTTTGTTGGGTCTGCAATCGCCGACTGTCTGGTTAGTGTGTGGTAAAGATTTCTGCAGCGCTTCTTTGCGCGCTGGCTGCCAGTGTTTCCTTTTTTTTTTTTTTTCTGGAAAAATGAAAAGTGAAGGTGCAAAAGATTTTGCAAAGCTTGGGAGGGAACGGTGTGAGGGCTTCATTAACGGTTTTTTGCCACAGCGTGGTTTTTGTATTTTTTTTTTTTTTTTGTGTATTGGGACGGTTTTTTGCGTTCTTCTGTTTTTACTTTGATTATCCTGCGTTAGTGTGTTAATTGCTAACTATTTATTGAATCACTAGGTTTTTCCTTTGCGATGCATGAAACCGGCCTTTTTTTTTTCTAACTTGTTTGGCTCTTAGTATTTTGAAACAATTTTTTATGCCTTTTTTTTTTTTTTTTTTTTAGAATGAAATGACGCCTCAGTTTGAAAACGCGAGTTTTGGACGCTTACCTTCTCTCTATACTTGAGTGCATGCAACATCATGATGGTGTCCCGTTTTAGTATGTATACAAAAGTGCATGCAACTTATTTGCAGGGGATCTTTTTTTTTTTTCTATTGCTGGCCAGCTTCTCACTTCTTCCCCCATTGATGAAAAAACATAACTTGTCAATTTGCGATATCTTCTGTCCCTGTGTAAAATCTGCCCAAACCCAAGACAATAAATTTTTTGAAAATTTTTTTTTGGATTTAGTGCAGATTTTTATTTTTAATAGGCTCACTATGGAAAATGTCTGCCTTACTGGCAGTCTATGCCTTGGTGGTCTTATGTCATGGAAATTGATGCCTTGTGCTAATACTGATGGACATATCTTAAGTGAGCAATTCCAAGATTTTTCAGTGTATGGTGATAACTTTTTCCCCCAAAAAAAGTTTTGTCGCCGTATTATGCAGTAACTGCTCTTCAATCTAGCTTCCTCCTGACAGAGCTGGTCACGTCAGTGTAGGGTTTCTGGTTAGTATTTCTTGATACAGTTGCACCAAAGTACTTAGTCGCTGACAAAAGTTAATGGCCCAATGTCCAGCTCACAGTTAAACGCATAGCTTCATTTGCTATGCTATGCTTAAAGAAACTTTTTAAAAATTTGTTTTCGAATACATACTTGCACGAGTTGCCGTGGAGTTTAGTAGGGCTGCATTAAAATTAAACTGATCTTGATGACAAGAACCCTTGGAATAAATTACTTCTGCGAATAAACGGAAGCTGATATTACAACAGATTCTCTGCAATGTTATGTAACTTAACAACATATTCAAGTAATTAGTTTTCCTCGCTGGTTATGCAAGGCTAAAAGAAATTGCCATGTTAAATATTTCTCTTGGTGTTCTCGTTCCTTTCTCCAAGGCGAGATTATGTGCTCTCGGCTACTTGCGTTGTAGGACATTTCAGTGACCATAGTCCGTTGCAACTCAAGTTGGGGCAAGGGAGGAGGAAGCAGACGGAACGCTGAAGAGGTTTGTCCCTCTCCTCCAGCATTGTCCGCTTCCTCCTCCCCGGCCCTTTCTTTCCTTCGCCCTACTTTCTTGAGCTGCAATGGACTACGCATGGATGTTTCAACTTTCAAGGAACAGAGATTGGCAAATCACATTTTTATAACACAAAAAAATTACATTTGTTATTGTTGAGGTTTTGCAGTGGAATTCGGGCATGTTTTGTGAAAGTCGTGGCTTCATGTCCGGGGGGGTGTTTGTGAGCCATAGTGCCATGTCTCTGCTGTTGCCATAGAAATGTAGAGGCCGCCTCTATACCTCTGCGTATCATTCGATGGTGGTGGTGGTTTTCTCGGGGGAGGGGGAAGGGGGATGGGTGATTTAGGTTGTAATGGTGCCCCTGGTTGTAGTGCTGGATCGGTTCACCTTGGCAGTAAGAGACTGCTGTTTGCAGTTCATCTGCGTACAAGTTCGTAGAGTTGGTCTCATTTTTTTACAGGAAAAGAAGTATACCTTGAAATTTCGCAAGCTAAAACTGACCACCTCAATGAACACTTGGTGAAAGTTTAATCTTTCTATACTCTCATACTTGGTGTATTCGCGGCGAGAAGTTTGGGTACCGCTGCCTGGTGAAATTTTTTTCGCAACCTAGAGTGAGGATAGTTTAACTATGATTTCGGAACCAGTCCCCGATTGGTGTTTACAGCGTCCAAAAAAGTGGTCCCTCGATTTCTGCCCGATGACGTGGAAGCGATCCTGGTGGCGTCCCAACAGTTGTGGTGTATGTGGCGGACGCCTGTTCTGCTGCAGGTCGCTTTCCAGTGTGCAGTTCACTGGAGCTTCGGCAGCCAGAAGTTGGGACGTCGTGGCGGCAGCGACACTCGTTTGGTTGCGCTACGCGCAGCATCTCAGCATTTCTACGACCAACCGCCAGGATCGCAACATGCAAGAGCACGATACTTCGGCTTCCGTGACATTATTTGTTGCCACTTGGGGACCACTTTTGAAACGCACCTGCTGAAGACTTGCTCCTGGCACCATACTTTAACTTCCTCTTCTGGTGCAAGCACCTGCAATACTAAGCTTCTGTGCACTATGAAAATTAAAACAAACGTGGGGGTAGCACATGCACTACTCAGGCAAACAAGTGGTCCAAAGCCACCGGACGACCATCGTGGTGCGAAATCGCGTTTTTGCTATCGTTGCAAAGTGGCGCCAGCATGCTGAAGACATATTTTCTACTCTGTCATGTGAGTTGTGAATGTGAAACAATGAATGTTCTTCCGTTCCCTTAGTTTGTCTGCGGCGGACTGGCATGGACGGCCACGTTTTGCTACTGCTGAGGCCAACGGCTGTGCGCTCGTGAAGTGGCCGCGCTGCACTGAGCTTGGCCATGCAGCCTCTCCGGAGTTTGCCCGTGCGGGCTCTGTGGCCAGGCTTCTCTGGTGGCGTTCCTTGGAACTATGCCGCTTGAGAGCCAAGGGGAGCCTCGTCCCTTGAAACTATGATGCGCGCCAGCCAGTGGTAGCCTATCCATCAGGTTTCTGCTACAGGCTACAGGCTTCGCTCTATTGGGACAGGGGAATGTGCCGTTGGGCGCAACTTCAAAAGCTGACGTCGGTTTGATCGGACAGTTGATGCTTTTGCATTAAAAAGTCAACTCGTCGAAAGCAAGTTTCGCCAGCCTTGCGTTGTGATCAAAGCTTCCTTGGCACGCCGAAGCGCTGCATCTCTGCCTTCGCAATCGGCGCCACTGCAAAGTTTTGAAGGTGTGTCACGCATAGATGTCTTTTCATCATATATCGGCCACGAAGTTCTGGATCGTTCAGCTGTTCTGGGGAGTTGCTATCAAAGGGGGGAAAACAATCTGTATGGTTTCTCTTATGCATTATCAACCATGGCTATGTTCCAAATATACTAAGAGATCACATGCCAGCACAAATAGAGCCACGCTGTGAAGCAGAGAGGGTTTTGGAAGGCAAAACTACAAGATGGCGAGAATTAAAATTTTTGAAGCGCGGCCCATACAGTCGTGTGCAATCTGTTGATCAATCCCAATTGGGCAAGCCGTGCTGAAACTTCAAGTGCAATAAAGTAGGTTAATGAGCCAGCACTGATCAGTGATAAACTGTTGTGCGTGGTATTCTGTAAACTGTCTAACAACTAAAAGACATACCTTCCCTCCCCCTCTTGTGTTGCCACTGAACGTTGGATCAAGTTTGTTTTTTGGACCGCGAGTGCTGCAAGTTAGTAACACAGTCGTCGGAGTAAAGTAAAACACTGCTCCAGATGTACATATGGCTTCACGCACATTGCAGTCGCAAAACGCATCTACACGGTGTCGTTTCTTGATTGGTATCCAAGCGTGCGAAGGTACAGAAGCTCGGCACTTCGGAGTGCCAAGGAGGCTTTGATCATGCTGCGATACCGGCGAAACTTGCTCTCGACGAGTTGTGCCTTTTTCCTGCGGCACTGTGCTTCCCTAAAAATATCCACATGTTCTCAACAGCAAGTATCTGGGCTTACCAAGGGTTTTAACGAACTGCTTCGGCGAATGACGACGAACGAGTAGAAAACATGTTTTCAGCACGTTGCCGCTAGCCTCCGCAACGCTCCAAAACCGCAATTTTTTTGGATACAAGATGGCCATCCGGCGGCGTCACTCGCGCTGCAGCGACCAAGATGGAACCAATACGTGCAGCTGTGCAGTTCCCGGAGTGGCTGCAACGTTTTGATCGCCTTTAGTTGGTTCTCGAGTACGGATCCGAGCCACTTTTTCGAAGCAGGCTTTATGGCAGTTTCCCGACCGAGTTGTTAGTAGAATGTTTGACTTCATCATTTGGTCATCACCATCGGATCCACAGTCAACTGAGCCATCCTGTCGTGCACGTGCACAGCAGTCGAATTATAAACAAACTTTTTTTAACTTTTCAATAAAAGTTCAAAAACGTCCAACCTGGTCGAACTCTAACCTCAATCGGTTCGCAACATCCCTATATAGTTGTAGGTCAGGAACATCGGTGGTTTTGAAAGAACCGAGTTGGATATGAACATATCTGAATTCTAACTTATTAGTTAATACCCTGAAAGCGACACATACTGAACGATCTAGCGATTGTAGTAGTGTGGCAGATTCAGAAACGGAGACTTTTAATTGTAAGCTTGACCACTGATTCCAACTAAGTATTCTTAATCCTGAATCTAGATTGAACGGAAACGTATTACCATATACACAGCTCGCTGACTGCAACCCTCAAATGGCCACTTCGTTTCAAGATCCCTTCTCAAGGTCATTTTAGAGAAAAACTAATATTTTAGTTTTTTCGGTTAATATAGGTTAATATTGGTTACCGGTAAATATTTTACAGTTATGGTTTTTATAAATTTCAAATAACGGTTTCGTTCCAGTTACGGTTACTGAAAAAGTTTTTCCTAAACAGTTTCGATTAAGGTTACAGTTTAAGTCGCTGGCCATGAGTTCCAAGTTCTCATTTAGAATCTGATAGGAAATCCATTTGTATTTTGTTCAAGCCACGATCGCAGCAACGGGATGTCATTAGCACGGAGTTCCAGCAGCTGTTTCAAATTACTCTTGTCTTCGTGGCCATGATTGCCGAACCCTGGGTTGACAGGTAGAGCAGAGACGGCAATATTGCTAAGAGGGCCTGCACCACCATGTCGTCTACTTCCGTAGGCTGCAGGTTCACTAAAGGTGCCACTGTTGTCATTCGCAACTACTTCCAATGACTCGAAAAAAAATTCCAGCACTAGCCTTTATCGTATTTGCTAATACTACTCAGGGTCTTCAAACAGGGCTGCGCAAATAGTTAGAAAAATTTATACTCGCCAGCTCTGGTCACTTAGTAAACAGCTGGTGAGTGGATAAATTTTTATTTATCCACTGAGCACCAGCTATCTATATTCGAGGGCACTAAGGTGCTAAGGTCCACAGACATTTATCCACTGGGCGCCAGCTATTGATATGTGCGGGCACCAGTGCACACAGAGGTTTCGGTTTCCGAAGAGCACGAAAGGAGAGGGCCCCCAAGCCCCCCGCCCCGTAGTCGGCGCCTGTGCGCTTGAGTCACCTTCGTGACTGTGGCAGTCTTTCACGCAGCAATAGCAAGGTTTTTGAGTGGGGGAACTCCAGGAGTAGGCGAGATGTCGCAGGAACCCAGTGAGGTCATAGAGACGTGGAGCTGGGACTTACTTTTACGAAAAACGGTTCCGAAAAAGGCTCACGCCGATCCGAAATGCTACAATCGGACATGGTTTCTAAATGTGCTTGCCCGCCCTGCAGTCCCTGCGACCTGGGCCGTCCTGGCCTACCCAGTGTTTTATTTTGCAGCCGCCAGATGGCGCAACGTGTAGTGCCAAACTGCGTTGCCTATGCAGCTAGAGAGCAAGTCATCTGCTTCTTGCGCAGGGGTTGCGGTGACGTCATAACGACGCGGAGCTCTCATTGGCTCTCATTGAAAGATAGTGGGTAGACTTCAAAGCAAGCTGCCTTGAGGTCTACCCAGTGCCCACTATCCTTCAGTCAGAGCCAATCTGAGCTTGGTGTTCTGGCATCACAACACCTGCAAAAGAAGCAGACGAACTTGCGCTCCGCACGGATCTTAATTCCTCTTTCAGCTTTCATCCTACCTGGACGACCCTTCGAGAGGAGGACTCACTTCTTGACACCCATGATGGCTGGACTCCCATCACTTACTTCACGCAGTATTTTAGTGAAGACTTTTTTGACAGTACACATTCTACACCAATCTAAGAGTTGTGCAGGACAGTGGAGGTGTCAATTCTGCAAATGCCATGCCCGAGGAAATGAGGAAATTCTCGGGTGTATGCATTGTTATGGCGTGTCTGAAGTACCCCTGAATACGTATGTATTGGAGTGCTGAGGCCAAAGTTCCCTGCATTTGCGACGTGTCAAAAGACTGTTTCTTTTTCCTTCGCTCACGGCTGAGGTTTGTTGACCCTATCCCCACCAGTGATGAAGAAAAAAAGAAGGACAAACTTTGAAAGGTTAGACCTGTAATAGACCCTTTCCGAAATTCACTCTGGCCACTTTGATCACCATCATCATCGGAAAAATGGCATATGTGCCATACTAATGGCGGCCTTCTGTTTACTGATGAACGAAGAAGTTGAAGATGCTCCTTAGCAGATAATTCGAGGCTTATATATTCGTGACGTTAGCGTGATGCGAAGCAGGAATTGGAAGCAAGATTCGCTTAAGCTTCCATTTCTAGCTTGGGCCCAGCCATTCTGTTGGTAGCATCAAGGTGCTCCAAAACCCCTTGATTTGTACTTTAGCAAGCCGTGTACGTGAGTCAACGCTTCATTCTGGCTGGTTGCATCTTTGTTTCTGTCGTCACTGAAAGAGATTTAGAAGGAAATGTACTGTGAAGTGCACACTGTCGTTTGCCGTTGACTTGCTAAAGTGACGGTGCTCAATAAAATACAGCAGACTCCATTTTCATTGCCGCCATTAGTACGGAAAAAGTTAAGCTGCCATTAGCCACGAGATGTCACTGAATTTCGGGAAGGGTCTATCGACACGGTCCGAGGATCAGAGATGTCTGCATGGTGTAGCCAAGGACACAACCGACAACCAGTTTGCGTTTTCCACTTTTTCCCCGCTTCCTTCTCTCCCCCTTCTGCCCTGTTCACTGTTGCCTGTTTGCTCCTCCCCCAGGGTGAGGAAGATCTTCTGCCTTGGAGAATCGCGTGTCTGGTAGTCTGTAAGGGTACAGTGTTCGTAAGGGCTCTCAGGGCGGCACCATTTTGTTCGACCGATGCGCCCTTTCCACACATCCGGGAACTTCAGTAGGTTCGCTAAGGTAAAACGAGAGAAAGGGCACGCACCTGATTCCGCTAGCAGACGACAAACTGTTCTGCATCTGGGCTAGCTGTACCGGCGAGCTGTACGGAACATCGAACTCTCGCTCGCGGCTGCAGTTGCGAAGTGTTCGTGTTTTTAGAATATTTATGGATACTCCAGAATCAGCCTATAGTGCTCTGTTGTTTTATTTCAGTAGCTGATCAGCTAGCCTATCTTTGTTCCGTTACTTCAATAGCAGTGGCACCAGCCGGCAGTACTACCCTCAAGGGGAGCATGTTTTTATTTATTTATTCCAGACGCCTCACTCATTTTTGCTGAAGGCCTACACAAGTACGACCTTTATATATAGTAAAAAGCTACTGCAACCGGGTCTACTTTTCGCCGGTGGGGAAAGACCGACCATGTTTCCTTTCTTTTTTTCTCTTTTTTTTATTTGCCCAGCAGGTAACAGCGGAATTGGACCCGCTTATTCTTTTCATCGGAAATAGCATTACACGATAACTTGCACATCAAAATCCACGCATTTGCGCTTGAAATTTCTGAACTGACGCGATTTTTGAACCGAGTTTATGCGAGGCACAGCCAGTGCACAGCCCACTAGGCGAAGCAGACGACGCATGGGGTGAGAGGGGGAGGTTATTTTTCTCTCTCCGCCCTTCCTGCTGGAATGGTTTAGGCTTGTTGGGTTTAGGAGTTTTAAGATCTAAGAGCAGAAAGCATAAAATAACTAAAAGCTTATTTTGTAGTCCATTAGACTGCACATCTAGGAAGTTTTTATTTTTAGCCATTAGTATCCATCAAAGTCACAGCCAGGCTGGCCAGGCCGCCAGGCTGCCAGCCACAGACTGCACACGTGCGTGTTGGTGTGTGTTGTCAATGTGCCGCATTCATTCCGTCTCGTTGGGTTGTAAACCCCCTTTTTTACGAACCTAGGCGCGATTGAGGTGTAATTACGTAGTACAGTTCAAAGAACAATTCGTCGCCAGTCACGCGTAGGAGAAATTATGGGCCGGAAAAAATCCGAAGCGCCAAAGACAGTTCTGATTTCCTCAGCTGCTCATGTTTACAAGCGACTGGAGGGTGAGTTAGCTTCAATTACTCGGTTGTTCCTCATAAAATATGCCCAAGAAATTCGAGTGCAAGAGCTCTTGGAACTTCGGCACTTCAGATATCCCGAGGTGTCGAGATTTAGTGGCGATGCCTATGAAAGCGCAACTGATTACGTTGCTGACAAGCACCAGAATTGTGAGATGGTGGTAGTATTTATTTATTTTGGCTCATTGAGAGTCGCGGCACAATAGGGGGCAAGTAGCGTACACCCTGAAAGCGTGCGACACCGGGTCTAATGAGGCGATGTCAGTGACAGAGAAGTTGTTTTCGTTTTCAGAGCTGAAGACTGGAGGCTTGCAGGGTGATCTTCACGAGCAGTTGATTGAAATCTTCGACAGTTCCGATGGCCTTCACCAGGTTGCTGCAGTTAAACAGGTTAGATTTGCCCGATTTTAACCATTCAAGAATATTTAAAGCTGCCCTTTTATAATTGTACAAGCACCTTTGCTGAGATGTTCAGCTTGTAGCGACGGTGGTCAAGTCAGAAAAGTGAGCTTGACCTTGCAATGAAGTGTAACTTGTGTCGGAAGCATCTTCTGGCTAGTGACAACAATTGGGAGTACCCCTCCCCCCCCCCCCCCCCCCCCCCCTCCCCTCCCTGAGCAGCTATTCGTGACTCCAGCGACCTATAGGGGGTGCCACCACAAAACAAACATGGCACTGCGGAGTGAATATAGATTTCACATTTAAATATTCTAAGCTTAAATGATAAAACAAAACGGCTAGGTGGCGTAAGCTACCGCCCAATCCAAAGGGCTCTGCCGTATTCATCCATCCATCCATCCATCCATGACGGCTGGGTCCAGGTCGCGTCGGCTCGGCCGCGCCGCCTGAACGGGTGGCGCATTCAATTTAGCAGATTTTCTTTTGTTTAATGCCCAATTTTATATGTATTTGAACTGAGACGGTGTAGCCGGTGAACATAAACTTGCAGAGCATAGTTTTGTTTTCCCGGTGTTTTTTTGTTCTTTTCAAGTTAAACTTTTGTTTCGGAGATTTTGTTCAAAACCGAAACTATGGGCTTAGGAGAGGCGGTAATAGACTCTAATCAGTTTTGATCAGCTAAGGAAAGCGGCGATGACTACAGAATTGTTCCACCGAGAGTAATATTCAGCTAGCTCGCATGCCTCAACCATGCGACTTATCTGTCCTCGAAATCGAGCTTTTCTGCGTATCCGCTTTAAGAAACAGCTCCATTCGTCTGCTCGGTCAACAACACAGGCTGCAGGAGAACTATAAAAATTAAGCAAGCGCTTCTTGAGCCAAGGAGCATGTTAACCCGCTCGCACCCCACTAAGCAGCTGATACTCGTGTTTCGATTCAGGTTTTAGTAGCAATCAAGAAGTCATTTTGACGAGCGGGTTATGTGTTATATTACGTAGTATGTCCCACTAAAATGATGTTAGTATATTCTTCGGGTTGAAATATGAGCTTAGTTGACTCGCTATTAGGTGAACTGCTGAATAAAAGTATATTTGACAGACAGAGATACCACTTAAACTCAGCCAAATAGTTCTAGAGGGTAGCACAGAGACGAATGCGGACAAACTAAAGAGTGTCTTCATCGGAGATTCACATAGAACTTCTCTGCATTGAACTTGACTTCGAATCCTGAAAGGAGAAAATTAGTATTTTTTGTGGCCGGTCAACCTGAGCAATGTAGACATATATTTCTGCTGGCTTCGACGGGGGTATAATATAAATATTGGAGGCGCGATAGATCATAATGCCGTGACAGCTTCTAACTTTGCGAGATGCGTCTCCCACCTTTTGAAAGCAGATAATTTCCCTCATTAATCATATGCAACGAGCAGGTTTTCCTGAATCAAGTAATTTCGAAATCAGCCCAACTCCTTCGGTGCGGTCCAGAGGCGTGTTCGGCGAAAAGCAGCCGAGATTAATAGCCAACGCTCCGACCTGCGTGGGTGGCTCAAACTTGAAGCTAATCGAACACAACCAAATTCAAGAAAACCAGCTGTCGAACCTTTCCATTCACTTGACTGCAACTCCTCGTCTGTCGTCCTCAGTCCACTGTTCTACATCCTTATAAAGAAACCGCTTATCAGTTAGCAAGTAGTTGTTACTTTGAATGTGATTCGAGACAGACGAGAAATCAAAACTTTTTTCCGTGATTCCTCCCCATGCAAGAAATCGAAAGCACGCACGCGACCATGTGTTGTGGAGTAAAGGGGCTTTCAAACACGTGATGGAAGGAAAGAATCTTCTGAGGCTTCACCACACTAATGAACACTCAGGCAAACTTAAGAAGTATTCGGACCTTCGTCAAGCTACATTGTTCGCCACTGCACCAACACGTGTCCGCGAAAGCCACCAGAGACGCGGAGGGGCGTGGAGCGACCTGGTCCGGCTGGTTCCTGGTTTTCCCGCTGGGTGGCGTCCGTTTTGCTGGAGTCGCAAATAAGATGTCTTGGCAAGATGTGCTAGACGTCCTGTGGACATTTTAACAACATATACAGCCCTAGACGTCTTGAAACGTCTTGTAGCAGTCCTGTAGCCATGGATCTTCATGCTCTCTCTATTTTTGGTCTACAGAATGTGTTGTGCTCAGTGGGCTTGTTGCCACTGATCAAATGTAATTGCCTTCCGGTTCTAGCCACGTCATCATTGTACTGCACCTAGCTGATGCGCTAATCCTAACATACTTTTGGCTTGGGCACTCCTTCCTAGATTGGAAAGTCCTTGCGGGACATTAAGGATCCCACGAGCAGATTATGCTGGCAACTGATGGCAGACGTCCTGGCAAAGATTCACGTTGCTGCCAACATTGGGCATCCGGTCAAGCGAGCCGCGTTCAGGTTAGCATCTATTGTTTCTGCCTGACTTCGTAAATGCCGTAACCGCTACGACTTATTTGTTTCATGAGTAAATACGGCTATGAATGACTAACCCTTTGAGTGCCGGGTTTTTCTTTTTCCTGTATGGGAAGGTCCAAAAGTAAATTGTAGCATATGCTCAATGACGAATATTTATTCGTAACTATTTTGGGGACTAAAAGTTAATCAATGTTTGCGTGTCTCCTACGTATGGCGTATTTCTCTTATTGTACTTTTTGAGGCACGACACTATACAGCGGCGCCTTGACCTCGCACTCCGAGGTCACTCTTTTCGGCGGCCTTACTCGGCCTTTGTTTGTTGGGAACTCTAACTTCCTCGTTTTTGCAGTCGTTCATTTCAACAGTTCATTTTAGTAATTTCTAGGTCTCACTGTTTGTCATGAAGCACACGACTGGACAAAGTATATTCACCATTCTGTAATAAAAAAAGAACATACAAAACAAAAATAGACTAACTAAAAAGAAAAAAAAAAACAAGATAAAGTATTGTTTTTATTGCTTGCCCACACATGCCACTACACATTAAAAAAAAAAAAAAAAAAGACAGCTCAGTTGGGCGGCAGGGAGCAAACCGACACTGAAACCACATGGGAATATGCCCTAGCATACTTGGGCATGGCTCTCAAGGGTTAACATGGTTTGATCTTTGATCAAATTCAGGGTCCTAGAAGAACACGCTGCTGACCCCGAGACCCTCGATGCAATGATGCTTGCGTTGCTAGAAGTGTTAAACCAGCGAGAGCCTCATCTTGAGCAACTCGTGCACGGCGTCGAGAACGTCTTGACCCTTCTTTCGACTTCGTTGGGTAAGCATTGTTTTGTAAGAACTTGAGATTAGGCGAGTTGGTTGTTCATGTTTGTCGATGTTTAGCGCACTCGAAAAACTGTCACTCAAGCATTCACACACCCAAAGAACACTTTTTTCACACAGCTCTCACACAGCGAGTGCTGTGTGAGAAAAGTGTTCTTTGGGTGTGTGAATGCTTGAGTGACAGTTTTTCAAGTGCGCTAAATGTCGACAAGCATTGTTTTGGTTTCTCTAGAGTTCAAGAGGGCTTTTTTTTATCCTTCTTGTCTCGTATAATTCTTTTAAGGGTTAGAGTGTTTTGTCCCCAATCTGAAAACTCCAGTAAAGCCCATCTTGAGAGTTCCAAAGAAAAGTAAAAGAGAAGTACATATTTCATGCTAATTAGGTTCTTAATGCCAGTGTGATGATCTTTGTCATCACAGTGTGTTTTCTTCTATGAGGTCATCTAAGAAAACAAAACAAAACCTTCAGTTGAACACTTTATGTACATAACAAATCTCCATTTTCACACAAATCCTTTTTTCTTTTTTTTTAGGATTGAGAGTTGTGGAGCACTGCTTTGAAGAAGGTGAGCTTTCATGACCTCACTAATGAATGCCATGTGCCCAGCATCTTGTGCCACAGGCTAGAAGTGTGGCTGACATGTTTTTTTTAAACCATGTTACAGTGCTCGACTACCTCAAAGTACTCCTGGTCACGGGTGTCGGCATCATCAGGTAGTACGAGGGAAAATGTTTGCCAGCAAATCAAATCGACAGCTCGGAGTCATGGCGGAACTCGAGTTTTGGTTGCGTTCGCACTTTGCTATTTGAGCGAGGGGAAAGGCTGTGATGATGCCTCACCACAGGTCTGCAGTTTTGCAGATCTTATTTGCATTTGTATCGGCTTCACGAGGGACAGGGTTATTTGCAATCAAACTTCTCAATTGGGCAAAGAAAGCTCAGTGACATATTGGCACGCTCTCTTTGTCGTTTGGGGGGATCAGCAGCCGAGCGTATTAGTGCATCACAGTTAGGAGCATAAGGAGCAAATGCTCACACTGCAGAGCACAAAGATCCTGAGCTATGTTCGCACCCCTGCCCGTTTTGATCTAAACGAGCAGAGTGCGTTTGTGGATCACCTCTTAATTAATTTTAATTTGTGGATGACTACTGCGTGTTGCACGTTAATGACCCCAGGCTAGCTGTTGTACTGCACTGGCTAAGTTTGTCATCTGAAGTGGTGACCCCAGACACCCATTGAGGCATTCTAACTTCCTGCTGTCTAAACGAACAACGTAATTACAGTTAATTCGTGGTTCGGTTGTGTCTCTTCCTGGCACTCCTAGTACAGGGGCAGGGTAGGTCGCTTCGAACGCAGCATTGCGTCGACGGGCTTCTGAACCGGTCAATCATTTGCGATTCCAGCCACACTGAAGACACCCAAGTGATCGGCGACTGTTATCAGCTGCTGGCCAAGGTGGCAAAAGCGGTCGGTCTTGTGGTTCAGCTGGGTGCTGGCCATCAAGAACTGCCGAAGTGGGCCGAAAACATTTTCCCCCTTCTTCTTGAGCTGCTGAAGTCGAGTGAGTAGTATCAACTCCTCTCTTCTCTCGGGCACTGTGACTGACGTTGCGTTGACCAGGTCGTCCGCGGGTTTGCGCACCAGATCCTGGTGTCACTTTGTACTCGGTTCAGCCCTAAACTGAGACTCCAGTGGAAGCTATGTCCTCGTGAGATGAGTTGTACCCCTTTTTCGTCACGTGATCACACTCTTGCCCACACCCAGGCACATAGAGTCGGGTCAGGTGACCAAAGGGAGGCGGCCGATTGGTCCGGCGGGCACCTTTCTCCAACCGTAGTCTCAGCCTAAAAGTGAACAGAGTATAGTGACTTACTGATCGTACAGATGGCAGCAAGCATACCTGACCGTTCGATTCGGTTGCCCCCTGTCGCCAATCCCAGGTCACGTAATCGATACATTTTGCAGAGGAGGTATTTTAAAGGCACTTCTTGCTTTACTCGGCTTGAGGTTACTTGAATGAAGGTTTCATGCGAGGTCTTGAGAAGGGTGCGAGGAGCTAAGAGGTTGAGCTGGTCTGCTGCGACATTGTGGTAGCAAATATTGGTGAACACGAAGCCTAATTTTGTGATGGGTCGGGTAGCACTAATACAGTAAAACTTCACTATTGCGAAGATATGTAGATAGCGAGGCACAATTGTTGTCCTTGTGGAAAGTAAAAAGAAAGCAACGTGATTTTGCTGTGCCGAGGCTGTACAGTGTAAGGATGCGGTCGGAGCAGTCTGCTTAAGGGATGGTGAGCCGAAATTTGGATTTCAAGAAAACAATGCTGGAGATGTAGGTGGGACGCTACAATCCCTACAACACTACTGGTAAGGCGATATCTCAAATGGACGGCCGTATTTTGGGAAAAAGAAGTCGAGAATAAACCAGGCCGACGAGGCGCTTGACGTCAAGATACCTAGTTTCCTCCTCTCTTCTCTTCACTCCGTCAAGGCCGCATGGCGGAGAAGACGCGAGTCCGTTCCCTCTCCTTCTCGGAGAAACATGACGTCAACATTCCTGCCAAATGAGCCTCTTTTTTTTAAAAATACGGTCATCCGTTCGAAATATCGCTGTATGAGTGATGTTTTGGTGTTTGTAGCATCCCGTTGCTCGCTTTTGCCGCGTGTTTTGGGGAATCCAGATTTCGGTTCAGCATCCCTTTAAGGTAAGCTGCCGTGCAAACTCTACCGGGCAATTTGCTTTTGTTTGGGGTCGGCCGTTTTTTCTTTCTTTTCTTTTGAGGCATGTTTTTGGGAACACGTCTCCGGGTGGTGTGTGTAGAGTCCTATTCTGCCCCAGCATTGAAAGCATTCCCGAAGTGAGAACAGGTTGCGTCGCAGGAGCCGGAGTGTCGCGCCCTTGGACGTCGCAATTCCGCCAGGTCGCAGAAGTGCCGGCAAAAAAGGTGAGTGGACGCGGGGATCGCTCTCACCGCGGCGTCCCGTCCCGCGTCTGCTCTGGTTTCCATTGACCGTCCGGTCACATAGCGGCTCGCGGCAGAAAGCTTCGGACAGCGTCGCAACACTTTTGTTGTCGGGTGTGAACCAAGGGACTGCCTTCAATGGTGTTGGAGGCACACTCCGGGTGCCATACTTCGATGTGCGGTTGGCAACGTTGTCCCCCTCCCCTTTCTTCAACCGCAGATTCGTCCATACTGACATGCAAGCTAAGCACGGGCACGGTGTTGCCGCTCGTCCTCAAGGTCACGAATGTCGGAGATTTCCAGAAGGTACGTGCTTGGTTTGGCTAGAGCCGCCATATGAGCTACACTTTCGAGCAATGACCCTTGAGCCACCTCTGCACTTCAAATCGTATTCGTCGGTTGCCCGAAGCTTTCTCGGAAATTGAAGGAAATGTTTTTCCGTCCTCCAGAAACAATAAAACAATCTTCGAAAAAGCAAAGCAATATCGCCTGAGCTTTCCAACACTGTGTTTAAAACTGAGGAAGTCGCATTCTCGAATTGTATTGATCTCCATATGTGCTCTCTCTGCACTAGAGATAAAAAATGGCGGCACCCACAAGAAAATTGGGGAATGAACTGCCAGTACTCGAAGCATACCCTACATAGTTACTCTGACCTCGGCGTAACATAGATGGCAGATGTTTGAAGCGGTGTGTCAGGACATTGGTACACGAACTGGGTCCTTGTCTTCAGATGTTCCATCCCTGGCCGGTGGATTGGTTTGCCGGGTCGCCGTTGGCCGAGGTTTGCTTCCTGAGCGGGCTCGTCGGAAGCCTCACACCCGAAGAAGTTCTGCGAGGATGCGGAGACAAAGGAACTGTTCTCGTCGACGTTTTACTCTATCGAACATTGTCTGTCCATCGAAGGTTCGTAGGCTGTGCAGTTTATGTATGTATGTTTCGGTTTTGCTTGACGTTTTGAACGAGTTTGCTCACGGCGACCCTCCGTGCCAGGAACAGGCTGTTATCACTGCGCAGACAGCTATTCTTTGTTTGTCTGCTTTGCCCCCAGGGTTGCTTACCTTTGGCCACTTTGGAGACTTGACTTGCCGTAAAATATTGAGCTTGCACCGTGTCATAAATTAGTGTAATGAACAACAAAAAGCACAAAAGACACAGGGACAGGAACACGAAAAAAACAAGTGCTTGTCCCGTCTTCGTGTTTTTGGCTGTATGTGCCCTTTGTGGTATTTATTGTTCATTATGCTCATCCAGCTTGCTCTCTTTAATATTTCATAAAAGAGCTTAAAGGGATGCTGAACCAAAATTTGAATTTCCCAAAACACGCGGCAAAAGCGTGCAACGGGATGCTACAAACACGAAAACATCACTCGTAGAGCGATATCTCGAACGGATGACCGTATTTTTCAAAAAAGGAGGCGCATTTGGCGGGAATGTTGACGTCATGTTTCTCTGAGAAGGAGAGGGAACGGCCTCGCGTCTTCTCCGTCTCGCGGCCTTGAGGGAGCGAAGCAAAGAGAGGAGGAAACACGGTATCTTGGTGTCACGCGTCTCGTCGGCCTGGTTTAATCTCGACCTCTTTTTCCAAAATTACGGCCATCCATTTGAGATATCGCCTTGCGAGTAGTGTTGTAGGGATTGTAGCGTCCCGCCTACATCTCCTGCATCTCCAAGCACGCCGGTGCAAAGCGGTGAAGCCCACCCTCTTATGTGTTTTTGCACTCTAGCCTAACAAGTGCTCGGTAGTTTTCAGTATTTGCGCATCATGTTGAAGCTTGTTGGTTTGTTATGCCAGATATGATACACAAGTATGTACGTGGCATGAAACTATTAATGCTAACTGGCAATTTTTTTTTTAAGAATGGAAAGGTTGTAAATAAGACTGTTTATGTGGTGGAAAGTTCTCAGTTGGAGCAATAACCGAAGCAGTAAAAGTGGTGCCTGTCGATACGCTTCTGACGTAAAACATAAAAAAGCGCCAACGTCACGTTCGTGCCAACAGTGTTGCTTGGTCAACAAGGAGAGACCGGAAACTTTAGAGCATCTTTATGGGACGACCTCGTACGAGCAAACCGATTCCGTCTACGTGCCCTAATCGTGCGCTTGATTTTCTTGTCGTCGCTGTTTAGATTACTTACTCGAAAGTGTGTGGCTGACAGGAAGACAAAGTAAAAGCACCCTGTTCTTTTGTTTTTCTTCAGGTCAGGAGAGCCGGCATTTCTCCTCACGTGCGTAAAGACCGTGCTGCAGCTTGTAAATCGCATCTTGTGAGTTGGACCAAGTTCTCAAATTTTCTAGCATTCTGGTGTCGTCTCCGGCACTCGTATGCCGCCACGGTTGTTGTCAGCTAAGGGCATAGCTTATTACAATGGCTCTTCTTGCTTCGTAATTCGTTCACACTCTTATTGGAACATGCTGCAATCTCACTGGCTGCGTAGCAATGGCGAAGTGCACGAAGCTCGGCACGTCGTGTGTTTTGTGAACCTTCAGCGACTAATTGAGAATATACACTGGTTTTGCTATGGGCCCACCTTACAGGCTACAGGACCACACCTCACAGCTGTAGCCTGGCCAATTTGTACGTTGATGTTTGTCCAAAAATTTAAACCACCACATGGGTGAAGTGAGCATTGTTCTGCTCGTATCTCTACCATAGCAAATTGCACGATTACTCCATTCTTGCGAACCGGTCGCCACCTTGTGCAGATGGGGTTTTTCAGTGCCTTTTCACTTTCCTTAGTCGAGCGGGAGCTTGTGAGCCGAGAATAGTTTTCGTGCCGTTTTCTTCCAGGCAAATGCTCAGATCTGGTAGCCAGTTCGAGACGATGAAGACTGTTCTCGTCGAAAGGTCGCGGGTTACCGACCCGTTGTTGGAATTCGTCTGGTCCTACTGGGAGCATTACATCGACGTAAGATTTTAGTTTCTCGTTTCATCTTTGTCTCGCTGCATGTCTGATTTTATTTTGTCGAAGAGACGACAAATTTATAGGTCCCCAGAAAAATTTTTTAGAGACGGATTGTAAGGCTTCAAAGTTTAAAACTGGTTGACACACTCCTGACTGCTTAACGACCAAGCGCGTTTAAACTTTTTTTGATAAACTTGTGACGAAACAACAAGCCGTTGCCATCTATGATTCAATCCCGGAACTGCATTTTTCTAGAGCTAAGGTTTCGCAGTATTCACAAGACCAAATGAATGTACCGTCTACGAGAAATGGTCGTTTATAACGTAAAAATTTTCTCAAAAGAACGATAAAAAAGAAAATGTACAGAATCTGCGAGCCTTCCACGGTTTCCCAACAGGTGGCGCCATCAGCATGTTCAGTCATCATAAGAAACCCCGGAAGGTTGGAGTACACTTGCTCGTAAGCGGTTGCAAGTGCATGAACGAGCCTTTACAGCGACGTTGTGACAAAAACGGACAATTCTCGGAATGCATTTCTGAGCAATTTCTGGGGACACATTTGCTTAGGCGAGTTTGTTCTGTCGTTTCTGGTGCCGGAATTTGATCGGGTGAACATTTTCTTCTCCAACATGCGTTCCCGACGACTCAGGCAGTGAGCCAGCATGCGAGACTCGTTTTCAAGGGAGTGGTGAGCATGAACGTGCTTCTCTCCGGAGGTGAGCTTTTCTCGGGCGGCTGGATTTGTGGATTGACGTTCGTTTTTCCCGTCATCTGTCATGCGCACAATGTGCACATGCATTTGGTGTGGGTTCTAGCCCCCGAGGCCACTGGCACATTCACCGTGTTCGATTAGTGCTTACTAATGTTGGGCATAAATGAAAGGCTTGACTTTATTAATGTAGGCGCCCTGCAATCAGGTCAATAAATAATTTGGTTTCAATTTTCATTGGCATATTAATAGAAACGGGGGTCAAAAAACGTATGATTTACTTCTGGGCATCGTTTACCGTATTTTCCGGACTATAGTCTGCACACCTAATGCATAGTCTGCACGAAAAAATATATTTTTTTTTATATGCAGCACACCTTGACACATGTTTGCTCTATTACCTCATAAAGACGCTTGTGTTGTAGATAAATTACCATTAACTTAGTCTGTAATTTGCAAAATTCGTCACGTCTTGTCGTAATGAACGATCTGGGAAAAAATGCAAATCCTAGTGTAGTCCACCTCAGTAGATAGTTTGCATCGCTTAGAGTTTTAACTTTTAATTGTGTATAGTCTGCGAACTCTAGTCCGTAAAATATGGTACATATAATTAGGTCGCAACCTTTTCGGGCGTCGAAGGTCGACCTTCAGCATCAGTTTTCTATGTTGCTGAAGATCCTTTCAGCTTTCTCTTCACCCAGACTGAAAAGGGTAGCAGCACAAGGCAAGGAGGGTCTAGGAGAGGAGGGTATGGTTAAGTGTAATTTCTGCTCTAAAAGAAGGCGTCAAACTCCTGGGGAGGGGTCAAGACGGGAAAAGAGTGAGCGAGCAAAAGTGGAAAGCACAAAGCATGTGTTGGACTTCAATTACGGTAACCAGTAAATGCCGAAAGTGCCTGCCGCCGACAAAAATATAAAACCGGTAACACTGGTTTCCTCGCTGTTATTGGTTGGCAATGGGAGCTGATAATGCTGCCTTTTTTACTCAAGTTAGAGGTGTTACTGTCTTTGCAATGTTAATAGCCATTCGGTTTGTCCAGTGTGAGTCCTCGTGTGATGTGGAATAAAAGTATGCCAGGTGTCTCTGAAAAAAAATTGCAGTGTTTCTTGCACTGCAAATTCCTCTTGTGACTTTTTAAATTGGATAGTGGGAGGCTCCGAGACTTTGGCACCTAGTCTGGATTGCTAGCGCTAGATTTGGTGGAGGTTGAGCGTTTGGCAAGGCATGGTTTATTTTCGCTGTGAAAAAAAGGCTGTAAATGTTTTTTAGGGACACCCTGTACTTAACATTAGATGGGTTCTTTCTTCATTCCTTGGATTCTACTCTTCATTCATTCATTGATTTATTTGTTTATTTTGTGTGCTCATGAACGGCAGACATACTCGGTAATTGTGGCATTCAACGTACCGTAAGCAAAAATCTCACCAGCTGCTTAATCTTATGAATGCAGATGCAACGGAAGCAGAGCCTTTTCTGACGGAAATGGTACTGTTTCTGATGGACCTCCCATGGCATCGGAAGGGCAAGTACGACACGTTGGGTTACATCGCCGAGCTCATGGGCTGCGAGCGCCTGCTGAAGCTCAGGCCGCAGTTAGTCAGCGGACTCCTCTCGGCGGCTGAAGAGCCGGCCATGTGCTCTTACGTAAGGAGTGCATTGCTTTCGTATCGTTTTAACCGTAGCTTCTCGCTCTGCTCAGAACCGATTGTATTGGAATGCAGGCGTTCAGTTTGCAAAACTGCATTTGGGTATAGTATTTTTTTTCAGTAAAATACTACGGCGGCTGAATTTCAAGGTATTCGAAGCTCGTTCCGGAATGAACGTCAGAAAATATGTAGTGCCACTGCTTCGTGATACAAAAAATCTTGCACTCGAAGAGGCTCAAGTGCATAGTATTACAAATTGTATATTCATTTTTTAGAAATCTAACAAGTTTTTTTGAAAATCAGAAATGTGAAAGCAAAGTGCGACAAAACAGGTAGTTTAGCCATGTCGAGGATAAGGCAAGACAAGTCCTACTGCAATTTGGCTATCACCGTTTGATATCAGTGACTGAAAACCTTGAAGTCATATCGTGTTTCACACACTGTGGCGGACGCACTTCTACCTGGCACCAAAACGGTCATAGATCACGAAATCCAAGATGTGAGAACAAAAGCATTGGCATCCTTTTCTCCTCTTTAAGGTAAAAGACCTGGTGCAGAAGCTCGGCCTCCTGCACAAGAGCGAAGTCTCCGCTGCCGAGTTTGAGCGTGCCTGGCTCGATCCTTTTCTCGAGTCAACGCGGGAGCCCTTCAGGCAACTCTCGGTGCCCCTGTTTCAGGTAGGTCGTTTGTCGCGGGACCACGAAACAGAAGTTAGCTTCTGGAAACTCCCCCTTTCCTCGCGCAATTATCCAGATAGGGTGTCGCAGGATTCTTTATCTCACGAGTTCTCAAACTGGGTTTCTGGAAACCCAGGGGTTCTCCATGTACCGTCAAGGTCCCCCGGTTACAGATGAAACACTATCTTAGCAGATCTGACCCATCAGTCGATGCACGACTATGAAATAAGTTTGTTTACAACATCTGGGCTCTTCTGGGCTGCTTTATTTCATTAATGCCAAGACCTGGTTGGATTCCTCGGCTTTCAGTCAAACCAAATAGGGTTTCCTCAATATAAAAAAAAAAGTTGAGATTTCTTGCTCTAGTCTAAGGTCATAACATTAAGTTATGGCAATTACATCAGTGCACTGTATATAGTAAGTATGGATATGAGATGAATGGATAGATACTAATGGCTGTACCCTTTAAATGGGCTGTAGCTTGCGCCACATAGCCTAGAAAATAGATACCGGGCTAATCCTCCCCTTTGATTCCAAATTTACAGAAGGCAGGACATTACTTTTCCGAATTGGTTTGTACAGAACTGAAATGTATGCTTTTATAGCACTCGGCGTATGCAGATAAACTAATTGCACCGATCAAATGGGATGAATGTTACAAAGCTGCAGAAAGACAATCTTTGGCACCACCAGAATTTTATCCTTCGGCGGCTTTGTAACAGTTATCCTCCTTGATTGGGACGGTTAATTCATCCGCATATATTGATTATTTTCTCTTTAGAGACGACAAAACGACTGTACAAACAACTCATACTCTTTTAACAGCACGTGCTCCCCGCCCTGATCACCGTTCACCCGGGCACGACACAGTTTGTGTTTGGGAAGCTTTCCGAAGGCGGGGGTGAGTGAATCACTCAATGTCGAGTGACAACTTCATTCTCGGGATGACTGAGCATTTCATTTTATTTCGTGACGCTCGTCCGTTAACGTTCCAGGTGACTTTGTGCCGGCCATTCTCAAGTGCCTGCTTTTGGACAGGCCGTTCATCGAAGCCGGAGACTTGGAACGGTGGCGCAACGTCATCGACCAGGGAATGTGCCACAAGAACGTCCAGGTCTGTTGTCTGGGCTTTTGTCGTGGTTTGGGGCTGTTCAACGTCCTAGCTGAACATTGGCCTCATTGTTTAAATAAAATGGGAGACATCTACCTGAGGTATTTCTTCCTCGAATGCAAAATTTGCTCACAGGCTTAGTACCATGGGCGTACTTAGACTTCATTGCCATCTATTCGACACCTGGTGTGCCCCTACGAATCAGTACTTTGTGTGATGCTCTAACAGCTCTAATATTCTAATTGTCCATCTGTGTATAGAGTGTGCACAAGCTAGATTTGTGTTGGTGCACACCACCTACCGAATTAGGCATGCATATGCTTTAGGATGCGTAGAGTGCAACTATCATGGCTTGGTTAGAATGTATATTTAACCAACTTTCGATATGACATTTTTGCAATTTTTAGTTATTTTAAAATAAAATAGGTCTCTCACACACTATTTTTGTTGTTCATTGCACTCAGTGGATTAAAACAACTGAATTAGCATATTTTACTAGGCTCTTTTAAGTGTGTTGCCAGGCCCCACATGTGTGCAAGAACATGGTTAATCCTGCATATACACAGCATCCAGGACATAAAAAAAAGCTATATCAAAGCAAGTACCAGATTTATAAAAAGGAGGTTGAACACTAAAAAATGTGTACATTTCATTCAGTTATCGTAAATAATTGAAAAGAAATGCCTATCTCTGTGTAGCATATACTTATGCATATTCACGGCGGGTGGGCTGCGCCGTGTGTGCTTCTCGCCAAACACTGGTGCACTGTGGAGAAGCAATACCTGCGGAGCTTGTGAGCTTCGCAGGTATTACTTCCCCGCAGCGCGCAGGTGCTCGATGAGAAGTGCACTTACAGGGCTCACCTGCTGCGATCAACACTTCGAAAAGTAAGAATATCGCAGTTCATCTCAAAGCAAATATCGTATAGCTTATTATTCAAAACTACTATTCAAATATTCACACAACAATATAAAATGCATTTTTGCTATGGCGTCGGGCACCTTTAAGGGGGGACACTACCCAGAAAAAACAATTTCTGCAAAAAAACGTTCATTTTGAAAAATTTCATATTTACATCCACCAACATCCAGAGAGTATTCCCAGAAAGTTTCATTAAATTGTACTGCATAGTTAATTTTTTATAAATTGTTTTCGGTCCCCCAACGCTAAAGAAAAGGTAGAGGTTGGAGCACTTTGAACGTATTTTTCTCCATTCCACTTTCTGGCATAAATCTCACTTTAGGAAAACTATCGTTTTGTTATTACATAACTTGGATTCATTTTTATGAGTTTTTCTGGGGTGAAATTTTAAGGGGAAGATAACTATGAGCTTGTATTTTTTATTTTTGTAATTTTTCATGCTCAAAAACAAAAATTTTGGACAAAGGATGGAAATCTAAAAAACTGTATTTGTTTTTATGTGGCTTTTTTGTCGTGAAAGATGGTATAACATAGAAATATAGCTCCATAGTTATCTGCTCTGAACTGTCCTAATGCAATATAACTCATCAAAATAACAAATTTATAAGTAATTTCAAAACGATAGTTTTCCTATGCAGGCACGCCCACTTTCATCTTTGAATGTCTGCAGTTTTTTTTGTACCTCACCCAGGTTAACATAATTTGGCAGAAATGTTCTCAGCATTAACAGAAACAAGCCCTGTAAATATGGCTTAAATCAGACAAGGGGTTCAAAATTTTACTTTTTTGGGTAGTGTCCCCCCTTAAAGGGAGGATGGGGCACTTCTGCATTTGAGAAAAAACACTTGAATTGCGTTCATTTGGCCTTTAGAATAACAAATACCACGATTGTGTTTCAATGTGATGCGCTGGAGAGCCATAAGAGCAGTTTCAATATAGGGCTGAAGCCCCACCTCCCTAGCCTTGGGCAGCGTACAGCGACTGTCTTTCGCATTTTCTCGTGTTTAACAATACTTGCACAACAAATGGTATGGGTATTCGGATTCACAGGGTAAAAATACATTAGTATTCACTTCTAACTCGTTTTTTTTCAAGAACCTCCGTAGCTTCCCTTAATGTCGAAGCTAAGCATTGTGTGTGCACTCACATAGGCAGCTCATTTGATTTGTAGGATATTTCATAAAGTTTTTGTTGCTTCGATACACTTGAAAAACATTATTTGACTCTGCTTTTGCTCGCAGGTTCGGCTAGACACTCTTCAACTCCTTGTAGATCATCCAAAGTCCTGCGAACCCCCGAAACCCTTCTGCCTTGACGCTTTGCGCGGGTTCCTGCATCTCAACACGGCTGTTCAGTTGCCTGCCTTCAGACAACAGATGCTGGCTTCCCTTAAGAAGGTGAAACTCTTCTCTGTTCTCTTTTGGATTAGGGCTTGGCTCCCTGCTCGATTATGCATTGCTCAGCAAGAATGACACGACGGAGACATCGAGACTTGGTCTTCAGACTCTGGGACTCTTCTTTTCCGACAGCTGGTGAACCGAATTTATGACAGCAACACACTGCTCAGAAGGCAACTGAGAAAAGGAGACCCGTCCAAGCCAAACCCATTGGGGCTGGAGCTGTTTGAAGCACATCAGGTTTGTGTCGACAACAGCTTTTGCTTGATTTCGCATCCGTTGGCAGATGCAGTTGCTTTTATCCAGTTTTGTTGTTCTCTTGTCTTTTTTAGGAGTTTATTAGCTGGTTGCTGCGCACTGCCATTGATCAGCTGTACCCCGGGGCCAACTTCTGCCGCCGCTCCACGGCGGTGGAGATCCTCTGCTTGCTTGCAACAACCCAGTGCACAAAAGGTTGAAGTGTCTCTACACTCATTCTATTTTCCACTAGCCTTTGGGTGGTGGGTTTTTCTTTCCTGCTTTCCGAATTTCTGATCTGCTTGCACGAATGCAATGGGCTGAGATATAAAATGGTAACAAAGGAATCTGGGAAATCACTTGTCGTGCTTTTCTGGTGCTACCTAATTGCCACGCTAAGATAGCAGTGAAATAGAATGTGCTTCAATTAGTGCACGTTCGAGCCATGGTCCAGCGTTCTTTTCAGTGTTCTTTTCCATTATGAAGATGTTTAGTCGGAAAGACGGGGTAGATGATCTTTTCAAGATGACGTTCCTTTGGAGCTTTTTCACGCTTTAACCAAGGGGAGTTCATTTCTTTTTTTAGGCAAGGCATGAATTAAAGATTATTGTTGTAATTTCAGGTGCTGGCTCTAAGCTGTTTCTACCCTGGACTCGGGAATGTTTGACCACACTGCTCCAGTGTCTCAAGGACCCGTACGAAACCAACAAATCCGCGGTGCTGCAGGTGTTGCATTCTGTTCCGTTGGAACTGCACGAGTTTCACGTACGTAGATGTCGTTGACTTGTGTTTTGATATTATGACGTTGAAAGACTATGGTGTTTTGCGACAGCTCGACTTTTGCAGATGAAATATAATTGCGATAGATTGATGATGAGGATAAAATGCTCACGTTTACATGGATAAGGTTAGCCCGGTTAGTACCTTAGTTTTGTCCCCACCAAATATTTTGAAAGGCAACACGGGAAAATTGAACGCTTAATGAAGTTGAGCCCACAAATAGCATATTGTTATTTACGGTAGTAGTGATATTTGCGTAATGACCTTGCTTGTTATTCTTTAATATTTTGAATGTGATGTTTCTGCAAAAAAGTAGCTTTGCCACTTTTACCTGGTCACCAATGCATAGCGTGTAAATGGGATAATGGAAAATCGAGACAGCACAAGTGACATTGGTATTTTCAAAATTTTTTGCTTGAGGTTATTATTTTTAGGGATAATCACACATACAAGCTTTTTGCTCTGTTGCTTCGCTGCACAATGCGAGAGTACATTTGGGCTAGCGTGTGCTATGGTTGTCAGACACGCACCTTACCACTCCTGCATCTTGTCTTTGTTATCACGTAAAAAGTTGACCTTTCTGACTCAAAGAAGAGCATGTTAGTTTTGGACTGGTGTATCTATGAAACTCAATCCTCAAAGACAGACTCCTGGTAGATATTTTGCTGTCTTAGCGAGTCCGGATGCGGCTCCTTCTGGGATAAATGAACCACTAGTGTGCTGTCGAGACCAGTTATAACAAAATAGTGACACAGTGAAGCGATCATGATTTCCCATTCCCATTTGCACTTTTTAAATGCATTTGTACCTGTTTTTAGTGAAAGAAATGGTGCGACTCCCACGGATATAGTGAAAAAAAATTTTGTAATAGTTTAAAAAAAAAAAAAAAAATTCTGAAAGTTTCAGACCGCTGCACTCATGCTGCCGCGGTTGAGCAGCTACCCAGAACGGGCCCTTATATGGAAAGTGGCTTTTCCGCATCGGCAGCCATCGTGGCATGCCAATGTTCGGAGCGCTAGTGACAACATACTAGCGGAGATGATGGAGAAAGCCTAAATTTAAGAGAGGAAGCAACTTCAACCATTGAGAGCATTTGCAATTTAATGGCAGACGCCTCCTGGCAGATTTGCATGAGTGCACCTGCGTTTGATTGTCACGTGGCCAGTGTGGTAAGAAAACTGGGCGGAGAGGTGGACACATTTGCAGAAGGTGAACGCTTTTGAGTTTTGACTCCTTACATACTGCAGCTCATTTTTCCAACGCGGTCCACAAACCATGTGACCTTCATCAAGCAGTTGCCCCCTCTCTTAAATCTAGGCTCTCTATGCCGACGAATGACGAGCTTGAGTGCAAACTTGGTGCCGTGCGCGCTTCTTTGTTTGCTTCGTGTTCCGTGTCGGCGTTGCTGGTCGGTGTGGTCGCTCATGCGCGAAAGTTCGACTTCGCTCAAGCACCGATTCGGCTAATCATCGCCACTCAACGATGGGGAGTCCGGGCACCTCGACGGGGAAGACGGAGCCAATCTCCTTGAACCAAAAGCGTGCAATCCTCAGCAAAGCGCGCATAAACGTGAAGAGCGTCGTCCACCACCGGCGTCCTCCATGGTTGGCAGTCGCAGCTGTCGACACGGTCCGCATGTAGCTCGCAGGATCTTTCCTCGATCGGAGCTTCTCGCTGTTGGCGAGAAGCGGCTTCGATCTACCAGAGAGCACGTGCAGGGAAGCCTTGACCGCTTTCCGCACGATAAGCATGTGCCCGTGACGGCTTGTGTATTTTTTTTTTTGCGTGTTACCGATGAAGTGGATATAGCTAAGTGACTTCCAATTCTCGTTGACTTCGTTATAACTGGTCTCGACAGTACCTTCAAGTATGACGTGACCTCTGGATCACTTTCCATGCAGGACGAACTGCCCTTTGCAGAGTTCCTCAGCGCGGCAGTCGAACTGACCAGGAGCGCAAGGCCTCCGGACTCAGTGACCGCGGCATACCTCCTGACCTTCTTGTCGGGTTTCAAGGTGGCGGGACCCGTCGTATGGAAGCTGTCTCGGTTGCTGACGTCGGAGTTGGCACCGCAGACGTCATGCTCTTTGCCACAAATCCCACAACAAGCACCAGATGTGTCGTCCGAAACGTCTGAAGCTCTGCAAGAAATGTCTTCGGGAGCTTTGTCAGAAACGACTTTGAGGACACCTTTCAAAAGCCGATGCTTGCATCTCTTTTCGGATGCCGCATTCCGCAAGGACTGCGGTGACGACGGACTCCTTTGGATGGCTATTCTGCTCTTGTCTGAGCTGGAGTCCCAGCTGGAAGTGGCGAGGGGGAACCTGCTGGAGGCATCTTCGAGTGGTCCGCTCTACGGGGTGATGATTTCGCTCAGGACGCTGCTGTGGAAGGTGTCCTGGAGGTGAGAGACGGGTTGATCAACCAATTTTGTATCGTCATTAAAGTCCGACGACCAGACCCGAGATTCTGCAAGGCAGAAGATCTTCCTCACCATGGTGGAGGAGGAAACAGGCAACGCTGGACAGGGTAAAAGGGGGAGAGGAGGAAGTGGGGGAAAGTGGAAAGCGCTAACGGGTTGTCGGTCTTTAAGTAGAACCGAATTTTGAGAATCTACATTCCCCGAACCCACATAAGGCATCTGGGATAACCCTGCAAACGCATTAGGCAGAGTCTGTGAATGCCCCAGAGTACTGCATTTCGTTGTGCCTGCTGGAACTTGCATCAAGGTGGCCAACAACAAGTAGCCTAAAGTCGGCCATCTTGGTGTTTCTAAATGGTCCTAAGAGCGCTGCATTCCATTGTGCCCGCTAGAACTGGCGTCAGGATGGCTAACATCAAGATTGCTGAAGTCGGCCATCTTGATGTCCCTAAAGGGTCAGGCTCACTGGAACTAACATCATGATGGCTGAAGTCGGTAATCTTGATGTTTTTAAATGATTGAGCCCGCTGGAACTAGCATCAAGGTGGCCGACATCAAGCTTGCTCAAGTCAGCCTTCTTGATGTTTGTGTATGGTCCTGCCCGCTCGAACTGTCGGATGGCCGTCATCAAGATGGCTGATATCGGCCATCTTGATGCCGAGAAAATCAAACGTGTTAAACGTTTACATTGGAGCTTCGAACAGCTGGTGAATTATGGAAAGTAGGAAAGTGATTGACAAGTCGGTCGATGCAGAGTCTGCGGAGTCAGCACGGTGATCGACTATGCATACTTCGCCAGTTTCTCCCGCCCCGACTCGATTCGTTTGTCTAGGGCTTCCATTGTAAGCCCTCAACCATGATATTGCAGCGCGGCTCTTAAAAAGTAGTTTAGTAGTTTTAGTACTCTTGGAACATTCAAAGTACTCTTGGAACGTTTAGTTCCCCTAGACTGAGGGTTAACTTAAATCGCCTAAGTATACGAGCCACTCAGAAGTGAAAGTTTCAGGTACTCATTGTTCGCTCACGGAGCACAGTGGTAGTTGCAGCTACAAAATGTTGCAATCGACGTTTGCAGGAATCTGTCGACGTCCGACGTGAAGATCTGGAAGACCGTCTTGGACTGTTCTGTGTCGTTGGCCTTTGGAGTGGCCGAAGTAGTGAGCCCCGTTGTCACCAATGCATCGCCGGAAGGGCAGCTGGACGTTCAGGGCGATCCTGGTGAGCACCCGTTCTCTGCACGCACGACGAGTCGAGGCTGGTTCACGCGTTCAAGTTTGACTGGGGTCGAGCTCGCTACAACTGCTATTGAAAAAATTTTGGCATCGTTATAACAGGCCGTTTCTCGTAGATAAGTGTGTAGACTTGATCTCGCAAAGGCTGCTAAACCTTCGGTCTAGTCATGTGCGTATTGGTTGGGTGTTCTCTTACAACCAGTCATAGCACGATCAAACACAAGTGTGTAAACCAGCCTTTAGGGCTGAGAGGCGGCTGGGATTCCTAGCTCGCCGGCACTTTCGTCTTTTCCCTTTCTCTGGGTCACGTCGTGGGAGCTGGGAATGTAAATATTACACGTCGACCCGACTCTAGGTGGCAAAAATGGTTTTGCTTGTTTTAACGTAGCGATGAATTTGAGTCATGCATGGGGTGAATGTGAACTCGTTCACCGAAAGGCAAAGTAAGGATTGTCGCCTTTCGCATGTCTTAGCACAGATCGCTTTATGAGGGAATTCACCGTTGCTGTTGTGGACCGTAACAAATGGTGGCTTCTCGAGAAGCACCATAGTATGCAGATCGTCGCGAAGCTGTCGATAAAAAAGTTACCCCAAAAAAACCCGGCTTGCAAAAAGTGTGTGACGTTTGATCGTTTGTCAGCTACTGCTGGCATAGTATAGAAACGGTATGCACACACCTTTCCTCCCTTTTGGTTGCAATTCGTAGAAATGGGGGGCCGGTGTGCCGAAACACCGGGCACGTGTCGGCGCTTGTAAGCACCGACTCTCCGTTTTGTGTGCTCGGTTTTGACAAAATTATCTTCCGACTTGTGGTGTGATTTTGGTATTTCATGGTACTGCGACTGCAGTTGCCGACAAGACAAGAACGGCAGGGAGAAGCTTCAATTGTCCCACCTCCAGCGCGAGCTTACTATCTTTGATAATGCTCGAGCATCTTGTGAGCTTTGAGTGTGCTCAGCCAAGGCATGGTGGAATGCAACGAGCGCATGCTGGAGGTCGGGCGCCCGAAAGAGACGCCCAACTGTTCTCATCCTGTTAGTGACTACTGAGAAACATGCCTCAACATGCATCGGACACGAAGAACAAGGCGTGCACATCTTGGGACTTTACAGGCATGTTGGAGCGGATGCAAGCCGCCTTGCAGAAGGGGCTGGGCCGTAGGTTCGACGTCGTGCAAGGCGCACACAGAGAAGGCGGCACAGGAGTCACCGAGATAGACGCTGTAAAGAGCACGGCCGTGGCAGCGCAGATGCTGCTGCTGTGTGGATGGCGCGCCCACCGGGAAGTGTCCCTCCTGTTTGGAGAGCTGTGCGAGGGCTGTCCGTTTGGCGACGTTTCGGACGATTCCAAACAATGCTTGCTGTCTGTCGACCAGGTGAGATTTAGTAAAAGTGGTGAAGCCACTGCCGTTCCTTTATGCATGCACACATAGACACACACACACATATGTACTTACTAGTACTGGTCCTTGTTCAGGACCACTGTAGGAATGGTGTGTAAATAACACACAAACATGTGGTCAAAATGGCAAACAGTTCAACTTGCAATAAGATAACGTGCTCTTGAATACGGTTGCATGCTAATGTTGCCGCGCATATGTTTGGTTCCCCGTAGTTGTTGCACGACGGACATTTTACTTTTCGAGCATTGCCCTACGATTTGTACAAGGATCCGTGGATGTTTGTGCAATCCTTTTGCACAAATGAAATGCATGGCTTCTCGAGGGATTGTGCCATGAACTAGGAAAAGCGAATCTCTCGCGACTGACTTTTGAAAATGTTGCAAAAAATATTTTCTTGGACCCAGTTGTATCAAGCATGGTTTTTCAAACCATGGGTTCCCAAAAGAAGGTCATTAATTCCCCAATTTCCTTGACGATCTCTGCCCCAAAGGAAAGTGTTTTCTCATAGCACTATTTCAACGGATCTAAGCCACCGATTCATGCAGCCAAACAATTTCTACTGCTTACGTTATTGTTTACAAGGTTTGCAGACTTCTGCACCGCTTTATTGTATGAATGCCAATTCTTGGAGGGGTTCCTCAAGATCGAAAAGTTTGAGAAAACCTGTTTTATACTATAGTATTGGGCATCACTTGGAAAATTTTTAAATCTCGCATAAGTCAGGATGATTAATAATTCACGTCAGGGTGTAATTAAGCTTATATGACCCTCTTTTAAACTTCTTGTGCAGGTGCTGAAGATTGGGTCCTTCTTCATGGAGCAGATGTCTAGCATCAGGCATCGTGGTGCATTTGAGCAGGCCTACACTGCTTTCCAGAAGCTATGCCAAATGCTCTGGAGGTAGGTCTTTTTTTATTAATTTTTTCTCCGTAAATTTTGTTGCAATATGCAATCCCAGGCTTTACCTTAAAGTAACACTAAATTAATCTCGAAAGTTTTGTTGCATGCTTGACACATAGCAGAGGTATCCCAGTAACAACCGATCAATTTGAAATAGATGATCCCTTGGCCCATAGGTAATTTACAGAAGCAACCAACCAACTAAAAGCAGGGTGTCGAACCAGTCATTATTTCAGTTCGGTTCGGGATCGGGTTCGGTTCCGGTTTAGGGTAGCGCAGATAATATCCCTCCGGTTACCAGTTTTAATAAGCACGAACCGGTTCCTAACTCGACTTTTGAATATTGACCGAGCACTTCCTGCAGCCTTTTCTGAGCACAAGATACTTGCAATAGACCCATCCCAAAAATACTCCCTCTTCAGGCAGATCTGAAAACCCTGCACAGTGATACGCTCAAAAGACACCATTAATGTGGCAAGGCTATTACTTGTATAATACTGTTCTTAAGTGAACTATATACAAGCGGTCGGCTTTCCGTTTTTAGAGTGTCTTTCGCACACGCAGCTGTGCAGTATTTCAAACTCTGCCAGAAGAGGGCGTAATTTCGGGATGGTTCTGTAGACCTTTCAAAAAAGCTGTGGCCGGTGCCATCTTTAGTGTTTGGGTGTATAGCGCATGCTTTGCTCGCTTTCTGAAGCAACGAACACGGACATGCTGGGCTGTGAAGATCGCACGCTGGGCTGTAATTTTGTAAGCCGGAAAAAACTCTTTAGCTGAATTGCTTGCCCTTTATATGTCCTTGTTTGTTTTGCTGTGCACAGACGTGTTTTCTAGACATGCTACCTGTAGCCCTATGTTGCGCTTTTTGGACTCCCGCGGTGACTAGGGAGGAGGAAGTGACGTCAACAACACTGCAAACGCAGATTGGACGGTGATTGGTGAGAGTCGCTGATGACGCATTTCCGCAGAATAAAACAAAGAAAAAGTGAGCTTTGTTTTCTTCTGTGGAAATTCGTCATCAGCGACTCTCACCAATCAACATCCAATCTGCGTTTGCTGCATTGTTGACCACTTTCTTCTCCCTAGTCGCCATGGGAGTCCAAAAAGCGCAACATTGGGCCCCTGTTTTCGGCTCCCAGTATGCCCCGGAGTGGCTGACAGGGTAACGAGAGGAAACAAATGGGCCGTAAAACACAAAAACAAGTATGTTGAGTGCGCAGTGGGGTAGTTTACCGAATCCCGCTGTGGTCATGTATACGTCGGCCGGACTGGCCGATGTGTCAATGACCGGGCACGTGAGCACGCACGTATAATGAAATATGACTACATCTTGACAGCACTTCAGGTTCCGGCGGAAAAACGCAGTTCTAAAGATCTCGTGGCGATGCTTTGTCTTGTCATTTTGACTTTTTATCGCAAACAACGCTCTATGCAAATGACCAAATCTGAGGGACTCAGAATTAGTTACATAGCATGAATTGTTAATTTTATGACCGTGATAATATCATAACAGTGCTAACATTTGAAACTGTCAACCACCCAACAGTCTCGGTAATGCCACCGCAGCGAACAACATTTCTCTAATGCTCATTTGAAGACGATGAAAGAGGACTCAAACAAAAATTAGAAAATGTTTGAACAGGTGACTTGCTAGTATGACAAACCTACAAAAACGATGATTTGCCTATAGGCAAATCATCGTTGGGTAACGTTGCCTCCAACAACTCATGTTTTTTCTTTCTTTTTTTTTTAAGATTACCGTATTTACTCGCAGAATGAACGCATTTTTTTACCGAAAAATCGATGCAAAGTTGGGGGAGAGGGGGGCGTTCATTACGCGAAGTAAAATTTTTGCGTCCATATTTACTCGCATAATGAACGGACCTTTTATCCTGAAAAATCGAACTTCTTATCTCTTTGCGCGCGGCGCCTGACCCCGTAACCAAACTAAGCTTTGCAAAAAAGAAAAAAAAAAAAACTCCTCTTTGTTTTCTTTTTCTCTTAGTTCTTTGGTATTTTTTTTTTTGTTTTTTGTTTTTGCCGCCTTTCGCAAGCTGTTTTGTTTGCTTAGGCGTTGCTTAGGCGAGGGCTATCCGCATATCTTTCTTATCTCCTTGCGCGGGATGCACGACCCCGTAGCCAAACTGCGCTGTGCAAAAAAAAAAAAAAACTTTTTATTTCTGTTCCGTGAATTTTTTTTTTTTTTTGGCCGCCTTTTACAAGCTGTTTTGTTCGCTTAGAGCGCTTCTTCGTTTCTCTTTTTTACCTCCTTGCGCGGGGTGGCGCGCGAAACCAAAATCCAAACTGCACTGTGCAAAAAAAAAAAAAAAAAAGCTCCTCTCCATGTTTTTTTTGCTTGCTTCCCTTGGATCTTTGCGAATTTTTTTAAGGCCTTTTGCAAGGCGTTTTGTTCGCCCACGCTGCCCATGCATTTGCAACCTCGCTGCACCAGGATAGAAAAGTACGTTCATTTCGCGCGCGTGGGGGGACGGGGTCAAAATTTTGACGTTCGAGTTGGGCGTCCGTTTATTACGCGAGTGAAAAAAAAAAGTCGAAATTTTGAGAGCCGACTTGGGGGGTGCGTTCATTACGCGAGTGCGTTCATTGTGCGAGTAAATACGGTACATCTTGAGCATGTTGAAGAAAAGATTGTTTTTCATTGAAATGGACCACAGGTGACTCTACAAACTATACTGCCGATGCAGCGCGGTGCCAGCTTCCTTCAGCGTGTCGCTGCACTCAAGCGGAAGATCACGTGGTGTGCTCTTGGTGCTCGATTGGCTAAATGGCTCATCGACTGCAACTGCGGTCCGTCTTGAGGTCAAACATTCGCGGGCACGCAGGCCTCCATCCCTAGAGTGGCGCGATCCGCTCCGACACTTGGACATTTCGTAGCCAAGCGGCCAAGCGGTGCTTTAAAATCGCCGCCGCCGCTACCGCACCGCCAGGGTCTATCTAAGAAACAAACTGAAGTTGAAGTTTTCTGGATGCCTAAGTAGAGGTGGGAACTGAACAAGCTCGCTGACCACTCGGTCTCTTTGTGTCTCCGCTTTTGATGATCATGATGTATTTTTTATTAGGTATGCAATAAACATGAAATGTAAAAATATCTGACAGTATGTAGGATTAGTCTTGGCAATATAAGAAAAAAATGCCCGCAACTTTTCCCATTAAGACCAATTATTGACAGAATTGGCCCTGAACCGCTTTGGTTGAACCGGTAACCGGCACATCAGATTATGGTTTCGTTCCGGTTTGGGTTCAATACAAAGCGTTCTATTTCGGTTCTGTACCGGTTCGGTCAAAAACAACGGTTTTGATCCGCTTTTCGGTTCGGGCTTGGTTCGACACCCTGACTAAAAGGGCTGTGCACACGTAATGGGAGAAATTTGGAAAGGTTCTCGTGACCTTCCAGTCTCTAATAGTCTTGAAAAGGGATATTATCTCTCTCTCTCTCTAATCATTTACTAACTCTCACTCGCTCACATTCTTTGCAAACCATTTGGTTCACAAAGAAAAAAAAAAGTTTGGAGACATTTTGGAATTTTTTTTTTTTGACATTCCTTTGAAACAGGCGTCCTCAAGTGTTTTTGTACACTAAGAAAAATCTAGCTACCTTGGACAAGGAGTCACTTCTTTCCTCGTGTGAAGGGATGCTTGGAAACGTCGACAAGAGTATCGGGGTGACGGGCGGCAGTGTCTCACATTATTGCATTATTGGCAGATCAGTAATTGTTTGTCAAAATCTTTCAGATGCAACCACCCAGAATTGGCGAAGCTGCCGATGACGTGGCTGAAGGACGTTGTGACCGTTGTGAGGGAAGGAGGCGTCAGTTCGACTCGCCGGAGTGCAGGAATTCCATACATTGTTCAGGTCAAATATGCTTCTGTATTCGTGATAGTACTGGATGTTTCAGGTGCGATTATTATATTCCAGGCGCTTAAAGGGACCATGAAATGACCTTTTTACTTTTTCCAGATAACTTTTACATTAAACCGTCAATGTTCACTGAATGCCGAACAGGCATCCGTTTTCGTCTCGGTTTATTAACTTTTACACAAAAAATTATTGAAACATCGACTTTTTCATTCTCTCCAACTGACCGCAAAAGAAGCCGTGACGTAGACCGTTTCCGGAACCGGAAGTTCTCTCGGCAGTAGGAGAATGGGAGTGTTAGCGGCAACGAGTTGGGGTGCGCCGGTAGGTTTTACTGCGCTGATGTCACCGACGTATTTCCTGAATCGGCGCCTCTCATCGCCGCATCGCAGCTGAGCGAAATTCAATGAGATATGTTGCGCTACAGCGACAGCATGGGACTAGTCCCATACGCCGGTATGCCTGTTGGGAAGTGCAGCGAGTCTTGTCACCACCCCGTCATTGTTGGCAGAAGGGCCGGCCCGTGTCAGTCGTTTGCAAAGCGACGTAGATGGCGTTTTTCGCGGCCTCGGAGATGCAGGAGCGAGCCGACGTTAAAAAAGATACGTTTGAACTACGAGTGTCAGCAAGAGCCACGTAAATACCTGTTTACACTCGGAGCGGACGCGCGCGCTTGATGGAAGTCTTGTATTCGCGCTGTTGGTAAGCGCTTCGGGACCGTTCTTTTACGATTGCAACTCGATACTGACGCGACACTCGGCAAAGAAAGGTTGGACCGGGGTCGACAGTGACGTGCAGTCTGTCAGAATAAAAATGGCATACCAATAACAAAGTGTACATACCGTGTTACGAAGGCAATCCATACGGCGTTTATTTCAGCTCTATATCACACAAAACAAGAAGATAGAATCGACGAGAGTCCCTTTTCGACGAGTGTTCGTCAACACTGCCTCGGAAAACAAGGGGAAGAGATTGACCTCCTCACCTCTTAATCTAGAATTGAGGTCAGTGATCAAACTATAATATGGGAAGGGTCCACAAGGGTCGCGCGGGCATATTCCATTTAGCACGCCAGACGGTCGTAGGCAGACTGTCTTGCGACGAAGCAACGCAGCGCCGAGTCGGAATGCCTGCTAGGCCTATACGCTTCGTCGGAGTCGGTGAATCCAGCGTTCTTGTTCGTCGTGGTCTGTTTTCAGTACTGTTTTCTTGCTGCTTGAAGTCGGCACGCGCGGGAAGAACACGTAGAAAAATAAACGTTCAGTCAGTCAGAGTTTTGAGAGGAAGGAAAACAAAGAAAATAAATGTTCGTCGGTCGCCGTCACCCAAGTAGCTGGCGGCCCTGCCCTACTGCGCACGCGCAGTAGTTGCTTCGTTTACCACACGATAGATGGCGCTTGGCTCTCAGCATTATCAAATTTGGCAATTTTCGCCACACATCTCTAATTATGCTACAAAATGTGGATCTGAATATTATTTAACAAAACTTTTAGGAAACATTCGCCGGCTATTTATTGTTTACGATCGCGGTGCTGGTGAGGTAGGCTCTTACCCAATAGGCGATGTGGATTCGGCTGACGTGCACCGATTCTGCGTATGCATCGTAGTGAACAGGCGAAGGAAGGAAGGCGCAAAAGAGTCCAGTTTTCTTTTAAAAGTTCTATAGCAAATAATTTTTTTGGGCTCCCTATTTTTGTGTTTTTGTGTTTCTTTTCACACCTTTTACGACGTGCGGTGGATGAAACTCGATTTTAAAATCATTTCATGGTGAGGCTTTGGGTGAGGCTTTGTATTGATGGTCTCTTTCTTGTTCATGTTGCCCAATTTTCTCTCGAGGGGGTTGCAGCATCTTTGCTTTACCGTTTGCTCGGCCTTCAAGGAAGGGAATGTTTTTGTTGTAACATTTACATTCTGCTGAATTTATGGGCCATTTTTTTTAATGTACTCGTATGTCGTTTGCTTGTCTTTGAAATTATACCTTTTTTTATTGGCCTGTGGCCTGTCTCTCGGTTTGTTGTCAAGTTGATGCGACACTTTGTCACACTGTTTTCTTGCTCTTTGAGTTATGTGACATTTTTGTTGTGTTGCCATTTCTTTTTGTCTCGAAGCAATGCAAGAGCATTGTACAATATTTGCATACCTCTTAACCAGTCTTGGGCAGTAACTAGTTACTAATAACGCGTTACCGGTTACTAGTTACTTTTTTCGGTAACTTTTACCTGTAACGCGTTACCCTTTATTACTGGTAACTTGTAACTGTAGCACTGTTACTTTTTTTATTGGGTAACTGTAACCGTTTAGGCCGTTACAGTTACTTTTTTTTGTACTATGTAAATTAGAACCCACTGCCGCGGACACGGAGAAATTGCCATCTTGAAGTATTTTTTTTTCCAAACTCCTCGCTGACAAAGAAAATAATAAAAAGTGTGGCCGCTCATTAAACAAATAAAAAATTGCCTGGTTTAGCCCACGACCGAGAATGGACGACGGACGAGTCAGCACGCAACCGGGAGATAAAGGAAGCGGCGCCCGCTGCGGTAGGGGCGGCAAACAATGTCTCTTTCACTGACTTTGGCTCATTTTCTCTCGTGGGGGCCACCTGCGGGTGTCGGTGGTCGTGCGATGTCTCCGAGTATTCCGTCTGGGCTGTGTCTGGAACATGTCCATGCTGTCGTTTTTACACCCAGCCGTTCGGCGTTTCCTCATTCCTATTAGTTTTCAAGAAAGCCGTCCCCATAGTGTGCAGAAAGCCGGCGCTTCTTTAACTTATTCATTCTCTTCGGAGCCACTCGAGTGAACGCGACTTCCACAGTTGGCGTTTCGGACATGGTGGTCGTCATACACTGGTAAAGCACAAGAAGCCAGTGGTCTCCTTTCCCTCTTTATTCCGAAGCTGTTTGACCTGATATGTTTAGGCCTGCTTCCGAGTATATCCTATAAGGTAATTATGTGACCATCTCTCTCCTCATTCGTTTCGGAGTGAAAAATAAACCAAAACGTTCCCTGACGCGGGTCGATGACAATTTTGAAAAACGGTATTGCAAATAAATTATGCACCTCAGAATGCTGAAACGGCGAATGACACAAAAAAGAAACACCCTTTGGGTTTCAATTTTTCTAATTTCTCAGTTTGCTTTCTTCTCACTATAGTGTAACAAATAAAATAATATTGTTTTGGTTTGTGATTCCTTGAGTCCAATTTTTGTACTGTAACGAGAAAGCAACGGCGTTACTGTTTTTTCAGTAACTGTAACTGTAACACGTTACGTTTTGAAACCGGTAACTGTAAGTGTAACAGAGTTACTTTTTCCCCATAGGTAACTGTAACTGTAACGCTGTTACTTTTTACTGGTAACGTGCCCATGACTGCTCTTACCTTGAAGTGATGGAGTTATTTTGTTTTGTTTCTGTGCTGTTGTTTTATTTTTGGGCTGCTCCAGCATTTTTACTTGGACGTTTGGTTGCTCTGGAGGTGTTGCAATAATTTTACATTACTTTTCTTTTTATCCCCGAAATAATGCAAACTTTATATAGTTGCCATTGTTCCTCATGCAACATTCTTGTTGCCCTTCCCAGTAATTATTGAAATGAAGAAACACTTTTATTACATTGTTGGCTGCTTCTTCGAGCCATGCAACATATTTATTGTCTTCTTTTCCCGTTTCTAGGCTGTGCTGGTGTCAGAACCACAACTGTTTGGGTCTGCTGCTTTCCAGCAATACATGGCTGAGTTTTTGAAGCTCGCTGACCAGAACTCTTCAGCTGTGGAACCAAAGGTGGGACTCAGCATCACATTAATTCAGCTGCCCGACTTTTGAACCATTTTGGTGGCATTTGCCGGAAGCTTCAACAGAAAACTGCTCATCTCTTGTGATGGCACCTGTTTTCATGATGCTGTACGTGACTAAACGTTAATATGGACATTGCCGTGAAAATATTTATGCATGTCTCGATTACATCTGATAAACTCAGAGACACATAATGTGCTGTGAATGAGCAAGTTGTATTTGTGTGACCTTAGGAGGTCACATGATGACCTATGACGTCATGATGTCACATTATATGATCTCGTGCGTCATGTGACATTTTGAGTCATGTCATGTCATGAGGTCATCTGACCTGTTGGTGAAGCGTGTTGCTTCTCTCATTAAACTTGGCTTTGTAAGACATTCTGTGTTCAAAGCGTAGAACTGAGAAACACCCAGGTTGGCTGCTTGGGTCATCTGATCTCATATTCTCCACAAAATAGCCTTACCATGACAGTTCTCTACACTCATATTATATCTACAATAGCTAACATAAGAAGACGCCAGGAACCTTGGACATTAACATTGAACGGTCTACCGAAATTCCGGTGCCTATCTTTTTTTCACTGACTTGTCATAATAATATGTAGCGTGCATTTATAGCTGCCTTTCGGTAACCTCAATGACCTGGACCACTAACTACGAGATGCAAATATACACAGAGCGCAAGTTCGTCTGCTTCTTGCGCAGGGCTTGCACTGACGTCAGAACGCTGAGCTTTGATTGGCTCTGATTGGAAGGACAGTGGGTAGACCTCAATGCTAGCTGCTTTCAGGCCAACCCACTATCCTTCCAATCGTAGCTCGGCGTTCCGACATCGGTGCAAACCCCGCACAAAAAGCAGACGAACTTGCGCTCCACAGGGCTTGGCGTTTTGAAGAAGTGACTTGTGATAACACTGTTCGTTTCACCATAAGTCGGTCCAAGCTAAAGGATAGAAGACATGCGAACACGGACTAAAAGCGTGAGGTCACGGTGCATTCACTGCACTTCGTTGTTTTAGTTGACGATGACACATGCACAGACGACGAACGCCCTGGCATTGAACTTTTCGTGCTTCTCGATTGGCCTCGCTGGCTCGTAGCGTCGGCAGCACAGTGCCTTAAGGCCGCACTCACGCTGCTAATCCATCATACGATAAGCGGCCTGCAGACCATGTTTCTTTCCTGTATGCCAGCCCTGCTGCGTCACCCACACGAAAACCGTCTGCAGACACGGAAGCATACGCACGTTTGAAGCAGAAGATAATTCCGTCATCGTGTCCGTAGCAAATGCTGCGTTTTTTGTATGTCGTACAAGCAGCGTGATCACAGCTTGAGGCAAAGACAAAGTTCAGTTGCCCGGGCTCCTCCGCAGGTGCACGCCATCAACGTGCTCAGGGCGCTGTTTCGGGAGGCACGACTGGGAGATGTGGTCATGCCGTACGTCGCGGACGGAGTCAGGGTGGCCGTCTTGGGCTTCGAGGCCAACGTCTGGGCCGTGAGTCTGTTTGTTTTTTTGACGCCACTGGTCTGTAAGGGTCTTGGAAGGCAAGGGGATTAATGTTAATGAGCAACAATGTCGGTGTACATGGAAAATACATCTCAAGTCAACGAGAAGAAAATAGTAAAAAAATAAAGGTAACAGTAAAAAAACAAAAACAAATTAAACTTTTAAAGAAAAAAACAAAAATCTTCATTTTTTTTATTAGACAGACAGGGAAGTGTCAAACTTACCATCGTCGGATGCGACAACCACTAAGCTGTTGACGGTACCTTTTTGCAGCATCCAACACTGCCAGTGCTTTTTCGGAGGTTAAATTTTTAAAACGATTTTTCGCTACAGCCTACGAGCCTCGGGGACAGTCGGTTTACTTTATATTGTTACAATGTGTAGTTACTAGTACTCTGAAGTGGAGCATATGTGGCGACTGTAGGTTAAACGAGAGGAAACCATACTTGCTCTCTGGGTTGATTGCCACGTTTCCTGACCCTGTTTTGCCGGGACGGCGCCCGCAGGTGAGGAATGCTGCGACGCTCCTCTTTAGCACGCTGATGACGCGGATATTCGGTGTCAACCGCAGCAGGGACGAACCTCAGCGCCGCAACTGCCTCACGGCGCACGTTTTCTTCCTCCGCTTCCCGTCGCTCTTCCACTTTCTCCTGGACCAGCTGAACCGAGCAGGCAACCACTTGCACCACCGGTGAGTGTAATATAATGGGAGAAAGGGAAAAATGCCATCACAGCTCTTGGAAATCTCTGGCGTAAAAACATTTTGTCATGCTTTTGGAGCCTGTTCCTGGAGATTTTTCTCGAGGGACAGACTGAGCTACCGGAGGTTTGCTCTCAGAACCGAGGGTGAACCGATCGTGTTGGGCAAGGAACCCAGTGGGGGAACTAGAGGGATCTCTGTGCTCGCTTCGAAGACCCACTAAATATTCAAAAAGGCTTCCCAGCTTTTCCGTTCCAAGCGGCAGCATTGATGGCTGGCACCAGCACCAGCATCGAAAACCTGATTGGTCAATAAATTATAATCATAAGCATCAGTATAAATGTGCCATCAAAGCCTGATCAAAATCGCCAGCATCGACAGAAGTGTGCCGTTAAATCCCATTTAATCAGTCAATCACCAGCATGGATAACAATGTTTCATTAGATCCCAATCAATCAATCACCAGCACCAATATGAATGTGCCATTAAACTCCGGTAAGTCAGTCACCATCATAGATGGAAATGTTTCATTAGATCCCAATCAATCAATCACCAGCATCAATATAAATGTGCCATTAAACTCTGGTAAGTCAGTCACCATCATAGATAGAAATGTTTCATTAAACTCCAATCGATCAATCAGCAGCATCAATAGAAATATGATGTTAAAGGAGCGATGCAACAATTTTTGTACTTTGCGCAAATACCGCTTAAAACGGATCCCTAACGTTAATGACCCATGAAACACGCGTTCGTTTTTCACCCCACGCAATAGAAGCCCCAGAAAAAAATTAAAGAAAAAGGAGCAGCGTTCACCCCCTCAACTCGTAGCCAGAACAAGCGGCCACGTGATCTGGAGCCGATTATATGCCGCCAGTGTTGATCATAGCCACGCGCTGGGGTTGGCAAAGCGCAGGACACGCGCTGAGTTCCAGACATTGTTATGGCTCGGCTGTTGTCGTCGTTGCAGCGATTGGACACGGGTCACAACCCGAATGCTTCTCGAGCTAGCAATTGTCACGAGCCCAAGTCGAGTGCCCACGCAATGCTCGGGTCCAATCTATGAACCGCATTCAAATATCGTCACTTGGGTGTACTGCGATCCCCGAGTTACGTCATCAAATTTTGCAAAGGAGAGACTGAATGAAAAGGATCGCTTTTGTCCTTGAAATTACACCTCAACAAAGGAGTTTCTTGGCCAATGGCGTTGCGTGTGAGTATCCTTGAGTCCCAGGTGTGCCAGTAAGCTCGTGTAGAGAGAAAACATCCCAATTGAATATCGTTGCACAGCTCCTTTAAGCTCCAATCAATCAGTCAGCAGCATAGATAAAAGTGTTCTATTAAACCCCAATCAATCAATCACCAGCATCACTATAAAGGTGCCATTAAACTCCAATCAATCAGTTATCAGCATAGATAGAAATGTTTCATTAAACCCATTCAATCAATCAGTACAATGCAGACCGCATATAACGTATGTCGTGGGAGTCGCGAAAATCCGCACTATAAGCGGTACCGCGCTATAACCAAAACATCAATTTCTCAGGCCAAAATACATGCCATCAAACAACTTACCTCTGTAAAAGAATTCATTTCTATGTTAGATGAAAAATAAAGCTTAATTTGAGAAAAGTCTTCATTTCTCCAGACCAGTACAGTTCTGTCTCAAGTGTTGTCACACATTTTGAAAGAAATGGGTGACTTTTGCCTGGCGCAACCTTTTAACGGTGTCGCGGGCTGCGGACGGACGTCGCGAGCGTTCGGAAATGCTAACCCTAATCACTTTTCTCCGGCGATGAAAACGCGTGAAAATTCGCATCCTTTATACGGTACGCGCCAGTAATACCTTCAACTTGAGCACAGGCACAAAATGCTCCAAATAAGAAATCAGGGCAATGGTCGAAAACACAAATGTTTAGAAAGCACCACTGTAGTCGAAGTAAACACACACAACAACACGGGCGTTTCTGCCGTCTTGAGAGTGCCGCCACAACATCGCCGCACGAGTAGGTGGATCTTCCCTTCTAGTACGTGCTGGGTTATCATAGCGACACACAGCAAAAATTCACAGTCAAGGATAGCGCTTTTACGCGGAGCGATGAACTTCCACCATGCCGTCTACGACGACGATCACAACCGACGCCATGTTTGCGTATAGAAGCCGGCCCGCGACCGGCATGCAACGCGCGCGAACACTTCTCCTCGATCTGCGATTGGTCTGTCGTTGCGGTTGTTTTCAACACAGCGGAGGGACGCACGCACGCACGCACGTGAACGACACGTGGATGGGCCCCTCCGTCGCTATGGCAACTGAAGCCTCCCTCTTCGCTTCCCCCCGCTTCTTCGAGCAACCTCCTTGCCCCGCGAGTGCCGCTCGCGGCTAGCGCCATTATCTAGTGTCGGCACGGTCGGCGGGCTGTTCGAGAAACCGCACTATAACTGGTATTTCCCTTCGCGCGCCTGCATTTTAAGCGGTATGTAATTACATGGAGTTCTATGGGAGGCGAATCGGTGGTTTAAAAAAGCCGCGTTATACCCGGTCCTGCACTATAAGCGGTTACATTGTAAGTGGTCTATACTGTAGCATCAGTAGAAATGTGCCATCAAACTCTATCAATCGGTCACCAGCATAGATAGAAATGTTTGATTAAACCCCAATCAGTCAATCAGTAGCATTAATATAAATGCACCATTAAACTCTAATCAATCAGTCACCAGCATAGATACAAATGTTCTATTAAGCCCCAATCAATCTATCAGTAGCACCAATAGAAATGTGCCATTGAACTCCAATCAATCAGTCGCCAGCATAGATAGAAATCTTCTATTAAACCCTAGTCAATCAATCATTCAGCAGCAACAATAGAAGTGTGTCTGGCTACTATATGAATTGTATAGTCCAGAAATCGGTGTTCCAAACCAAAGATATGGTAGGATTCTAATGCCACCTTCAAAAGAAAAAACAAGCTTAAATTTGTCTTTATTATCTCTCCTTCATTGACTGTTGGGGAGACGGATCTTACGTTGTGTCTATGTATTTGCAAGAATGTACAGCTATCCGAGTCTCACGGTATGTGTGTCAATGGGCTTCTGTGTGGGTGTGCGTGCATCTGTCCCTTGTTCCGAGCTCACATCCGCAACAATCTGTACAAAAGGGTGGTAAATAGGGAAGAAGGAATGAATTTCTAAATGCGCCCCAATGGGAATTGAACCCACGACCCAATGATTGGGAGCTCGACATTGTACTCCTGCACCAATTACTAAGTGGATTTTTTAGGGGCGAAGCTCCTTAGGGTCTAGCCTTGTCCGGCGTCCGTGCTGACATCGATTGCCATCCCATCTGTCTTTTTAAAAAAAAAGAAAAAATGTTTGCGCAGTCGACAGGATTCTAACCTGTGCGGGGAGACCCCAATGGATTTCTAGTCCATCGCCTTAACCACTCGGCCCCGACTGCGGGACGAGTAGGGGGCTGTGAGATGCGGTAGTAACTCAAGAGCTGGGGATGTCATGGATGAAACGTTGCATGTAGCTGCTCAACGTCTATACAGGAGAGGGCACTGCGGTCAAATGTGTATATAATCGCGTTAAACTTTGCATGCATTGGCTCAACGTTTATAGACGAGAGGGCGCTGCGGTCGAATGCTAAAATGTGTATATGACCACGTTCCATACCAGACATTCTCTTTCTGACATGGACCGTTGACTTAAGCGGTGGAGATGCGTTCCCACGGCTTCTAGCGGATCCAAGCTGATCTGCTAGAAGAACCGCTGGCTCTGCATTTCACCGACCATTAAGCAGTAATAATGAAGTGGAAATGCAACCTGAAACTCAGCACTACCTATGAGCAATAAAAAAAACTCACTATCTATGAACAAAATCAGTATCATCAGCACCACCAGAGCTTCGCCCCAATCAACATCATTCACCACGTGGAGATGTGGTCATTTCTTTTTTTTTTCTTTTTTATTGCCGGACATTATTTATTTACAAAAGATGCATTTTCAAATACACTTCTAAAAATAGGTAAGCTGATTTACGACCGAAGCAGACTGAGTAAGAGAATTTGCGCCAATTATAGTGGATAGACTCAAAGCTTTGAGTCTATCAGCTGTCACGGTGGTACCTACTAACTGTCCAAGCGTGAATGCTAGCGTTCGCGTTCGAACAGTTTGTGGGAAGAAATGAGAAATCCAAGACATGCCCACCATCACATAAAAAAGATCAGAGTTTGGGATAAAATAACATGCTGGTAACCAAAGAAGGAAAAAAAAGAAACTGCAATGTCCTCCTTGAGTTCTGAAGGATCCCGTGGAATCTCATTCTCGGTTTACCCCCTTTGTCTGTGCTTACAAGATAAACAGAGCACTTCTTTGTTGATGATGCTCTTCTGGTGACATTTACCCTTGGGGAAATTTAAAATGAAGGAGAATTGGATCGGCTGGGAGTTGTGGAAGTCTAATGTTAAGCTTGTCAACAATTACACATTTCATTTTCCTCGTTCCCTTAGGGTCCTCGGCTCAAGCAGGTTTCCCGTGCTGCTGCTCCTGTCTCGTCTCTTTCCCTCGGTGGTGGAGGGCGGCTTCCGGCTGGACGCGTTTGTGCCCCATGTGGTCCGCTGCTCGCGCAGCCCCTCCTGGAAGGTGCGGGCGCTGGCAGCGCGCGCCGTCGTTCCCCTGGTGGCGCCCGCCGAGCGCAGGGAGTTCCTGCTCGGTGCCATCCTTTCCCTACCCGGCGCAACATGTCCTCCGGAGAACAACGCCGTCCATGGGACCCTTCTTCAGGTGACCGGCGACAAAAACAAGGCCAAGTTGACAAACGGGCGATCCTGTTTATGTCGCATGTAGTGTTTGAATGTTTGAACTTCAAACCCGTTCCGTGTTGTCCCTCCTTTCGTCCGTCGCCTCCGGTTTCAAACGTCTGGGACGTTGTACCACTCTCTGTAGTTGCCGTCTTTAATTTAACCCGCGTAAGCCTAATGGTGTGACAATCTCCGCGTACACGCAGGTCCTGCAAATTGTGAACCACTCCAGGGACTTCTTTGCGGAGCAGGACTTTGTGGATTCCGTCTGTTGCAGACTGGAGGAGAAAGTGTGGCTGGCCTCGGGGTGAGCAGATTCCTTGTGGCACCTTGCACTTACAGGGGAACGCTACTGTACTTTACTGTGTTTTACCTTACGATGAACCGCAGAGGACACTACTATCCATCGAAGCCCATTTAAAGGGACACTGACACCCCCCAAAAAATAGTTTTCATTTTTTGCCAGGCGCTTCATTATGGTGTCGGAGGACTACCCAATTAATATTTTGCAACAGAGTAGCGTATTTTTTTAATAAAGCCAAAAGACGCAACTGCTCGAAACCGAAACCGAAACCCGACGGAGGTCGGAGAAGTGGAGAGGAGAGAGTAGAGTGGCGGAAGTCACGTGGCTACACCCGACCGTGTTTTTTTTGTTTTTGTTTTTTTTTCTCTCTCCTTCTTGTAGCAGACGACATGCGGCGTACGGGAACTGTTCGGCGTGGGATTCTTTTGCAGTTATGTATGTTCCGCTCGTTGTTCTGTACTCCAAGATGAGTTGTTTTGTACATTAAGGAGTTGGAGATGAGTAGTGAGTGCCCGTGGTGAATTTGGATCGGCTCCGAAAAGAATACACCCAAGATGTTGCGTGAAGAGCTGGCTCACATGTCCTGCGTCCGAAACAGAAGTGGCATTGTGCGACAGTTTCCGAAAGATCAACGGGATCGGGACCAATGGCTGGCTGCATTTCCTGTAGACCATTTACGGGCACCTCGGAAAGCGGACGCTACCTGATTTATATGCTCCTTGCATTTTGTGGAAAGTGATTACATTGAGTTCGCAGGTGTCAAAAAGGAAATCCCGTACCATTTAATTCAGCGACGTGTCGTCCACAACATTTGTTTCTTTTTTTTGTTTTGTTTTTGTTTCTTCAGTAATAATTGTAAAAAAAAGAAATGTAAACATCAGAAAATATTATTAAAAAAAAGTTTCACGGGGGATCGAACCCGGTCCCACCGCGTGTGAAGCGGACGTCTTACCCACTGAGCTACTGGGGCATGTCGATACGGGGGGATCTCTTTCCTTGGTAACAATTCAGCCGATAAACTGTAAGTTGGAAAGTTTGCTGACGATTTTTCTCTAACAAAAGTACTCCCGAGTCGAAGTCGGGAAGCACCACGCTTTGGGGACATTCGCACCTAGTAAAGAAATCGTACGCGTGCATATTCAACTCGAAGTAGACACGTCGTGCTTGACGTTTGCGCGAGCGATGTCTTCAGCCACGAGAAGGGAGCGACGGCTCGGCGACGTCTTCGTGCAAATCGGCTTGGTGGCCGGGCGTGTCGTACGGGATGAATACCAATTCTTTTGATCAGTCCCAAATTTCTCTTTTAAAGGTAGACAGAATTCGCCGGTACCGCGAACGACAGTTCTGAAATAGAGGCCCCACGCCCGTCGTCCGCTGCCATCGCCGTCCCCGCGAGTCCCACGATACGCGAAACGACGAACGCACAGAATGCTTCCGGTTGTCTGTGGAACTTTTTTTTTCAATCAACGTATTTACAGCTTTTTAGAAGCCACAAAAAATGGGTTTCATATTTTTTTCTATTTTTAATATTGAGTGTGTGCCTTCAGTGACCCACGACTTTGATTAAATTTGGTGGTCGCATCGATACCTTAGAAAACGGCCCGTGACCGCGAAAAAGAGAGTGAGCGAGACTCGAACCGGCCAGTTCCTGATCGGCGGTTTTCGGGCGGAAAGAAACCGAATTTCGAGCCGCAAATTCTGTTCTGGGTAGTTGAGCTCTCATATGACACGTACAACTAAAAACCTCGGCGAGCATAAATACCCTGTCAGTGTCCCTTTAATGTAGTGTGAATATTGTGTGACCTCCGGGAGGGATGTAGCGACGTGTGTGGTATATAGTCGTGCGATAGGTTCTCGGGTAGTGTCCACTGCAGTCCATCCTAAGGTGAAACAGAGTATAGCAACTAGTGTGCTGCACTCTTGAAGTCGGAGCTGGCCGAATCGTTTTGCTCGTGTCGCTTGACAGTTAACCAAAGGCTTTTGTGTCGGAAATTTGGTATTTGCCATCGTTTGCCGAAGGTGATTGCCGAGGGATTGGTCTCTGCGTCACACCTTTGATTTGTGCTATTTTGCACGCAACGAAGATTTGTGCAATAAATATATTTAATTAGTGCAACACATTGTGCACTGTACCATTATGCAAGGTGTTGTTGAGCCTGCTACGTACGTGAATGGTTCATTCTAGGTGAACCATCATTTATGAATGTCAGCCTCATCCTTATTTTCAGATTCTTAGCCCCTGTGACAACATATCTCCAATCTCTTTTTGTTGCAGATGTAACCCATGCCTTGCCACCAGGGCTGCCTACCTCAGCGTGGTACTGGCTTGCTCTCGTAGCCTCCTGGAAAAATTTGCGTTGAGTGAGTGTGTACCTCTCAAGTCGGGACAGCACGGCACATTTCACATTTCTGTCGAGCGAAGTTGCATGCCTTTGCAGATGTCTGCGAGATTCTAGAAGAACTTATCTCTACCAACATCAAACAAAAAATACGGGGGCTATCGTAGTAAAGCTTTAAGAAAGTATAAACATTACCTTTTGGTGTACTATAACAAGAGCAGTAACTTGATTATTGCATTAGTGCTTTTAAATGCCGTAAATCGGCCCAATTTCGAAACTTTTTATTTCGATGATCGAAGCCTACACTACAAGCATACAGTTAGTAAGACCACAAAAGAACTTGCACCTTCATGAATTGTTTTTTGTCGGTTGATTTGGAGGAATCGATTGATGAGAGCAGAGCTTGCCGACACGCATGCCGACATCTCGTTCCAGGTCGCTCGATCGCGTCGAAGTTGATTCGGGCCGTCCTCCCCGACATCACACCGACGCAACGGCACGCTGTGGCGACGTGCGAGGAGTTCTTCACGGCGACTGCGCACGAAGTTCTTCTTGAGCTCGGGCTTCAGCACCCCTCACTGTTTTCGCCGGAAGCGACGAGCTACTTCCAGTTCCTTTTGTGCGCCCTGTCATCACGGTCACAAGAGGCCAGGTTCGTGACGCTGCAGTTTGTGAAGAGGGCGACCGTGCAGCGCATCTGCGATGCTTGTCTCCGGTGCGAGTCCAAATTGTCGAGGACAGACGTTTGGAGGTCCTTCTCCACCCTGATCGTCGAGACGGTGCAGGAAGGTCCCGGGAGGAAGCAGGAAAGCGCCGCTTCGTACTCTGAGGTTCGCTTTAATTTATACTCTTCATTTAAGTCGACTCTCGTTAATTCAAACTTCAAGAAGCCACAGACTTTAGTTTGAAATATCAGAAGTTTGAATTATCAGAAGTTCATTTAGCTATGATGTGAGGCAAAGTAGTGATTTGCTATAGGAATAGCATACCAAGCACACATACCAAGCAAATTTTTTACACTTTTCTCTACACGGGCCTATTTATAAGCAAGCACACACATAAAATATTGGTGAAGTCCAATGTGAATAGTAGTGGTTTTGGCCGAATATTTTTTAATTGAATGTCATATAATTTCTTCAGGCCTTTTACTACCGTTGTACCGTGCTGAAACAAAAATTCAGCTGAACTCATGAAGGTGTTTCCCAACCTTCCAGTTGTTTACTTCTAAGCTCAGTTAGTTTTAATATAACTATATTTATGAACCGCGGCCTTAGAAAGTCCAATGCCTTCATTAGGGTGGCATGTAAATGACAGATTTGACATAAAATTGCCCAGCTATCCTAATCGAGGGAATTTATGAATCGGCTTGCTATATGCAAATATTCTTTCTTTAATCTCGAATTTAAACCCTCAGAAGAATTAAAAAAAAACAAGTATGAATAATGAAAGCAAATTGTCAGGACAGTTCTGCTTGCATAATCAGGGTGGCTTAATCCCATCGAGTGTGCTTCTCACCGAGCACTTGCGTACTGCGGAAAAGCAACGAGCGCGCTTCCTGGGTATTGCTTTCCCGCAGTACACAGGTGCTCGTTTTTGAGAGGCGCACTCAACGGGGCTAACTTGCCTCAGTGAACAAATAGTATGAATTAAATGAAGACGCTGTTTGAATTAAGCACTTTATAAATGCATTGAAAACAAAGTGTGACAACCAAATTTTTTTTTAATTTGTTTAGATTAATTGAAAGTATGAAATATTTTAGTTTAAATTATCCAAGTTTACTGTGCACAGTGTTTTTTCTACGCTTTACAGACTATTTTTAACAAAGCTGCAAAAGTTACACTAATGTGGTCTGTGCTGGTGAGTAATATGTCCCGAAGGACTTAGTGAAGGGGGCTAATTCTCATAATTTAGAAAGATTTGGAGCATGTGAGCAGCACGGTAGTGCGCTAAAGTTCCCGCTCGTGCAACAGGCAGAAAGCTGACTATGCAAAAAAGTGGATGATAAAAAACTGAAAAGCTATGCGGACGCATTTTCGTACCCACAGCCTTGCACCTTTTGCTCGAGTGGTAACTTTAGGGCTCTATTACACTTTTCGCTTGCTCCAAGTCTTTCTAAAATTGACTGATTTAGTAGTGGTTTTCAATGATGCTCGGCAAGTTTGTAATTGGAACCATATGTTTATCTTCAGTAATTGAAAAGTTAATGAACAGGTTTTTGTTAATTAACAAACTTATTGTGACAATTAGTCTCCTATATTATGTCCCTTTGGCTGTATAACTCACCTGCACAAACTGCATTTGTGTAGCTTTGATGGCTTTTTTTAAAAAATAGTCTGTAAAGCTAAAAATAAAAACACCCTGTATTTAGAACTCTGTGTTTTAGGAATATATATACCGTAATATCCCGAGTCATCGCCCACCCCCCAACCGCCTGAAATTCGTTAAAAAAGTGGGGTGGGCCATGTCTCGGTGGGTGAGCACAAACACTTAAAAAAAACGGAAAAAACCGCCTATTTTTCTCTGCGTATCTAGCGCTGATGCACAAGAGATACATCAAACTCAAAACTCGATTTAGTTTCATTGTTTTATAGAAAAGAAATGCTCACGAAAGAATATTTTACTATAGCCAAGTCCGTTGCTTGCATACGCGCTAGAAACACCCCCGATCTGCATATAGCACGAACGTTTGTTCCGTGAAAGAATGTCACCATTATGTTCTCCTAGTTAGTAAAAAAAAAAAAGAAAGAAAAGTCTACAAGAAAACAGAGAAACCGACCAGGCACAACGAGCGAGGGAGCGAGCGAACCAAAGAAGCGACCAAGAGCAATGCCGGGAAAGCGGGAAAGCCGGCCGTCGCGTTGGCAAATACTTTGGCGTCGGGCCAAGTCGGGCGCCTTGTCAATTGCAAGCTCTTGCGCAACTTTCTTGTTTGGTGGGTACATACGTGCGTCCGTGCACGGCGGGCTATCAATGCACGGTTGGGACGCTCTGCAAACGTCTGTGTAGGACGTTCCAGCAAAGCTCTATTTACGCTTTGGCTTTGCCTAAAATATTGCACAACAGCGGTCGCGACGGGCGGGAAGAAGGAGCGGGTTCGCGGTGACCTTACTTCGGCAAAGACAGACTTTGACCTAACACTCCGCGGTTACCTTAACAAACTCTTATTTTGTTATCTCCATCGTTTTCTTTTCGCACGGATACACGACCACTTTGGGGTCGCTCACGGAGGAAATGCGTAAACAAAAAGAAGTGTCTTTCCCTCCTTCGTTTTACTTTGTCACGGACGTCCTCCAACTGTAAGGTCCGCGGCCGCGTCATTCGGGTAGGATGAGTGTTCGCGGATCCCAGAGTCCGCGCTGGGGTATTTGAAGGGGTGGGCGATGACTCGGTGTTTTTTCGGAAATCGATATTGGCCCAAAAAATGGGGTGGGCGATGGCTCGGGGATGGGCGATGACTCGGGATATTACGGTACATATATATATATTTTTTTTTTTTTTCATATTCTGATATTTTGATTAGTAGAGCCTAGTCTGTACTGCAGTTGAGACCTTGATGTTTTGAACTGTCACAACAATTGCAGTGAAGTAACCGAATCATAAAATATAAGCTTTTCATTAGTTCCTTGGATGTTTCTTTACACAGTGTATATCTGTTGGAATTCTGCATGCCAATACCACCGTTATTATGCCCATGTGTTGTTCACCCTTTTGTATTCTTTTTCATGTTTTGTTTATATATCCTCTCCTCTTTGTATATTAATGTAGCATCAGGCACTTCAATTGATTTTTCTTAAAGAAAACCATCTCTTTTCTTTTAGGCTTGCGCAGTTCTGGCGAGCTTCAAGCAGCCGGACTATGCTCTGCTTTGCTGGAGAGGCTGCCCAACACTTGAAAGTGTATGTTTGAAACTTGAAGCAAACAAACAATATTGATGTCACTATTTCTTCTGTACTAATTTTTGGCTACCGTGTTTTGGCAGGTACTGGAGTTCCTTCTTGACCAGATGGACACACTGACACTGTGAGTTGACCTTCAGGCTCTAGTAAGATTCTAATAATGTTTACAGCCACTTTAATGTTCCGAAGCAGTTCCGAGACAAAAACACTAGAGAACTGTAAGAGTTTCAAAATCCTCACCAGTGGTGAAAAATGCATAAGCACTCCATCAGTGACCCTAACACAAAAAGAACTTCAGTCCCTTCGGTGTTTTTCTTGAGGACTTGAAACACAAAAAGAAATTCAGTTCCAACCTTTTTGTCGGTTGCTCTGTGTCCTTTTTTTCTTTTCTTTTTATTCTTGTTTTTTTTTTTTTTTGTCTTATCAACAATTTTTACCTGACAAGTATTACTTTGACTTTAGGTGAAGTTAAAATAATATTTATTATGATTTTTAAAGCTAAATATGTTGTCTTAGTAGCAGATGGGAGTTTCTTTCTTTCTTTCTCTTTTTCTTTTTCACTTCCACCTTGTCTTTCTCTACATGCTCTATTAAACTGACATTGGTAAGTACGGACTCTGTCCTGTCCCCTTCCTCTCTTAGTCATTTGCGCTTTTTAAATCACCGTCTAGAGAATCTTCACAGGTTCGGCACGATCTTGCGAATGTAACCTCCATTCCACTGTTTAGTGTTATTTGATTGTCTCTAACGTTATCATTTTGTTGCTTTATATTCTGTGTGGTAGAAAAAAAACCCTGCATAATGTAGCAAGAAATGCAACAAAGCAAAGATAAAGCATGTTAACATATCCAAATGCCACTCAATGCATGTGCCTCATCACGCTGTTTATTAATTATTTATTTTGCTTACACTTTTAGTGAGCACACCAAGCAGTCTTTACTGGATCTGTCTTGCAACATTGCTGAACAGATGATTCATTCACATGTAAGTATTAAACACCGTAAAAATATGATTTAGCTTGTTCTTTCCGAGCATGTCGGTATATGCTACTCTTTGAAGTGTAATGATGTAGCTATGATGGTCGTTCCACCGTTTGTCTCAATGACGTATAAGAAAAAGTTGTTGTGTCCTGTATCTGTCTATGTATACAGTGGGAAGTTAGTGAGCCCAAGTCGGCATCTGGTGTCTACGCTGTGGATGAGAAATTTAGCCAGTGCAATACCGCTGCCATCTGGAGTCTTTAAAATGAAACATAAATTAGCGACAGTGACCATCCAGACAGAAAACGGGCAGGGGTGGGGGTTATCCTAGGATCCCTGGGTTCTGCAGCGCGAGTTTGCTGCACGTGTTTTGACCTGGTGTATGTTAACATTCTCAGCCGCTTGGAGCAGATGTTCTTGTCATGTTATTTTAGGTTCTCAATTGACGGTCTTTTTCTTGTTATGTCGGCGAATCAACTAAGGCACCAGTCATTGACACAGTTGGTTTTCTGTTTCAGATTATGGACGACGTCGTCGGATTGCCCGAGAAGATGGCTGTTCAGCGCTGGACACTGGAACTGCTGAACTGCTCTGAGCCAACTCAGGATCTTGCAATGCGCGTGACCGCCAGCAGAGGACTGGGGCTTCTCGTCAAAACCGTTGTATCCGAGGGCAAGCAAGGTGAGTGCAGTCTTGCCATATTGGACAGTTCATATTTGAGGACAGCAATCCATGCAATGCATTCCTGTCCAGTGAACAAGATATGTAGTACTTTATTGTTTAATCAATGAAAACGTGTTGGGAGTGAATTTCTTGCTCCTCGTACCCATTAAATATTATTTCTAACTGAAAGGAAGTGATTGTTAGTCCTCACCCTTAATGTTTTCTTCTTTTTTTTTTCTTTTTTCAAATTGAGGTGATGTATTCATATAGTCTGTTACAAGTCAAGAAGGTAGTAGAAGCTGCCCCCACAAGCTTGATGCGCCCGCTTCAAATGCCTCCGCAGTCGAAAAAATTGTTTGCTTAAAACGCCCCTTCTGCTCCAGTGGAGATATATTGGCTAACCTTGTAACAGGCGGCAGCTTGCGCCTCCTGGCCGGGTCAAATGATGTACTTTAGGCTCCTACATTACTCGCTCCGGAAGGCTGAAGTAAAAAGAATGCTTTAGTGGCCACGAAAATTGTTCGTTCATAAAAAGATTAAAAATGCTTGTCTATTACAGACCTCAGTTGGAGCGGTAGTGCAATTATATGAAATAAGAGGGGAAAAGAAAGCATCCTTTGCTCTTTAAATAAATATAAATTTTAATTTTTTATGTAATGCTTATATGGTTGTTGGTTTTGGCTTGAAAACCTTCCTATGCAAATTAGGTACATCTGCTTTGAAGGCGTCATTTCAGTAGACAGACTATTTAGTAACGCCAGCAAAGATACGGCCGAGATCGGGTGAAGATGCTCGCTGTGTTGGTGGTTCACTCATGCCCATCCCACACAGCCCACTACACTTATAAAGAATTTGGTGATTGCTGCATTTTAACGTCGCTCCATGGAAACCACTGCGAAGAAAAGCCGATGCCGTGACGATGTTGAGACTCCACCTGAGGCAGCCGAAGAAGCAGACGGCATCCGACATACGATGCTAAGCCTTACGCCCGCATCAAACTTTTCAATGGCAATGCTATCGCTGGATTCTCACGCTGTTGTGCAAAACGTATTGTGAATAAAAGTGGGCGCAGTTACGACTTAGTGACGTATGCCCAGGTAAGTGTAAAACCGTGGTAAAGAGCAGAATAATGGCTGCAAGATGCTGGAGTCGTAGAAATTCTGCCTGACAGCCATGCTGGAAATATTTGTTTGCAAGAACAAGGTTGGTTCGCGCAGGTCGTGACGTCACGGAAACGATGGGACGGAATTGGTGGCAGAGGAATGCAAATTCTCTTTGAGGGGCATTTGCCACTACCTTCATGACTTGTAACCGACTATATAGTTATTAATGGTTTTGTGGCTTGATTATGTCATGAAGTCAAATTTGACTGTACGAGAGAAACAAACTCTGTAGACAGAGGTATACATTGAGGGGAGTACAGGAACAAGTGTCTTGTTTCAGGAACTGCTTTATGTGCACTCACATGAAAACCACATTTCTTTTTGCTCCTTGCTGCAAGAGGACCTTTTATAACAACAGTGTGCACAGTTGCTGTATGTCGAGAAAGATGTTGCCTTTTTTTTGTGCGTGCTTTACATAGGTTTGTAAGAACATGCTAATTTCTTGAGCCTTTCTTACTGTCAAAGCCATGTTTGTGCAAGAAAATTTAGATTCATTTTCACCGTACATCTTTAAGTCATTTATCTGAAAAATCTTTCACAGCTGTCCCATGTTCGGGTTTTCAATGTGAATACCATTCGAGGGACACGAAAACATTCTTTGACATCCACAGCATGGCTGACACATTTTGTCTTGTTGGCTTTCGTTTCCAGGTGGAATCGCTGTCAGTTTCTGGAAGGCCCTCGTCAATTTCCTCCAGGACGACGAAGTGGTGGTTCGGGATAATGCTGTGTCTGTTGTGTACAACCTCCTCGCAGCTCTGGGTGAGTGGCTGAACAGGCACGACTTAGTAATGTCTGACATGACTCGGCGACATTCGTGTGATCGCTGTTGTGCGACACAACTAGGCAATGTCTGACATGCGTCTGCAGTGTCTGCGGCAGCAATGTCGTGCAACACGACTCAGCAATATCTGCTGAACCATATAACAGCATGAACCTGCAAACATTGGCCATCCTGGTCTTTGTAAAAAGTCCGGTAATAAATCAAACAAAACTAGTAGGTCAAAAATAAACATTGCTCTTCAACACGCTGTCGTCGTATTGCGCGAGGCGTGCTTGAAAAAGTCTTAATGCTGTCAGAAATCTTTAATTGCTGCCTTTCCAGGTGATCCAGAGTTCCCACCATCTTTGTTTTCTCGCCGGACACCGCTGGACGTCGCGCTTCGTCTGTTTGCGCGTCTGGGCAATGTAGAGGTTGTGGTTCCCTGCTTGGTCGACTGGATGCTGACGTGCCAAGACGTTTGTCATGAAGCGGAGGTATTATTTCTTCCCTTTACTCTTTTTTGTTCTAGTCGTGGTTACGCCGTGATTACGGCATTGATGGCCGGACATTCTTAATCGTCATTTGAGACCGGGGAACTGGTGTCTCATATTATCAGTACCAACGTGCTTGCATTTGAATAACCGATAAAAAGCAACGAGGCTTTCTGCCAGAACGACAGGTTTAGAGCTGTCCAGGATGACAGCTTTAAAGTGTTCATGTTGTCGGTGCATTTGCGATCAAAGCTACCCGTATTCTGTTTTTTAGAAATCAATGTTGCAAGTACAGTAGCACTCGTCTGTAGCAAAGCCGGTTTTCTTAAAAAAAATATCTGTACTAGCAGTATTACAAGAATACTTCAACTGTGCTACCATTATATTAGTATTTACTACTGATAGTAGTAAAAAATGTAGTGCAGGGATCTCAAACGCGTGACCTGCGACTCGCTGGGAAGCGGACTGCAAGTAACCGGCTGAGAGCCTTTGTTCTCATGTGTCAAGCGCAAGAAATGGCCTTCGCCATAATAATCCCATGTCACCGATTCATTTCCGCTCGAAACTTAGCTCTACTGTTATAACATATTCATATAGTTTATACTGTTAATTTGTTGTGTGTTTCCTTTTAGCTTTGTCAACTCAGCTATACAAACTCTTGCTCAGGAGGAACAACTGCCGAAAACAAAGCTATGAGCTTGGGATTCTCACCTTCGAAAATTGGCACCTTTAAAATACAAGTATTTTATCAGACTGCTGCTATAGAAATTGTCAGGAAAACAAGAACTGTTGTATGAATAGGTTTTTTTTTCAGACATGTTGTGTTTAATTCCCAAGTGATCTAAGCAACAGGAACTACATTGTGCCTGCACTCTTGTTCTAAAAAAAAAAAAATGCAGCATGGTGGCGATCTGGTGTCATTTTAATTCTTAGGTATCGCATCAGGTAAGGGCCCAAGTAGTCTTATAAACATATCAAACCCAAAGATGTCACAGGCAGAGAGCACAAGGTACCTTCTCTATAAAATCTTTTTCGCCCCATTTTACGTTGGCCCTCAACCTTTTGTGGGTGGGATATCACTGGCACCCACGCTCATATTAGTTTGAGACCCCTTTTCAGTGGCTTTCTAAATTTTGCACCCATTCGAATATACGGTTCATTTACCTCCATATTTTGACTATGTATTTCCTCTTCAAAGACCATGAAAACGTGAAGAAAATGCTCCATTAGTTTATGCTACTATAGAGAAGTTCTTCTGTATTTGATTTGTAAGAAAAAATTGGTGATTGTGCAATTGTTGCAGAGTGATGAGCAGCCATTTGAAAAGGGAGAGCTGAACACTTACGCTGAAGAAGTGACGCTGACTGAGCTGTGTAGCGGGTTGCTGAAAGTTTTGGCGACCCAAGTCCTGCCCGGAACTACTTTTGCCCGCCAAGATTTCTCTTACCTGCCACCTGACCTAAAAAATTTGGTGTCGGCAAGCGGCGTCACTCTAGAAGACATCTACAGGTGCTGCGTTCAGCGGTCCAGCAGTGAAGCGAATGAGGTGTTCAGCAGCAAGACCACGCTTTTGCTGAACAGGCACATGGATCCGCCACTGATCCGTGTTTATCAGCACGTCTGCGTTGCGGCGGCGCTGAAGGACTGTGTCGATAGAGTTGTTGTTGCTGAAGTTTCGAGTTTAGCGAGCGGCGTGCAGGCAAAGCTGAAGCCATGGTTAGGGCTGACGACCTTCCTCGCTAAGATTGTGGAGAAATTGTGACTGGAGATGTGGCCTTCTGAGATCCAACTCCGATTTTAGGCAAATTTATTTTAACTTTCCAGTTTACGAGGAGACCTGACCTCTTGAACATTCTTACATTTAAAAAATCTGCCTTTTAAGTGTTGCCAACATTTTATAGCGCTTTAGTATTTGAACATACATTGTAGTAACTTTGTTGTGAAGCGAGCACTGTGGTCACTCGTTTTACGATTTTATTGACAATCGGCTACAAGACCAATATCGGTCCCTGCCGTTTGAAGCCAGATATTGATTAACGGTGGTAGCCTAGAATCATAAATCAATTCCCTTTACATCAATCAAGACTATGCTTTCGGTATTCTTCTACAATAAATTGCCATAAATTGCCACTGAACTGTGTCACCTAATGTCACTGTTTTCTGTGTGAAGGAACTGTTATGCCCCGACTTTAAGAAGCCTCCAGCTTGATGAGACTAACAACAGAAACGTCTTCCCCCGAATTGTTTTGCCATTCTTCAGAAATTCACATTCATACAAAAATTCTGCAAATTGTCTTGCCATTCTTCCGAAATTCACATTCATACAAAAATTCTGACGGCAAAAAACATGTGCTACAGAGAACTCTGCAAATTGCGGAGCAAACATTTTTATTTTCTCAGAAACTTGAACAAACGGTTTGGTTTCTTACAAGACAGCTCTCTTTATTGCATAGCAACAATCTGCACGACCAACATGGCACACTGCCTTTTACAAGAGCACAACGAATGCATTGTCAGTTGCTGGGAGCCAAAATCATTCTCAGCCCCTCATCCAACGGCAGAGCACATTGGGAACCAAGAAAAAAAAAAACAAGAAGACAGGATCACAAATTACATACTATTTACAATGAACCCCTCTTATATGTTTGTTCCTTTGGCAGTTTGTTGCAAATGAATGGTAGGCTGTACAATATCTTATCAATTTCTTCTTCAGTCTTCTTTTTTTTTTTATGCATCGAGGTTGTCAGATGGTTTCAGGGTTCTGCAGTATTTGCCTCCCGCCGTCAGTACTCGACAGGTTTATCCCCCGGCACGCTGTTGACAATCGGAGTCATGTTTTTTTTTTCTGCTCCTCCACTTGAGATGAAAATGTGATATCTGTAATGCTAGTTGTGCAGCATGGTTAAACTACTAAATATCACAGGCCTTTAAGCCCAAAATGGCAGCACATTTTTGCACTCCGAGATATCACGTGGGGACTCAAACGTGTTCCACGAATTGTTTGACGCTACAAGCCACCAATGAGTTGTGCATCATTTGCATCCAAAGCAACCACCAAAAAAAAAAAAAGAAATTTGACAGTTTTTTTTACATTAAAATCAAATTTTTTTTATCTATAGCTTGAACTACGGAATGTCCGTGTGTAAACTAACCAGACCCAAATGGAAATATCGCTTTGCCGTTTTACCTCGACTGTTCTAGTCAATGGAGTAGGCTTCAATTGTCTAATAAGGGTCCACTAGTATTTCACATTGATTCCCAGTACATTTGAATTGGAAACTCGTCTGCCAAAAAAGTAGTGGTTTGAACAAGCCGTAAAAAGCACGGCATTGGTCAAAGTTGCTCGTCGTAGTTTGCCGTTAAGTACGTCTGAGAGTTTATATTTATGATAATCTTGTTTACATCCATGTAACAATAATATACAGGTAACCACACATGAGGATATGAAAAAAAAAGTCTACAAAGACTGCATTTAAACGCGTTACTAGAGTATGAATCACGGCAGTAGGAATTCATTACAAGAAGTTATGAGTTGGCACAGAAATATTCATCAGCTGCGTTATGAACATTTCATTGATTGCATAAGGTACATAATATGTGTATGAGTGCATGTAGAGTTGAAAACAAACGTGCTGTGCTCTGTTTTACCTTAATGTGAGAACAATACGATGGGCTACAAATATAATTTAAACAGTTGCTTTTGCTCCATTTAAGCTTGTGCGGATAACGCACTTTACGAAGCTGCATTCTCGCACGTGTGCATCGCCGCGTCCTTCTGTCGGTGTAAAACGAATTGTGGAAACAATAAAACAACAAAAATAGCTGTACACATTGAATGAGAAAGGGCATTCGAAACCTTAGATCACGTCGATGCAAATAATATGGAGACACTCGAGAATGGTACTGGGTACACGGTAAGTATAAAGTGCCTCATAACTGCACTGGTCGTAGAAAAGGTGTCGTACCCCGGTAGGCGAACGGAGCTACGTGCATAGCTCCCTTCGCATTTGCTGATCTGCAACCTATGTCCATGCTATAAAAAGACTGCCACCTCAGAGAGCTGCTCCATCAAAACGACGCACTTGACGTGTTATCCGAAAGGATGGCCAGTTGAAAGATTGTCGGCGTTATTGAATGTCTTTGTCACTGATGGACCTTGCGTCAACACTGTACATGAGTCCACGGCATGCCGCAGAACGGCATGCGTTCCATAGCTTGGCATCTTCCTGACATGGTTTGCTGGTACCGTGCACTACAAAGGGTCTGCATATTCGGAGTGCCAGTCGCGTTCGAACACCGACTCGAGCTGTTCCCTGATTGGCTGGCTCGGCGACGAGCTGTTGTGGGATTGGTCCATGATCAGCCCGACGCCACCGGTGTTGATGAAGTAATCAGGAGACCAGTTTGACGTTCCTGAGCACAGAAATGTAAAATCGTTTGAGTGTCCATGTCGATAGCTTCGACGTGGTAACCGAAGATGTATCTGACATATACTGTAGAATAACGAGCATCCACCCATTCCACATTAAGTGCCCATTCCTAAATTCGTAAGATCTGATAAAATATGCGCAGTACATTGATATGTAAAATTGATGGCCGGACAAGCACCCATCCCTAATTTTTTTACGATTATCTCTAAATTTTGAGCGGGCGCTTGCCCGGTATTTTACGGTAGTTGCTGAGAGAATGAGAGAGTCGGAGGAGACCTTCCAGTTTTCCCGCCTACAGGGCAGGCTTTCTATGTTTGATGATACTTTGGAGTCTCGTGAGCATGGTGAAAGGCAAAGCATAGTGGAAGGCAATGAGCACGTGCTGGAGGCCGGGCATTCGAGAAAAATGCCCAGGGATAGTTCCTCAACGTTCACGCTGTGAACCTGGCATACTTTTCTTTACGGTGACAATGCTGAACTCACCGATGTAAGCCTTGTTGTCGGTCACCATGTATTTGTTGTGGTTCACCCTGGCGTAGGGTACCTTTTCCTGCTCTGGCGTGAAAGTTGGGACCACAAAGTATTTCTGAAAGAAATGCGAAGTAACACTTCATCGTTCAGCGCTTACGTGCCACCTTTTTACTATGCGTCCTGATGAGCCTCGGCATTGTGTTGTACTTTGAACAGTTAAGATGACTGATTTTATAATTTAGGCTGACTTTTTTTTTACTAAACCAACAGCTATGTACATGGTATGTCTGATATGCGGTGCTTCAGAGTGACATTTTGTAAAGATTTTCAACTCTTGAGCCCTTGGAAAACCTAAGTCTTGTGAAATGTAGGCTGCTACTCTGAAGCATTCGGGTGATACTTTTTTAAGTCCCTTAGAGTTCTACCAGCATTGTTTTCTTTATACACCGCTTCAATGTTTACAAAATCAGTCCAGTATTCAATTACTATTGCGGCCCAGCACACGCACGTTTGTTTCTTCAGAAAGTGAGCAAAGCAAGCCATACACGCAAACAACAAATTACGCTGGCCAGAAGCCAATTTTTGGAGTGGTCTATACAGGCTGTTATTTTGATACTTAATTAAGTAATTCACTCGTTAGGTGACAAGGCTGGCACTGCACAACCCAGTCACAAAGCAAACTTCAAATTTTCCCCAAATACATTTGTTGTATCGATGGTTCGAATCTGCTAGGATGTACTACTCAATTCTAGCATAACTTGGCAAAAGCATAGCTGCGGCCTTGGCGAGCCAATCAGAATGTCTGAGCGAGGCATGCAACGACATTCCATCGGTGCATGCTCCTGTAGGGAGCTATCCCATGCTTCGTTCCGTCGTTCTAGCTGGTTCGCGGGAGTTGTAGCTTTTGCCCTTCGCCAAGTTTCGTTGTATTGGAGCGCACAATTTGTGCTGGCTAGCCCTTGCTCAAATTTTGATGCTTTCCAGGAGGCATTTGTTATAACCACAATTTGTTACACGCAGAGCTATTTTAACGTGGGCCGCACCAACGTTACTAGATCAAAAAAAGTTTACAAGCTTCACAGAACACCTGGCCCCTTTTCATGGCACATCCGCTCAAAGGCGCTCGCTATGCTATCCGCCCATACCTGCTCGCGCGCAGGCAACAGGGAAGGACCGTTTTTGAATGGTGCTCTTTCGTGGAGCTTCTCGAATGATGCATCTAAGAATGTTTTTGTTGCCACATTTGAGATGCCCTCGCTAAATGCGGCAGAAGCTGCGCTCACCACTTCGATGCTGGGCCTGTAATACTTGGAATTGTAGCTGACGGCCGCAAGGGACCGCAGAAAGGAGAACATATAGCCCCTGGTGCTCGTCCACTTGCTCACTAGCAGCCGAACTCGCACATTGCGTTCAACAGCTGCCGCCTTCAGTGCGTCGTCGATGCGGGGCCAAAACCTGCGACACATGCAATCGGGCGTAAACAACCTTCCTACATCCTTAGCGAAAATTTGGAAGGACCTATACACTCCGTGCGGGAACTATAGGGGGCGCTTTGAAAAACGCGCGCAGCGCCGCTAGCGGAGGAGCTGGCGTTCGACTGTGAGGCGCGTTCAGCAGCCTGCGGCGCCTTTTCGCGTGCCAAGCTGTGGCGGCGGGAGCGCGCACGGACGAAACTTTTGCTTTTTGAGCCGATAAGTTGAGGGTGACGGTTGCATGAGTGCTGGGGCAGAAGGGCATTTAGCTGTTCTCCACTTCTTATATATTGAGTTCGAGTCGTAATTAGGGGTAATTTCTCTAGTTGCGGCCGAAAAAGGAGTTGGAGTAATTTTCCGAAAAACAAAGACGGCCGCCACCTTAATCGCTCTGAGTGGGAAATTTATTTCGCTCGTCGCTGTAAACCTAGGACTGCTGCAAAGATGATATTTGGAGGCGAGTGAGATATTCACTAAGTTTGTGCACGAAGAGTGCCAAGTTTCTTTAAGACAGCAGTTGTGAAAGTTGTTTCTAACGGATAAAGAAATAAAGCTGTACGGGATATCCAATATTGAACCCAAAATGTTGTGTTATAGCGGGCTGCGCAAAGTGCAGATTTGGGCACACAGGTGCTGGGACTTGACAGTAACATGACACAGCACTTATTATACAAAAAAAAAAAGGTGGCATAGGGAAACCAGGTGAAAATTTGGTTTGAGCGGCGTAACTCAAAGGGAACCGGTTTTGATCATGAAAAGGCTGTCAAGAGAATACCACTGGTCGGGGGAGGTGGAGACGTTAGAGGTAGGAAGGGACTAGTGGGCTGTACTTCCAATTGAAACAACTTTACGAAAGGTGATTCCAAAGCCGAGAAAACAAAGTTGTCGGCCAACACACGGTTTGGCCGCCAAGGGCTTTTGCGGTCAGCTGTTGTGTAATAACCTCTTGTGCGAGGTGCTGATTTTCGGCGCACAGGTACTTTGACATGACCGTCACTTGGCACAACACTTATTATAACAAAAAGAGTTTTCATAGCGAAACCAGGTGGAAATTTAGTTTGGGCGGCGTAACTAAATGGGAACTGGCTTTGACCGTCAAAGGCTGTCAGATAATACCACTCATCGTGGGAGGTGCACACTTTACAGGGAAGGGACCAGTGGACGGTACTTCCAGTTCGAACCACTTTGTGATAGGTGGCTCTAAAGCCGAGAAAAAAAAATGTTGTCTACAGAACTCGGGGTATCAGCGTTTCCACATCCAAAAGGAGGCTGGTCAAGAAAGAAAGCACACCACATAAACTTTCATACTTAACCGTCGATTCTCCAGTGATTCCGAGTTTCATTGTTGTCTTTTTTTAGATTTATATTTGTCACTTTTTTTACCTTTCGAATCTTTCTTCATAAAGTACAGATTTCGTGCCATACTTGTCCGGAAATATCATCGACACGTACGATGGGGACGAAATTTCTTTGGAGGGCATTCCTGCAACAAAATTGGCAGTGCATACCTGCGAGTGTGGGTTCGTCCCATCGGCGCTGACACATGTAGGCGTTACTGGTACGAAAACAAACGCAGAGCGCCAAGCGGCAGTGTAGAATATGTCAGCCGTGCCGACACAGTGGCAGACATGATCGGGAGACCAAATGTCTCGCTTCGTACGGCACGGTTCCATCGTTGTCGCTGTCCCACAAAACATCGGCGAGGTGAAAAACTGTGAAACTTCGTCTCCACGAGACTCCACGAGATACGACGCATAACTATTGAAGCACTTAATGACGCAGCACAGCTTCATGCTGTGAACCCAGCGCTACTGCACCACTCCGACTTCAATGCGTACCAACGTACGCGGCGTGGTTTCGGTTTCGTTTTCTCTGGGGTTCTCGCTGCCTACCTTCGGTACCGGCCGCGCGGCGGCGCGCCAGTCGCGTCGCACGGAGTGTATAGACAGTTGCAAGCATGGTGCCCCGACTGGTGCCCCATGCGTGCACGTAATCATAGCTTTGTCAAGCTCGAAATCGCATGGGTTTTTCCACACGAGCGGTTACATGGGGGCAGCCAGTTGCCTTTCTTGCGTTTACCTATAAAAAATTTCATTGAACCAATAGAAACGTCTACTGGTCCTATTGAGATAGTTCCTGGTTCAATAAGATGTCTGCCGGTCCTATTCAGATGTCTACTGGTTCAATAGAAATGGCTATTGGTCCTATAGATATTTCTATTGAACCGAGAGAAAATTCTGTCAATCAACCAAGTCGAAAGCTTCATTGGTCCAAAAGAAAGTCCTAGAGTCACTCTAGGAGGGCCCTACTGAGCCAACAGGAACTCCTGCTTGTCCGAAACTAACTTCTAATGGTCTAGTAGAAACATCTGTCGGAACAAATGAACACGTCTATTTGAGCAATTGAGATGTCTATTGGACTCGCTGATCTATGATCGGACCAAAAGAGATGTCGATATCGATAGAAAAACTTTAATGGAACGTGTTATTAATTCTAGTCTCTGATGTGGTCTCTACACACACAACAAGGTAGGAACTGTCATGGGACACAAAGTAGAGACATTATAGTCACTCGCGAGGTAAGAATGGCAGGGAGGAGCTTCAGTTGTCCTGCTTCCAGCGTGAGCTTCCTACCTTCGACAGCGCTTTTGGCGTCTTAATTGTGCATCTCGAGTGTGCGCAAGCTGCCAAAGCATGGTGGAAGGCATAGAGCCTGTGCTGGAGGTGAGGTGTTCCAAAGGCATGCTCCGCTCCTTTCACTCCGTTGGAGATCATAGGCAGTTTTAGCACAGTGTTACAGGGGTGCGCTAATGCTCATTGGGCATGCTAAAGAGCGTGCTACAAAGTTGCAGCATGAGCTTCTAGCAGCTACATATACCGCTTTATACTGTAGCATGTGCTAACGCTACACTTAGATTGCCTGGTACATTCAGTGGTCAACCTTTTTAGCTTTGAAGGTAAACAAGAGGAAACGAAAATAGTATGCAAAATCTACATCAAAGAAAGCAGTTATCAAAAGATTATAAAGCATTTTAGTAAAAAAAACAAAAAAACCCTACACAGTGTGTTATTGTTGTATAAAATTTTATTTTCACTAAAGCCTACAATGCAACACCACTGCCATCCTACATGACATCTGACTCAACACTATCTATGAAACATGCACAAGACTTTGCCCTGCTAGCCGCCTCGGTGGCTCTGAGGCGAGAGCGCCGGCCTACGGATCCCCATGTGGCGGGTTCGAATCCCGGCCGAGGTGCCCGCAATCTCACGGAGGATTATTGCGGAGAAGGCGCCGTGTAACCGAGCTTTTGGTTGCACGTCAAAAGATCCCCAGGTGGTCCAAATTAATCCTCAGTCCTCCGCTGGGGCGTGCCAGATGCCCGTCGTTGGTTTGGCACGTAAAACCCCCAAATTTGACTTTTTTTTTTACTTTGCCCTGCTCTTGGTTTGTCACTAATAGCGGAACATTAGAAGTGTCTCTGAACACTACTCGCTAAATTTAACGAGGAAGGCCACTGGCCAAGCATGACACATAACCACATTACATCTCGCAAAATCTTTCCAAGTCAAGACGAAGGTTTTTATTGATATGAATGGGCTCGATGTCTGTGCTGTGGCATATTTATTGCAAGAGGAAGTCGGACCTTTCAAGCTCCTTATGGACTTTATCAGTAGGTTTCTTTTTGCTTCCTGAAATCATCATATTTATATATGCTTTCAAAACAAAGCTGGAGATAGACTTGAGCATGTGACTTACGTCTTGTTTTTTCCGTAGAGCATTACGGGGTAGTAGTCCATGACAGCTATGTGGATGTACTTCTTGGCACTGGCTATAACATCCAGGATGCTGTCAATATCCTGCGTCCGTCCGTCGGGCGAAAAGCTTGGCGGGGAGCTCTGGAAAAACGCCGGTTTTTAGATGTGCAACCTAAGAATGATCCACGTTGCACACAACTCTCCGTTACCTTGAGTTTGTATTTGAGCCCGAGAGCTCGTTTGTGGCACTTTTGGTACACAGGCAATGTAGCAACATATAATGTGGCAATGTTTCTGATTTGAGGAATGTTGAGTGTGACAATATTGACTGACTACGTCCACTACAGGAAAGCAATTGACTGATACTAAGTTTAGCAGGCCACAGTGTCCACGAAACGCACGCAGGATCCGCCGCAAAATCTCGCTGGACTTTAGAAAATTCCTTGCATAGACCAACAAATCCTCGTTTAAGCAGGCGCAGTACTCACAGAGAAGTAAGCGAGGGTCTGTGTCCCATTGAGCGAGAGCCGTGCGGGTGTCAGGGCGTTGATCTGGGTGCTCAGGTTGGCTGGCCAGTGGGCCGGCACCGTCGCGTCGGGCACACCCAGCGTCCAGTACACCTCGAACACCTTCATCAGGTCCGCCGCCAGGCACTCGCAGTCCAGCACCAGGGCACCCAGCTCCTTGACCTGAAACCCAGATGGAAATCTGTTCGACTCGAATCTCGTCTTGCACTTCAATTCCAAATCAATTCAACTTATTATTTTTTTTTTAAATCCATAGTCGGGGAGAAGGAGACTAGAAAAAAATGCTACACGGCGTAGCTTGATGAGTCCCTGCCTCGTACAGCAACTTACGGGACCAGGACGGCAGGGATGTCTTCCAGCTGGCTTGTTTCCAAAGGGACCAACAAAACCTCAGCGTCTCTTGAGCCTCGAGCATGCATGCATAGCTAAAGTATGGCGAAAGCCAATGGGCGCGTGGTGGAGGCTGGGAGTTTAAAAAAGACGCCCTTCCCTTGTTGACTTGTCAGTTACTATATGTATATCGGGCAATAAAATTTTAATTAAAATAGTTTTTTTTTTAAATAGGGGGTGAGGATTAGACAAGTTCTGGGTCTTCAACGTGTCTTTATATATCAGGCTCGGCGGACATCAGATGAGGGAATGATTGTCATGTTAAGTTGACTACTAATTAACTAAAGTTTGTTAATTATCTTTTTAATGATTGGTTTTAGGGGTCATGTTGCAATTTCAGTATTGACAGCAATTACCATCGGTCGTTTCGGTCACCTCGTGTTGTTGGCGCACCCTCCAAGGACGCCCTGTTGAGGTAATTACGACATGACTGAAACGACTACGCCACCCTTTCAAGGGTCGTTGTGGGCAGGGCTTGCGACGCTCTTTCAGATTGCAGTCTTTAAATTCAGCGAAAAAACACAAAAGTTGAGAGATTGATATTTAAAAAAGCCATTACCCTTTTGCAAATTATTTTAATTGGTCTGACCCCTAATAACAATTGCCATCAACTCTACATTTGCAATGTGACCCCAACACCAATAATTAAAAAGTTAACAGATTTTAGTTAATCAGTCAACTTACGATTACGATTATCCCCTCATCTAATATGCACCTAGCCTGATAAATGCATAGTGAAGACAGAACTCGTCTAACCCTCGCCGCATTTTTAAAAAATTGGTTTGAATTAAAATCAAATTTCCGATATAGGATTTGACATCTCTGTCAGCCCAAAAATTATTCAAAGTTACACAAAATTGCTTACCGAAAAATTACAGCGTAATAGAAGTTCATGAACAAAGATTAAATGAAGCCTGCAACATCCAGGTTTTTTTTAAAACATTGTTAATGAACAGTTGCCTTATCTGAGCATTTATTGACACATGTGTTGCATGAATATTCTTTTTAACAAGTTTGTTGATTGTAGATGGGACAATGTGACAAAGCATTTGTAATCCGTAATTTGTTCTTGCATTTGGCAGACTGGACCCATGCACATGATGTGGAGTTGGGTTTTAAACCAGAAATGACAAAACAAGGAAGGATCTGTTATTATGATAATGTAGTATTATGATTATGTACTATTTTTGTATGTCTGAGTTAATATCCGAGTATAAAAGTCAACAAAACTGAAATCAAAGAAGAGCTAGCCAAAAACGCAGGTTGTCGCTTGCATCGTCATTCACACTCGTGCGCTGGCGCCGAGCATCAAACTCTACTGCCCTCGTTTATGCCACAGATACCCACACTTTCTCACATCATTAGTTTTGAGGACAGTGGGCACTTAAGTTGGGACGTCTTAGATTCGAAAAGCTCCAAAAAACAAGGACAACAGGAAGAATTAAACGAAACCATGCGCTACTGTCAACTGAAAGACAAACATATAACACTTTCAAGCGAATCATTCACTTGCAATCAAACTTATTGCAAGATGAATTCAAATTTTTTTTTATTTGCTAAAAGGATTGACGATGTGCTTATGCATGCTTCATCACCCTTCACCCTGATCTTAAAAGCCTAGAATATTCTCTTTATCTCTTTTTGTGAGTGGATGGTTTGCTTAAGAGTGTATATATGTTTGTCTTTTCCAAATAAAAATTCAGTTAACACTAGCACAGCATTTCGTCCAAATCTTCCTGTTGTCCTTGTCTTTTGGCACTTTTCGTATCTAAGGTGTACCAACTTGACCAACAACAAATTCTTTTTTGCAAAAATGGGACAACTAGCGATAGAGCATTTGTGCTGGTTTGTGTACCGTTAGAGTGAAAGCTTGCAAAAACAATTAGGCAGAAACACATAAGACTGCTTACGTGTAGGAATGCAAAAGCATTCCTGCATGCAGTGCATTCCTACAAGCAGCACGCCATGCCTTCCTATTGCACACAAAGCTGCGGCGGTGATATCACGCTCCCCCACTGTGCAGACGCGGCGAACCTTGCCGACCTCACAACGGCTTCTGTGACGAAGCATTGCGTTGCTGTGCTTCTCTTTGCGTTTTATTTCCAAGGCGCGTCCGCTATGACCTTGAGTGGCCGCGCCGGGTTCCAGAGCAGGGCATCCGATATGATGCGTCGCAGCCAATTTAGGTGCCATTTTTTTGCGATTACAGATGCCGCTGGCTCCACTCCATGGGGCAAAAATGCTTTCGCTTTAAAATAGGTGCACGTGGGAACAGATCAAAGCTCAAGCACTTTCTATAAGCACCCTGTTTGATCATTAGTCGTTACAAGAATATTGCTGTGCCCTACGTCATGTAGGTGCCTATACCAGCCGCACGGCTAAGGGCATTTTACAATCCGTGTGCAAATGCAAACTCTGCTTATTCGGTATGCTTATATAACACCCTACCCTAAAGTTCATGCTCAAAATTTTTAATTGTAAATTCAACTTGGCAAATCAGTGCTTGGATTTACCATGCTGAGATTTTTTTGAAAGTGTACTTTAGGGGTCAGTTCTAACCAGGGAAACTTTAAGGTGCAACTGTGTTTCTGTAAGAAGGGAGCGGCAATTAGCAGCATTCATTCTGAAATTACCAGTTGACATTAAGGGAGCTTGTTCACTAACAAACATTGGCACACCTTTACAGAAAAATATTGGCTCGTTTGAAAATTTAGAAATCATTTGAGGGCTCACAGGCATATAAAATATTTGGGACACCCTCTATCCAAGCAATACTTACGGATAAAACAAGCGAGCTGACGATTGTTTGTCTTGAATAAAGAACAAAAAGAAACCCAAGACTGAGGAACACAGCAAAGGAAGATCAAGATTTTCACCACTGCTGAAAAATATTTTGCACAGCAGCCTTTTTAAGACGTGGCCTTGGAACATACCTGCGTGAGGGACCTCCAATCCATGTTCGCACTGCCCAAGTAGATGTGCTTCCCATCCACGATCCAGAACTTTGTGTGCAGCACTCCTGCACCTTGTAGGCGAGTGAAGTTGAGGCTACGGACAACTGCCGCCCCTGTAAAGGAAGGACAACAACAACTCTAAGGTATCTCTAAAAAAGCTAATGACAAGTCCTGGCATGACGGAATTTTCCCGAAAAACAAATTTCGCTGGTTAGTACATCGTAGTACACACATTTCAATGGTCAAGTTCATCTACGTCAAAATAATAATCGTAATGATTTTATTTGACAACAAAAAATAAAAACCCGATTATTAATATGAATCAATCACGGGCCAGATATTGAGCGGAACGCTGCCCTTTTACAAGCCTCTAAAATCGGACACAATGCTGTAAGTCTGCCGGAGTTTGTTGTACAGGTGATGCCATCTTTTGTGACAAAGGAGAGCCTGGCAGAGGTGGGCAGCCGTAGTTGGTTGTTCGCACTTCCATTGAAAATAGGATATTTTAAATTTTTTTGTTCTTGGCACAGGCTGACTTGAGTCGTTCACATATGCAACCGAGTAAGAGCGAGAGAGACCAGACCGGTTTTTAAGCCTCTTGTACGTCTTAGGACCTGCTCCACTGCAGTGCATCCGGCCCTAAGACGTCGCGAGAGGTTTAAAAACTGGTCTGGTCTCTCTGAGTCTTACTCGATTGCATATGTGTGAACGGCGCTTTAGAATATTTAAAGGACAATGCTACAAGCTTCGGGAAGAGTCTCAACATTCTAGGTTTTAATTATTTTTTTGGGAGTGGGAGGGGGGGGGGGGGGCAGTGACTTTAAGACATTTTGTGCGAACATCTCAATGGTAATTACACCAAGAATGCTGTTCTCAGTACACAGAGTAAAGTTATTGATGGCCCAGCTAAAAGTGAACAATCATCCGTAGGAGTACCGAAGTTTGACATATACCTTTCCGAGCCAACTCCTCCGTGTCATAGTTTGGTTGTTGGAGTGAAGGCAGGTTCTGGGCAATTTTTATCTTGATGCCGCGCTCGGTTCCCGCTTCCAGGATTTTGTTGAAGATCTCCTCTCCCTGATTGGTCACAAAAGAAAAAGCAAAGATTCCGATGCCTCGGGTAAAATTGTGAGTGGAAAGCAAGAACGACTTTAGTCTGCTCCACGCTTTTCTGTCTCACAAAAAGTTTACTGTGCAGTACAGATTATAAGGGTACTCCGAAATTGCAACTACTAGTCCCTGAAAAGGCGATGCAGCAGAAAAAAAAATGCAGTTTTAGCAGCTGCCCGCTGTCATTTAGACAAAGGCAGTGAGGTACATCGACATGCTTTTCTTTTATTCCATTAAAATGTTTATGCAACGTAGCATAAAGATGTATGCTACACTGCATAAGTGTATTTGCTACAGCCACACTGGCATAATACGGGGGATCGGTGGCCGAGTGGGCTGAAGCGCACACCCAGCTCGACGCGCGTGGAGCGAAAGCTCGCGCTGCAGAACCCAGGCATCCTGGGTTCGAGCCCCACCCCTGCCCGTTTCGATCTGGATGAGCATCGTACCGGCGTGCGGTCGTGTATCACTACTGCGTGGTGCACGTTAAAGACCCCAGGCTAGCGGTTGTACCGCACTGGCTAAATTGCTCCTCTACAGTGTAAACCAGTGTCGCCCCTACTGGCAGACCAACCTTACGCTGTATAAATCACTCAAACGTCCAATTTGACTTTGACTGGCATAATATAGTAATAAATACAGTCGAATCTCGTTAATTCAAACTCTTAATTCAAACTTGTGGATAATTCAAACTAACATGCAGGTCCCATCCTATGTGCAGTGATGCGATTGGCCTAAGCCGATTTGGAGCACCTTTCGGAGCAGCCAAAGCAGTGTTTTGGAGCAGCAAAAGTGGCCTTTGGAGCAGCCAAAACAGTGTTTTGGAGCAGCAAAAGTTGCTTTTGGAGCAGCTAAAACAGTGTTTTGGAGCAGCAAAAGTTGCTTTTGGAGCAGCTAAAACAGTGTTTCGGAGAAGCAAAAGTGGCTTTTGGAGCAGATATTCTTAGAAGAATAAAAATATTTATTTCAAGTGGTGGACAAACGAAGGACACATTGTTCGCCGCAATAAACCAATTATAGTCAAGTTAGACTACCTGGGAGTCTTTCAACATGTAACTGAAATGCCAATGACATTACACATTTTGCAATGCTTCAGTAAATAAGAACCAAACTCCACATATTAAAACTTGAAAATGACCAGCTTAGTAGTAAATATCACAGCAACGTAACTACTGCCGTGCAATGCGAAATTATCGCGCGAGTGGAGATGGCTGTTCGATCGAAACCACGCCACTCCGCTCCGTCGCCAACTGGTTCCCATAATTGTATGCAAAATGTAACTGTCCAGCATACGACAAAAAACAGTCCAGCGGCGTGTGCTTGCCAGGTCGGCAGGCGAGGTAGAAGCTAAACACAGAGAAAAAAAAGAACCTCAGTGGATCGATGCAAGACATCGCGAGCCAGAATCAAAAAGTGCTTGGAGCGCTTTGTGCAACGACTGAACTCGAGACAAATAAGCACGTTGTGCGGGCTCAGCATGCAGACATCGCCTTCTTTGCTTTAGCTCACTTCTCTTGACCAACTTCCTTTCGCGGCAGATTTTTCACCTACCGGGGTCTGTCTCGAAAGAAAGCCTACCGAGAGAAACCTAGGTAATCAATACTTCGACACAGCAGTCTTTCAGCTAAAGAGATTTTTGTTGCAGCGTATTAAACAAGAAAAGGAATGTTGATGAACATGCGGCAGTCCTTACGTTTCAGTTTAGAAAGCGCCCCATCTACAGCGACATGAGACGGCAACACACGACGTCGCGCGACCACGGTGACTGGCAGGCAGGGACGAAATATAGTTAGGCCACGGCCGTTGCTCTTAGGAGCGAGTGTTTCAGCTCATAAAGTATGTCCCGCCGCGCAAAAACATGGTTTCGTTTCACAGCATGACGGCATGGCTGGTACCCAACACGCTAGTGTCAGAGCGTCCGCATACGCCCGCGTCTATCATTGAGAAAATTTTAAAAAGACGCGAGACGAGAGATGGCGTGAAAAGCCATGCAAGACCGGATGAACGATTGATGCAGGGTACTTTGTGTCGGGCGGCCGCTTGTGCGACCTAGCTCATGCGTGCTCAATTACGGTACTCAGTTTAGTTTCGGTTTTCAAAGGCGACAAAATTGGTCCTTTGGCGCAGGCTTGGGCGCAGATTACCCATATTTTGGCAAGATGTAGCAGGATGTAGCAGAGTTAGCCCCTTGGCGCAGTTTGGCGCAATTGGCGCAGCAATCACATCACTTTTTTTGTCTGTATTGGAGGAAACTCCCGATAATTCAAACCTTGCTTTGTTCAAATAAATTTTCGGTCCCCCTCGAGTATGATTTAACGAGATTGGACTCTATACAAGTATTTATATCATATATGCCACACTTATGTGTAGGCTTCGAGCATGTCTGTAGAGCTTTTGTATGATCCGCGTGCAGGACCGTCATACGAGGAAGAAACGTGCCTTGGCCATTGTCTGTAGACAGTCTTTTGTGTGAGGTCTTCAGCAGCGTACAACTGGTACAACTTCCGCAGAGCGAGAACATTTTCTCAAAACTGGTGTGACCATAGTTGCAATGAGTTGAGTGGGAAAAGAAGGCTGGACTGACCTGCCACGCGGAGGGGAATGTGTCGTTGAGATCGCTGCCACGGAGAGTCCAGTAGAAAGACGCTATCAAGATCTCTTTCTCCGCCTTCTCCAGAAGAGTCTTCCATGCTTCAAAGGTGCTCACATGTTCTGGCAAGCCGTCGGGGTACGTGAGATTTTCAGGTATGCTTTCCACGAGCGTAAATCTGCAGGAAATGACATGAACACCAGACCGGGTTTTACAATGGAATGTGAGCTCCGCTCAATTTCTGTCGCCGAGAAAATAATGCAGTTCTCTGTGGCAGTGTCATGCAGGAAGACCACCAGTCAAATATTGCGATATAATTCGATCTAAATATTTATCAAGCTGGACAACAAGGCTTGGCATGCACCAAGTCAACAAAATCTACTCATTTTTACTAGAGACATTTAGCGTATATTGCACTCCATGTGTCGTACGAGGGCCTATAAGTGGCACACCTGGCGCGGTCTATAGACTTTGCAGCAGAGCCTTTGAACGGATGAAATGTGCACCGTGCCAATGCGCATGGAAAATCACGACTACTTGTACTGGGCAGCGCAGATGTCCCGTAAAAGTCAAGAGGACATCTATGGAACACCAGGACATTCTGACGACGTCTCCAGAACGGTGTGTGCACCATATAGTTGGCAATGTGAGGCCAATGCTGTCAGCCGCAGCCAAAGTTTCGGTTTAAGTTTCTAATCCTGTCTAAAGCAAGACTGCAAGAAAAATATTTTTCGCAAAACAAATAATGTAAGGCCGTTCGTTAGCATTTCTCAATGGAAAATGACCAGTGCAACTCTGGTCAAATTTCTATGTTGAAAAAACAGTGCAGTCCTACGTCGTATCATCTGAAAAGCCTATACGTAAAAATAACGCGATTCCGCCTCAAAGTTAAGTAAACCGGCCAACCAAGTCTGAGCGGCTCCACAGTCACCAAAATCCACCCAATCTAGCTGGCGACGCGTGGCGAGTGGAGCAGCGTAGTCAAACCCTCTGTGTGGACACAGCCAACACTGCGCGGAACGTTAACAACTGGAAGAATTGTTTTGTTTGTTTCTCACTTTCCGAGGCACAGAGCGCAAGGGCGAGAGGAAAAAAAAGAGTGTGGGGCGTTGTCCACTGCTTTCGTTCATCACATAGCCGACGTCTCCGTACCACGTGATGTCCAGTAGTTGATGAACAGGACCAATGTTGTGTGCCACGAACAAGGCTTACGTTTCACTTCGTGATTTTCGTTTAAATGATCTTTGTAAGAAAACTATTTAACTTTTTGGAAAATGAACGACATAGAGCCGTTTATTAGTAGTTTTGATATGACAATTGCCCGTAATCCCAGAATTTTTGGGATTGACTGGAGTTGTCCTTTAATGTACAACTTCAGGTAGATTTAGGAAACTTGTAGTTTATTTGAAGTACATTCTCCGACTATGTACTTATACTTCACTTAAAAAATAATTTTTACCGTAACTTTCTGAGGAAAGTGCAACTCCCAACTTCAAAAGTACATACCCCAAATTCGGTCTTGTTAAGCTTGAATCACAAAATGATTTGTCAACAATAAGTGCCTTGAAGTAGATGGTGTTAAATAGCTCGTCAGTGAGAGTAAAGCAACTACTCCGTGGCTGCTTGACTTTATCCAATACTACCGTAATATCCCGAGAGACGTCCGACCCCTGAAAGATAACCCGCCCCCTATTTTTGGCACGATTTGTTTTTTTGAAAACACCAAAAGGTAGCCCACCTCTAGTAATTGCAGGACCCTGGCCAATGGTGACCTTGGCAGAAATGGTGTTACTTAGCTACGACAGGAGATAAGCGAAACAGTAACATCTTCGGTTCCCTGCAATCACAAGCTTCGCAAATCACAAAATTTAAAACTAGAATTCTTTCAACCTTTTTTTTTATCACACACCGAAGGTTAGCCCATTCCTTATTTTCACCCGATTTGCTTTCGACTTTAGGTGGGCTATCTTGGAATATTACAACAGTCACCATTTCCAAATATAACTGATACATCCCTGATTATCCCTAAAGCACGCATACCAGTTAAAAACAAACAAGATTGCCTTAAAAAGTACCTGTACTTTACTTTGAAAGTATTACATTGTACTGATAGCTACTTTACTAAAATGTACATTGCACCCGGTGTATTTACTACTTTACCTGAAGCACATAACCTCTCATTGACTTCATACTTTAAGTACCTTTTAGATGTATACTTTACCCAACACTGAAAATTACCCATTACCCCAAAAATTCTGAAACTGAGCTTTAATAACCGGGAGAGAGTTCAGGTGTAAGGCAGATACGTAAGTAGAACGCTGCTTAATACGAGTGTTGTGCTTGGAACGCTGCTTTGCCTGGCGTGTTTAGCATCCTACATCGGCCATGTATGGAATCAAAGTACCCCGGCGTAGCAATTCAGCTTGTGTCGCAGGAGCTAGTAGCACTTATTTAGTTCCTGGTGTTTGGTTATACAAGTCTTCCCGCCCCTTTAGTTAGCATCACTGGCCCCAGTTTCGCATCCAATGTCACCTGAAATTACACTTGTATGTTAATTTATTATGTGCTTAGGTTAATTTCTATGTCCATGTTAAGGGAGGACACTACCTGGGAATGTCAACTTTTGAACTGCTCACTCAATTGGCATGATATTTGCAGGTGGTGTTTGTAGCCATATAGAAAACCATGCAAAGTTTCAGTCGTGTGAACCAGTTTTATGAGGCACCCCCAGAACTATACCCTCAGAACAAAGTAAAGCCAAGCTTTGCATGGAATCTGCTCAATGAATCTATCGTTGAGAAATGGTGTTGTTAACCACATATTTTTCTGATGGAATGCATACTGGAATACTTGTTGCCGGCTACTGTGAAAAGCAATTTTAAAAATATGCACTTTTCAGGTAAAAAAAAAATGTATGAAAAAACTTTTTTTTTTTTCACATTTACCAAGTTTTGCAAATTACAATTTTTCATAATAAAGGAACATGAAAATGCAAAATCTAAGTTCATAATAACCGGCTCCATAAACTTTTGGCATATAAGCCACAAATAGTAAGTCTCTCCATAGTTTCATACTGAAATGATAGTTATTAGGGTGGGATTTATGCCAAAAAGTGGGTTGGAGAAAAACACATTCAAAGTGCTCGAACCTCTATTTTTTCTTTAGTATTGGTGGACTGAAAATAAGTTATAAAAAAGTCACTATGCATTGTAAAAAAATGAAACTTTCTGGGAATACACTCTAAATGTTGGCAGATGTAAATAGGGCATTTTTCAAAATTAGCTTTTTTTGCAGACATATTTTTTTTCTGAGTAGTGTTCCCACTTAAGTACTTCCCCCTACGATGCTGTATGCCCTTGAGGGTACAATAAATAAATAAATAAGTGCCGGCGAGGGAGAGGAGCAGATGCAAGGGCCACTACTACCATCGCGGCCCATCTCGACCAATCTCTACTTTTATTTTCGTCGACCGGCTGGTTGCAGAGCGAGCGTCTGCTTCATCCATGTGGCAGCACCAGCTACGATTGCGGCCAGCGACTTAGTGCGCCGATGCTGACGTTACAAAAGCAAAAATTGAAGAACCGGAAATGTAAATGCGGTGTGGACGCCAGTCAAAGACTCGTTTCGGGCACCTGGTCCGCATATTTGTGTTTGACTGACTGCATTCGTTGTGTTTTCTCGTGACCGCTTACGACAAGTGATCATGGTGGCTCCATCTAACGGGCAGCCGTGGAGCACTTCCAATTTAAGGTAGGTATATTTCCTAAATTTTTACGCATCGTTCTCACCATGGGCTTGAAGTACTTTTCAACAATGTTACTATAAGCAACCATTTCCCGTAGATAGTGCGTGGATTCAATCTTGCTGTTACTGCAAGACCTTCGGTCTAGTTGTATGCGGTTCCGGGGCTGCTTGACAGATGGTGTCAGCGTGGCAGTGTGTTCCACTGGTCTGTGCTGTGTTCTCTCCAGACATGTAGATGATAAAGTAACTCTAAATACCGTTACTTGTTACCCGCTCGGAAAGTAACTGGTAAGCTCGTTACTACAATTCAAAAGGAATGGGTTACCCTGGCTTGAAAGTAACGCCTTATTTTTTTCGTTATTTTCGATTACGTTGTTTTTTAATGAAGCGGTAGCAGCTTCCAATATTTTTCGTCGTTAATAATTCCTCGTCTTTTCAAGCATTAATTCGGGGATAACGGTGGCTATAATGACATACCTTATGTACATCTTTTTACGTCTCATCTAGAATTTCCTCGTCGTAGAAAATACAGGCACAAGCTGGGGTGAAAGCTAGGTTGGGTAGTATTTGTGCACTCCAGAAGTAACTAAATACCGTTGCCCATTACTTTGTCAAAATGTCACGAAAATATGTTAACCGCTCCTTCTGTCAAAAGTAACTAAGTGGTTACTTCACTACCAAAAAAAGTAAGTAGGTACAAGTAATGAGTCAGTTGTAATTCCTTATGTACAGGTCTAAACCTTTCATTGTAAGCGGTCACAAAAGATCAGAACACACTTGTACATGGTCAAACAACACAAATGTGTGAACTTAAGATGCAAATACCTGCCATGTTCGGAGAAACCGAATCCGGGAAATTTCTCAACTTTTTTAAAATAAATGTTGACAATTAATTTACCTAAAGACAACTTCATTGCTTTTTTATTGCACTGCTCATGCTATCAAGATACAGCTGGCCCTTGTTATCATTGCTGCCATCTGTTGTGACGGCAAAAACTCTCTAAGCGTGAGTGTGTGGGTTGGGAAGTAAGGAAAGGGGCTTAACTTACTTTTTCCAGGAGATTTTCCTGCCAATTGAACAACCATACGAAATGGCGAAAATCAGGGGGTCTCCCAGATATTACACGAAACTTGGAAGGTATGATTAGACGGATAAATAGGTGCACTCACGAACAGGAGTCTAGGCAGTCAAACGGGGTACAGGACTGCTTGCACTTGGAGAAGGCCCCGTGGCTTGCACTCTGGTCCCTGGAGTGTCCCAAGAGCGGGAACAGAACCACGAGCACGATGAGAACCAGGATGACGGAGATGGGGATGCACGACGGCCGGAACCACCCTCCCAGCTTCATGTCGGGCTTGGGCTGGTGCTTGTTGTTCATGTAACGGTTGTCGAAGAGCTGCAGCTCGAACTCGCCAAAGTCTAGCTTGCCCGCGCTGTCCAACACCGTCTGCAAATGGGCGAGACAAGACGACGCCGTTCTGTAGTTGGCTTCCTTTTCCAAAGTTTATCGATGTGTTTATTTCTATAGAGAGCCTAGATTTCAGGAAGGGGGCAACTCAAACCATGGAAAGCATTTACAATTGAATGGCGGACACCTCCCGAGCAGACTGGCTGCTCACGCGCATGCGTGCAGTGTTGCGTGGCGAGGGGGATAGCAGGTGGGGGATGCTGAGTAAAGCTCGGAGACGCTTCAGGACGATTGACACTTTTGCCACCTCCTGCACCTTGTGTCCCAAACACGGCCCCTAAACCACATGACGCCGATGGAGCTGCTGGAAACACACTCAAATCTTGGCACACTATCACCAGTGACCCTGTTGCCACCGCGCGAGGTAGGGCTATACTGTTCACCCCAAAGCTGACAGTACAACGGCAGCCACATGCTCGCTGGACCGGTGCTATGCCTATTTTTCGTCACGTGATCATACTCCCAAGTCCCACCGATAACCACGCGCAGCGGTTCAACTGATGAAAGGGAGGTGGCTGATTGGTTCAATAACATATAGCACCAACTGCACTGTCAGCTCAGCGGCAAACAAGGGGCGAGCGCAACAAAACGTGCCGTCTGCCTTTCTCTACCCAGCCAACACAATGGCTTCGGGGAAAATGACATGTCAAAGGGTATGGCCTAACACCATTTGTTAGCTTTGCAGATAAAAGTCAACAAAACCTATAAAATAATCAGAATTTGTTTACAGTGGGGTAGGGAGCAGAAAAAAAAAAAGTTGCTGCAGTGGCATGACAGATGTTCCGTCACTCACAGTTGGCAAGATGGGGTCCAAGTGCAAAAAAGGTTCATAAATATTAACACAGAAACAGTCTACAAAATATAAGACAAAAATATTATCAAAAAAGACAAACTAAACTAACATAGAAGCACAAACAGGGACAACCAAGTGCAAAAATACAAAAATCCAGTTATAATGACTAAATAAAGTATACAAGGAAGCTTTTTTTTGTGTGTAAAAAACAAAAAGATCATAACATAAAAAAATGCAAAATATTCAACCGCTAATTCCAAAAAAGACCTCATGAACAAAAAATGCAAGTTCAGGCACTCAAATGAATTCATCACCTGCCCACTGGCTCACACTAATTTTATAAATACAAAAAAAAAAAGCATGTGCAGTGTGCAGGAGACACTACAAACATGTATTTGTCTCATGGATGCTGCATTTTTATGCAGTGAATATTGTGGGGCTTGCGTTCATATTATTCAATCCATATTCCACACTTGCAAGCAGATAGCATCACTTAATCAACTGCTGAAATGTGTTATGTTACGACAAATTAACTTTGCTGGAAACTGCTGCGTTGTGGCAATAAACAAATGAACAAGTATACACAATTTGTCCGTCCATGTGCCCTTGAAGAACTCTGTCTGATTTGAACCACTATTAGCACACCTCGAGATCAGCTCCTGTTTAGCATCTCAAAGCTAGCGTCCTGGAGGTGTGCAAATTATAGTTTAAATTGAAGAGGGATGAGCCATGTTAGTTTGTGGCTTCAGGGGTGGAAGTGGCATTAGACATTTTGTAGCAGGCAAAATATTCGTTTGGAGCAGATGCCAACATCTCTAGCCCATCACTTGAGAATGAGAAAGGGATTGCATCAATATGAATTCATTTATGATAGTGATCAAAGGTTCTCTCTCATACTCTCGACCATATTAGTTATTACCGTTTTTGACAAGAATATATAAAACATCAAAGGAACAGTCTTCTTAAATAAGGCTCTAGTCAGAGTAGGTTTCATTTACAATGAATATTAAAAAAAAAAATTGGTGAACAGTGAATCATAGCACAACACTTCATTAGAATAAACCCTCTGTCCTCTCTCCATTTTACACTCGGCAGTCTGTTTAGCCTGTAAATATATAATACCTGTAAAATGCCAGCAAGAATCAGCATATCCGCTAATACGTTTATCAATAAAAATGTGTCCCACAATGCACATACCAAACTCCAACACTCTAATATCATAAACTGCAAAAACAGTCACCCTAAAATATTATAAAACCAGAGTCAAGTCAAAGTTCGCTGCTCTTTCGATCGACAGCTGCACGGGAACTACCGTGGTTACCGTATTCATCCAAATATAGACCCTTGTTATCCTCGCTCCCTTTCACTGCTGTTTTTTTAATTAGAAATTAGTTTACAATTAGGACAAACAAGTTCGACCCGTAATAATCCCGAGCATAATATGCGTGCCAATCGCGCTCTACCTGCTCTAGCTGGTATTGGCTCTATGCCAGGTGCTCCCCCAGGTCAGCCGCTGCTCCTAGCACTCCGGTGCAAAGCGGTGAAGCGCACGCTCGTGAGAGGCGGTGAAGGATGACGCGAGCGGCGCAAGTGCCACGCTACTCTGCAGCCAGGGAACGAAGGCATGCGACAGACGTGATAATCGAGTGACCTTATCAGGAGAAAATTGTAGGACTGCCAATCGGCAATCCTACAATTTTGCAAAGTTTTCTCGGGCCCGACCCTTATTTCCTGACATCGGCGACATCGTCTGGAAATTTAGACGATGTCAGCGATCAACCGGCCAGAGCGATTGATGGCCAGCATCAAAGGCTCTGGCCGGTTGATTGGCAGCATCAAAGAGCGACATCATGGCATTCGCCATCTCCTTGTACGAGTTCTTTCATCGGCTAAACCAGTCGGGTGCAGCGAATGTCCCGTGACTTGCGCTTTTAGTATGTGTGTTTGTAGTTGTACGTGTTCGAGCCTTCGACTGTGCTCTGACCTAAGACGAAACAAATTACACGGTGAGTAGAGACGCTGTAAAATTCACATTTGTACGATCTTTCTTTCCTTCTACTTCTCTTAATATTAGGGTCGACCAATAATAGAACATCATCTCTTCCTTGAACCCCGCCGATTTTTGAGCTACTTAATTCAAAGGCATCAGTTGAATGCGGATGGCTTCCTGATTCCGAAACGCTATCTCCGTTCTTCCAGATTCACTCTAGTTAATTTAAACAAAAAGTGATATTCTGTTGGCTTCCAAAACTAATACATCGTTCTGTCCAGTTTTTCCCTAGTTTTTCCCGTCATCCAAACGTGACATCACCGGCGGGCAGCGATGCGCGCGGCCGGCAATCGGGTACGCTCGTGCCTGCCTTTATCGCGTCAAATAGCGAGAATACAGGGGCATTCGTGCTATAATAATCTCTAGTTGCACAAAGTATGACCTTGGCCTACATGTTAAACTACAAAAAAAGTTAAGAAAAAAAAAAAAAAAACGGAAGCAACGGGGTTTTTGAGAAAATCGTTTTTGCAACTCGGTACGCTCAAGCCACAGCTCGCTAGTTTTGTGGAATCGCTAGCAAATCCGTTATCCTTTTATCAGCTGGCAGTTACGCCGGCGAAGAGAGGCCGAAGACTCACGCAATACATTCTTTGACAAAATTACCCAAGCACTACGGAGAATGCTCGGAATGCAGGTACAGATGCCCCACACGCTCGTGTTACCTGAAGGAACGTGTTTTAGATTTTCTTTAGAAAAGTTACTGTTGCAGACGCCAGCACATGTGACTACTCTTGTAACATGCATATGCTCTTTGGTGATTGCGCGCGTGCTTTGCTCGCCTTCCAAAGCTGCGAACATGCGCGTGCTGGGCTGTGACCGAATGCATGTAGACTGTGGTTCGAACTGCATTCGTGTAGGCCAGGTGCTAAAATGACACTTAAAAAGCCCCAAAGTTTTTTTTTTTTTAATCTCGTTAAAACACACGTGTCAAAGAGACGCGATTTAGTTGGCAGTCAGATCCTTTCCACTTGTTTTCTCTCTCGACATTTCGGACGCGTGGAGGAGAGGTGCGTTGCCTTCACGACCGAGATGGTCATTCCGTAATGACCTGTGACATCATGGACTTCGCGCGCAGAATTTCAAATAAATCTCTTGCCATCAATACTGCTCTAAAAAAAATATTTTTTGGCGTAAAATTTATTTCTCGACACGCGTGTCCCACCCAAACAGTTTTTTTTTTTTTTTTGTAGGGGTTTTATAAGTTTATTTTGGCGCAGGTGTGACGCACTTTGGCGTTTTGGCGCACGATGTAGCAGACTTTCGTTCACGGCACAATTTGGCGCAAATGGTGCATCACTTCCATCACTGTGGCTCTCTTGCAGCGTGTAGGTTAGGAGTGAAACAACCCTGTTTGGGAATTCAGACCACTATTAGCTCACCTAGAGAACAGCTGTGTTATCAAATCGAATAACATTGCATCATTCATCGCTTTCACACACTACTAATCAGATCCATTGCTTGAAGCGATGAGCTAATGCTAGGCGTTTAACGCGAATTTTGCTCTCTCACAGGCGAAAAATGCTGATTCACTGGGCTGTGGCCGCATGCGCGGCGTCTCATATTTCGAAGAAGAGAGCTACTGCGCACGCCCAGAACGCCTCTTACAGCTCAGGAGATATGTCAGCCCACAGAAGGCGATTATTGGTCTATATTATATTGGCGACGAGAGCGATCGAAAGCGTCGCTGTGGTCGGCCCACCACAATTGGCTGAATGCTGACTATGACGTCAGCAAAGGATGTCTCATCGACGGAAATAAGAGGAATGTAAGAACTTCAATTTTGACGGCGTTGGCAGTGTTGCTTTGAGACCGCTATGATCTCGGGCTTCCAGAATGCTCATTACAAACACCATCGCGTTTGCTGTTCACAAGGTAATGACGTCACGAAAGGTAACCAAACGAGGGCACCGCCGAAATATCTCGCCGCTAATAGGCTATAAATGAAACAGCACCGTTTGATTTAAAGCAGTATTAGCTGACCTAAAGTCCCTAGATAAGAGCCTTCTACAAGTAGCGACATTCTTTGAAGCGCCGACTGCGTGACGGTGCAGGTTTTAGGAAGCGAATGGCGCCGCGCAGCAGCGGTTTGAACTGAATGCCGCCATTTTGTTCCAGCAGAATATGCTTTGCCATTTGTATTGGTTGTAGTTACCTGTAGAAGTATCAAGGGACTTTAAGCTGACCCAGAGCACAGCCATCTTGGGCAAGTCGAATAATGCTGCGTCATTCATAACTTTACAGAGTGTAACTAACATAAGATTCCTTTTTCTCTCTCGCTCTCTCTCTCTTAGTGGTGAGCTAAGCTTAATGCTGGGGGTCTAACATAATACTGCATCACCTGAAGCTGCTGCCAGGGAAGAACACGTCACCTTGGCTCTCTTCTCAGAGTGAAAGCTACAGATGACAGAGCACAGAAAACGAAAAAAGTGAATGGCTTCCTTTGCTCAATGTTTATTGTCACTGCTGCAGCCACTGCCAGGAGCATTATCACGCCACCTAGCCTTGAGAGGACCATCAAGAGCCTCGACTAATGATGTGAGCGAAAAACATCTAAACAAAACTGCAAGTGCGCGGTATATAGAAGCTGAACTTCTGTCGTCTGCTAGCCGTGTTGTAAGGCACAATGTTTGCTTTCACATGCTAGCTCCGCACACTCGTGCCGACAAAAGATGAGAGGTCGAATGACGTAGGGGGGATTTGTTGCGCCATCTTTCCATCCTCGCCAAGACAACAGTAAAAAGGTATTTCTAAACGAAACGTGTCGACGGAAGGCCTGAGATCAAATGGACACCGCTCGCCGGCTCACACATGACAGTGCAGATTTGTTGAAGAGCATGGCGGCGTGGCAGCCGAAGAAAATGGAAATAACACTAACAAAAATTGGGTAAAAAAAAACAACAACAACTTGAAAGCGACATTAGTGCAGTGTCCGCAGGCGAGTTTACAGCCTGGGGACATAGTATAGGGGACTAATCCCAACGATCAGGCGGCTAATTAACTCATATATCTTAATTAGCGTTTTAATTACTCAAAATTAAACGTATTGTTCTAAGCATAAACTTGCCGAGCATCATGGAAAACCACTAAATCAGTCAAAATTAGAAAGAGTTGGAGCACGCGGGGCGGCAAGCGCGGTGGGACGCTAAAGTTACCACTTGTGCAGCACCAGCAAGGCTACCGGTGCAAAAACGCGACCGATGATGCTTAGCAAGCTTCTAATTCGAACCAAACGTCTATTTTCACCGATTAAAAGGTTCATTAACACATTTTAGTTTATTGTTCCACTTATCGCGATGAAAAGTCCCCTATGCTTTGCCCACTTGTGAGGATCGAGGCCACGAAAGGTCCGTATATGGGCCCGCAGGGGCAAAGTGAGAAGAAGACCGCACGGTGCAGAGTTCGGGGATGGTCGACGACGGGACGGTGAAGGACAAGGCGCCCAACTGTGACAGAGTAGATCTTTCGCACCTTGCGTTGTGTGATCTCCTTCGGGACGGTCAGTGCGGGGCCTGACCCGCCGGTAACTAAAGTAAACACCCACACCCTTTCATTTTTTTTTTTTAGCACATCTGTTTAGCTTAAAAGGAAACACTGTATATTTGCCTAGTGCCGTAGTCCCCGACCCTCATGCTCTCATTGAGTAAAGGCCTTCTGGCAGCGGTCCCATCTCCAGAGGAACACGGGCGTGCCGGGCTGCAGGGGTCGCTTTAAAGGGATACTTCAACGAAATTTGAAATATTCCCGTCGTGTTCAAAAATAGGCTGAATATGATCCACAATATCCGTAAATGACAATCGCACGTTTGTATTTTGATCCTGGTGGCTGTATTTTTCGTTATAAACGGCCCACTCTGGCAAGCGCTCGGAGAAGGCCCAGCTTAGAGCACGTGACATCCAACGCAATCGTGACGTAGGTCGTCTCAAGACGAGCAAAGCTACGGCGAGGCTGACGTCGAGAGGATGGCCTAGTCGTTCCAGCCACCGAAGCGGCTGCTTTTGTACGAATTTTGAGTGACGGGTTAATCTTCTATAATCTTCTAGGGGGACAATAGCGACTTCTGCGACACACAAAAGGGATTCTCGGGAAGAGGGGAGTTCCTCCTTCCCCCCTTCTCTCGTCGTGGCCCGAGACGAGACAACCTCCGTCACTAGCTGTCAAGGTTCCTAGACGAGCATTACAAACAAGGCGTGAGCGACATCCACCAGGTGCTATTTGCTAATCGTTTAATTCGTTTTAAAATTCCTTTTCGAGACTTTTTTAACAAGATATTGGTATGTTCCATGTGATACTGCTCTTTTGAACACATATAGACCAAAAAATGAGCGCCGAAATTTCGTTGTAGTATCCCTTTAAATCTTGTCAAGGACTCCAGACTGCTGCACGAGCAAGTCGTTCTTGATTATCATTATACAACGCGGGACGGGGCTTCAAAGCGTGCGATGTAATCTATACCCTTCCTTTGACAGCATTGCCGCCTCTTCATAGTGAGGAAGACAAAACGCTCAATGATTGATTGGTCACGCGGTGGGCATTGATTCTTCGGGCGCGGCTTTCAGTCAAGGCAGTCTGGGTTATTCCACGCTCCGGACATAACCTCCAGGGATTAATTTGATGGACGAGCTAGCGCAGCATCATCAGTCAATGTTTGTTTCAGGGTAACAGTATGCAAGCAAAGATTTAAGAAATAAAAGGGGGGGGGGGGGGATCACGAATCGAGCTTCGTTCGTAATGTATGAAAGTTGGAACACGAGTGATGTATTGGTAAACATAAATAAGTTGGGGAATTTAAGAAACAAAAGGGGAAATAAATCGAGCTTCGTTCGTAATGTATGAAAGTTGGAACACGAGTGATGTATTGGTAAACATGGTATAATAAATGAGCATGCTGTGACACATGTCCCTCAAAGGAATTCATATTACTCTGCCAGCAAACTGCTTCCACTTGTTTTGACGGACCTCTTTCAAGATGGCTGCGTGTGCCACACCTAGCAAGAAGATTGTTGGCAACGCGGACATCGCGATTTTTCATGCTTGCTGCCACGTCCATTGTGTAATTATGCACCCGTGACCAGGGGTCACGGGTACATAAGTCATGACCAGGGGCGGTTGCAGGTGCTTTCAGGGGAGGGGGGAGGGGGGAGGTCAGCGTATCAGATGTATGAGAAAACATCCCCCCCTTTCATTTTAACACATGCAGAATTCAAAGGGGGGAAGGGGGGGGGGGGGGGGGGGTCGTCCGCCCTTTGTCGTGATGATACATCAACTTTTGTTCACATCAGTAGCACACATCATCTGACGTTGTATGCCTCTCTGCGGTGGAAGCCTCAACAATTTCAAACATAAAAAAAAAAAAAAAATATCAGCGCTTGGAACTATACCTCGTTTCACCTTATGTCCGAGCGCGGACGATGTTATGAGCCGAAGGGCCAATCAAACAGCGCAAAAAGCGCAACGTCATGGCGTGCTCCCTGCGCTTGATAGGACTAGCCGGCAGAGGAGCACGCAAAGAGGGACGGCGAATACCGGCTATTCCTATCAACTGCAGAAAGCACACCATGATGTTGTGCCTTTTTCGCTGTTTGATTGGCCCTTCGGCTCATAACATCGGCCGCGCTCGGACATAAGGTGAAACGAAGTATAGTACGTGGTGATTACTTAGTTGGATTCTGCATTATTTCATTGGAACTCTCAAGCGACTCAAGTATGGGCAAACGCCGGCTCGTTTGTAAACAGCGTTGGTGTCTCGCATACTTCCCAAGCATCGTGCATGTCATTATCGCTCCCCGGCCAATCAGATTACGGCATTCGCCGATCAGAACGACGAAGAACCAATCACAAAGCGTGAAGATAAAAAGCCACGCCCTTTAAGCTGCAGCTGTCCGAAGCTACGATCCGAAGGAGCCAACCGGCAGCTCCAAAATTGCTTCGTCACGGCGCTCGACGCGTCTTTGTGCAGTTTGCTATCACCGCGGCCAAACCAATCACGCACAGAAAAAAATAAACATATAAATAAAGCCCGAGCTTCGCCGCCGTTTCTGCATTTATAATTTTTTGTCCGACGTTGTTTCTCAATTCTAAGTGCTTTGCCCGCATAGAGATCATGTTTGCCCGTGATTGAGTGCTGACGGCGTTGGATACCTCATAATAGTTTTAGCATTTTTGATCGACAATATCGGAACTTCGTAATGTCAGTTTTGTTTCCTCAACTTGCAACAAAATGTGTCTAAAAACGCGAGAAAACTAACCGTCAACACAAGGGACACAGAACACAAACATTCGAATTTGCCGCCTTGGTGGTGAAGGGGTGTCACTCGCACAAAGAGATAACACAGATGAGTGCAAGCGAAGTCGCGAAATTTAGGACGGCAGGACTAGCGAATGAACAAGAGCATTTAACACAAGGAAAAGCAATCGCTTTTTTGTTTTTACCTTTTTTAAGCGTTGCATCTTTGTAGGTACCGCCTCCGAAGTCGAAGTGCCAATTTTTCCATCTTTGATCAGCTGTTGTCCACTCGCGAGAGACTTCGCCCTACCTTCGTCGTCGTCGACTTGGACAACGTACGGGCCCTTCAAGCTGACACGCATCTTGACGCTGACGCCCTTGGAGACTCAAATGTTTAGCGAATTACGGAGAAATAATATGACTCATAACTTCTGGCAGCACACGACGATAAACGCGATACGTCGATACCTCCCTCCGACGAGAACAAGCGACAAGCGTCAGCGTTTACGCGTTTAAAGTGTTTACGTTCCGAGAATTACGAACCGGAAACCGGAACCTGTGAGTTACAAAAGCGGCAATAGAGCACGGACAACCCTGACATGCAGAGCAAGTGGTGACGTCATTGCGCGCGCCATGTTTGTACCTATGATTGTGGGTCTGTGGTTCGGTTATTTGCGATCATTGCGTTCATTTGCGAGCAAAAATATTGGGTCACTCAGGTGTCAGGCTCATGTCGTATAAGAGAAAGCTAACACCTATCGCCGTTTTCTTAACCAGTAAACACTAATTAGTCTTTTTAGGTGCGCTTGCGTATAATAGAAAAGTTCGTTTGCAATTAAAAAAATTTCCCCTTCCACAAATTTTGTTTTTCTTTCTAAAGAATAAGTTACGCATTATTAAACGCTCAGCTTCCGTCCAAGTGTAGCGCTGGCGGTGTTGAAGTTTCAGAACGAACCGTTATCTTATTCACGGAAATTTCCAACAGTAAAATTGAGATCGACAAAGCCCACTAGCACATAAGGCTGAATGGCGAAAATAAACGAGAAGGGATCTCATTTTCCCATTGAACGTTTCATAAAGCCACCTACAGCTTTTGATGAGGATAATGAACAGTTAGTTCTGAAACTTTGGCATGTGGTTCGGACCGTTAATGGTACATTTGAGCGCAGACTGCTGATAGAGAATCATCAAAATAAAGTACCCCCCCCCCCCCCCCCCCCCCCCCCGTCAGTCATTACGCTTCTATTATGTCTTTCCTGCCCATGACATCGGTGGATTAGAATCGTCAGCATCGCCGAGAGTGCTAAATTTAATGATCTTCTTTGGTGTTACGATTCACTATGTTTTCTTTTATGTGTTTACCTGCCTACTTCCTGGTTTTAAGTGTGTTACTTAGACGTTCTAGCCCACTTCCCCCTGTAATATGCCTTCGGGTCCCGCTTGAATAAATACATAAATTAATAAATATTGCTGCTTGCAATTCGCGCTTTGTTATAAGCAACGGTGAGATGGATGCAGTACGGACTATACGTGCGCGCACACACCCTCACAGATGCACTTACACGTAAGAAAAAAAAATCGCAGTATCGTTAAGGCTTCATATCAGACTCGTGCTTTTCTATACTGCATTTTTGTTTGATGTCTATCCAAACGCCGAAAAAACTGCCAACAAAAACACGTCAAAGTAAAAAGAAAGAAAAAAAGAAAATGAAAGTAAGAAAATAATTTAGGTTTCTTTTTAAATGTTTGTTCAAACAGTGGCGTGTTTGCACTCCCACAAACTATGCTCAGAAAAAAAGAAAAAAAAAAGTGAAACGAAAATACCTGTTTACAGTTTACTCGGGAACTTGAAACTCGATTAATGTCCGCGGGCATGAGTTTTACCGACGTTCGAGGAGCCGGGAGTCAACATGAGTCGAAGACTTGAGGTTTGTTTAGTCACGGAAAAGGGCCGATCTCGGTGTTTCTTTATGTTTTCTAGAAATATATATATATATATATATATATATATATATATATATATATATTGTTTATATTATTTCGAGTGTTCTGCGTGTGTTGTGAAACGTCTAAAGCCGCGAACACACTGCTTAATACATCACACAAAAGACAGTTTGCACACATTAACTGAGGTGTGCTTCTTCCGTTTGTGACCGTACCGCCATATTGGTCACACAAAAAGTTTCTGCAGACGTGTTCGGAGCACACATGTGCATAACATAAACGTGCTTTGAAGATGCCTGAGGCGTACTAGCAGACGATTCTGTCATCTTGTAGGCAGCGAACTCCGTGTCTTTTGCATGATGTATACGAGCAGTGTATACTGTGGCATTACGATATGGTTCAGTGCGACAACTCGGCGTTCATGGGGCGACTTTTTTTTCTATTGAAAAAGATAACACGATTCTCGTAATACAAATGATTTTAGTTATTAAGTTCTTACGTATGCTCTTATGTCATGGACACATTCATATAACCTTTTTTTGACTAGGGCCACACCCTAGAAGATATCTGTGAGTTTACTTTCCTGCAAAGCACGGAAACAATAACGGTAAATGATATAAGGAGCGAAGCAAAAACATCAACGTACGATTAAAAAGAAGCAAAAAGAAAAGCGATGTTTGCGGGTGCATTGATAATGACGCTTTACTTGCTCGTTGTCTCCGCGTAAATTGTAGGGTGTCTCAAGCGGACCCTCCGCTGTAAAACGAGCCGGAAAAATCGGCGCCTGCCCAAAGAAAGCTCAAACTCTCACCGAATGTGCACTGAGTCTGAGCAGACTCCGCTCAATTCCGAAGATTTCGGGATAATGAGTGATTTCGCATTAAAAAGCCATACTAAAAGACATTACGTCATTTGGTTCGCGAAAAATGGGATACATGTTTTTGAATCTAATTTTAAACACGAGCATAAATCGAAACCGAAACTTCGGCTCCGTCCGGCCACATTGGCTTCGGGCCGCCAAGAACATGGCCATCACGTGGTACGAGATGTCACGTGATCCTCTACGCAACGACGGGCGGGATTGTAGCGGGCGCGTACCAGGCGCAAGTGTCGTCTGCACCGCACTCTTTACCACGTTTTGGTGTCTACAGCAATCGGGGACGTCTGCACAACTGGTATTGTCCGTAGTGTGGACGAAACCGCGAGAGGCAATAATCACAAACGGTGAGACGACGACGGCGGTTGTGACCAGGGTGTCGAACCAAAATGTTTTTCGTTCTGGTTTTCGTTCCGGTTCAGGGAAAACGGTTCAGCTCCAGTTCCACTCCGAAGTGCAAAAATAAAGGTTCAAACCGGTTCGAACCCGGTTCGTACTCATATGCTACAAAAACATGTGACGACAGCAAAAGATATTATATACATGTTTTACGTATAAACAGCAAAGGCTCACATTACTGTGTAGAACGAACGCGCTAGTGCTGGGGCATTTCGGGACGGTAGGTAAAATCGCAGTTCGATGTCAGGCAACCGACCGAAGGAGCATGTAGTCGTCAAGCATATCCAGGGAAAGACGGCACCTTTGAGACGATAGAATGAACTTCAGTGCAGAAAAGGCTCGCTCCACGCTGAGCTGGGTTGCAGGCACTCCCAGGGCTACTTGCTCCAATCAGCAGAGCTCTGGATGGCGTTCCCGTCATTCCTTCCAAAACTGTAACACGTTAGCGTGCCTTGAAAACAGCGGCTCCTTGTCTAGCATTTCCAGGAGCCATGCTATGTCAAGTGGTTCACCTTAGTTAAACACATAAAATAACGCAAAAAGGACAAGAACAAGAAGTATACAGGACAAGAGCTATTAAGTGGGCTACTGGCACTGCGAATGTGCACGCCAGCCTCAACCTTTCTTTCCTTGAGGAGCACTTCCAGGGCGTCTTCCGGATCTTTTGAAGCCGCAACAGTTTCAGAAGACAGGGTAGAATCTTGCTCGCATTGCAGAGCTGTGATCCGCCTCCAAGTCTTTGTCAAATGCAACGTGGCCCGGTACTTTTTTTTGCTCAGGGGAGAAAAGATGGCGGTAGCGGGGATTCATGTACAGTGCTGCACAGATGACATCCGTGTCAAGAAGTTGTCGCTCCCTCTTTTTCATTGACTGGACGAAGGCCTTTGCTAACGGCGAGGATATCTTGGACGTGTGCATGGAATATGTCAGCCATGCTCCGTACAAGTGAGTGAGCTGTTCCTTGTGCAATGTCTTCGTCGCCGCTTCTGCCGAGCGACGCGATACAGCGAGCATTTCTAAATCCGCCCGTACGTCTTCAGTCGACCCGGAGCCTTCTTCTTTTGAAAGCAACCCTCCAGCGAAGCCACCTAGTTCAAGTAGCCTGGAGAGCACATGCAACGTGGACATCCACCGCGTTCGACAATCTATCACAGGTGTCTTCAATCCTAGTTTCTGATCAGGGACATAACACATTGGACACGTAGTCTCTTAAGAAGCGCACAACTTTCTCCGGTTTGCGTGAAAATAAGATTTTTTATTTACCTTTTTTGTTTATTTTTTTTGGATTACTGTGTTTTTCGCCACGCGCTTTTCACGCGACCTGACTTCGCGTATGAACCGAAAACCGCATGGAAAACATATCGGTTCCGCTGCGGAGCGAAAAATATTATTTCGTTCCGGTTCAATTCCGGTTCGAGCGAAAATAACGTTTTTTTCCGGTTTTCGGTTCACAGTTCGGGTTCCGTTCAATACCCTGCATGGTTAAGACGGCGGTAACGGCGGGGCCACGGCGGGGCGGCCCAACGGCTCCCAAAACGCGCGCTGCGCAGGCGCGTTATGCCAATCACGTGGACACCGCTGAGCCCCGTGAGGAGCCTGTTGTGACGTCACCCGATACGCTTGCCCGGAGAAGTAAAAACAAGCAAAAGGGGGCAATGTTGATATAAAAACATCACGCGCCCTTCATTTTGTACTAAACTCCAAAAAAAATTCACACAAGAGTCTTTTCCGTTTGTTTTTACGCAAAAACATGCTTTCTAAAAGCTCAATGTGACCACAGTACAGACAAATGATAAAGAGTGGCGCTGTTGTCGCATTTAGCTCGGTCTCGGTGGACGCCAGCGGCCCAGGTTTCGACGGCGAGTTTCCCAACTGAGTGTTTTAGTAACGTTGGTTCATGCGCACGAAATACAAAGAGGTATTGTACGTCTTGGTTTCAACGGCCACACGGAAAAATACGGGCGAAGGAAGGAAAGGATACGGTGCGCGGCGGAGGCACTTCGCGGAAATAGTGCGTCGTCTGCTCCGCGACGTGGCGAAATCGGCAACGTCGATCGGAGACGCCAATCTCGGTGCCGATCGAGCGGAACGACATCGTCGCGAGGCGGCAAAAGTACCTTCACTACTTGACACGAAACTGCGTAGGGGGACGAAAGAGCTTGTACTTCCTGTCGTCGAAACTAAAAGGGTGACGGCCGAGCACGACTGTATAACTTTGTCCCTCGAAGCCTCAATGTGCGACAATGGTAGGACGAGGCAGTCATATTGCTTACCCGATTTACCACGCGACTGATCGCAAACTACGATACTTGACATGAACGCCACATTTCACGGACGAATAAATATTTATTT